GGCCGGATAACTACTCCACGCCCAGGGTCGTCAACCCAAGCGAACAGGACCAGACTGGACTCGGTGCTCCGTGCCGTACGGCCTTGAACGAATATGGCCGAGAGACTGCCGAGAGAGACGATCCCCGCCGAGCGGAGACAAAACGAGCAGGCTGACGTTCAGAGTCCGAGGCGTGAGTCGTGAATCGCGGGCAGAGAGGCTGGGACGACGTCAATGAGACGGTTCAAGGGCGTTCTTGGGCGTGGTTTAGTATCGCGTTTCCCTTCTCCCCATTGCCCCTGCACCGCCAACCAGAGAGGGGAGCCGACACGAAGGTGGGCAGAGGCAGCAATGGGCGAGGCAAACGGTTGAAAGCCCACAGTGTTCAGTGTCTAAAAAAAAATAACGGCGGCCATTCATACATACAGGCCACCGACTTGGAACCGGGCGGCGGTGGCCTATTTGTGCAAGTTGTGCGGTCTTGACCTCTTAGCTTGGGTACCGAGTACAAGTGTCCTTTAACCCTGCCGATAGACCCGTTACCCGGCGTGGAAACAAGGGAGGGGCTTGGCCTCTTCGACTCCCATTCTTGACACCTCAACATCAAGCAAGTCTCAACTTCTTCATCTCTCGAATCTGTCTTGAGCAACAACTCGGCGAGAGCAGAGGGAAGGCAGTTGCACATCCACCAGCAACCCGCCGCTGGAGTGTTCAGCATCTCTGCACTCGATGAGATGACGGCCTGCACGTCTTTGTGCGCTATTTCCTCGTCCGCTTGTGGATCATCTTCGTCATTGCCATGCAGAATGCCCCGTTATTCCAGGGGGGCACCGCCCTCGTTCCGATGGTAGCAATAGGTCCGATTTCACCAATGTTCGAATTTAGAAGATGCCAGTCTGTTGTTGGAAAAATTCTTTGTTCCAACTGAGCTTCCAGTCCCACCGTCGCTGCAAAACGACGTCAGCGGAAGTAGTCGGGCTCTATTACGCAACCCACCAGGGGATGCCGCAAATTCGACGAGAGTTTCTTGTGCTTTGCTTTATTTGTCACAGAGAGTCACAATTGAGTTTGCGAGTAGTCGTTACATCAGTCCTGATTTGTCGAGCCTCGCTTATATCCACGTGGTTCTGACGCATTCGTCAAGCGAGAATGCTTAAGCTGCGGCCAAGGGGAGGATGGTATTGATCATAGGGCTCATTTCCGGTCCCCGTGCAGATCACACCAAACCTTGCAAAGCTCAAGTGCCTCTTGTGGGCCGCTGTACAACAGACTAGCGAGGTTCTGTATTGCTGTCACGGGAAGAGGTGTGGTGACTGGCAGATGCTATTTGCATCATGTCTGAAGCCGCCCGTCCTCGATCAAAAGACAAATCTTGCCACTAATCCCATAAGGATCTTTCGACTTCTGAGACATATATTAAACAGGTGAGTGGTAGTTTCACCTTGCGCAAGGGACCACGCGCAATGACTTGCATCAAGGGCTCATTCGGTATTGGGTCTCACAACGAAGCATCTGAACCATACTGCTAAAGAAGGACGCGTATGTTTCTCCATTAACGTCGCATAAGTTTTTGAGGCCTCAAAACCACCCATGAAGTTTTAATGACGTGTTTCTCTATGCCTATAATTGGTTCATCTATACCGACGACGACCGCAGCACCGCCGTGTATTATATAACATTGGTACTTGGATAATCGAGCTATCGATAATCCAACTCGATAGCCCAACGAGTCAATATATACACATCCCTAAAAGTTCTCGCCAATTTTCGGTGATGAGGTACTAACCAAAGGCAGCACTGATGACCGATTTCGAATTCCAAGGTAGCCCGCAATAGTTGGCATCGTCAATCCTACGCTTCAGGGCTTGAAGCGGCACGTTCTGGTTTTGACCTGACCGTGTATATGCCATAGTTCGATCAATTTTGCGTCTGGAGTTTTTGATGCCAAACCAAGGCCTGCCATCTACCAAACGGGTTGAGTTGGGCCTGAACTACTTGGAGTTGTCTGTCGCAGAACAGCCTTCTTCTCTCATTCTAGTCCTCCACCCACGGACAATGAGGTATTGAAGAGGGCTCCTGGGCAGGCCTTTTCTCTCCCCAAAAATTTTAGGCTGATAAGTAACTCAGTCATTGCAAGCTAATTCATATCAGCCTTCAATGTTGTCGCAAGCTCCGCAAACTGATGGGTGTGGCGAGGAAGATACAGCGCAACCGATATTGATGATAGATTCTTAGTCCGTTCACATGCCCAGTGGGCTGTACCCAACTCAATAGCCCTGCCTGGCTTGTCTTTTCATCGGGCTTGACGCCAAGTCCAAAAATTTGATGACGTATTCTTTCGTCATGGTGATGGGTGGCCTGGCACCGCGAAGCACTCTATCATAGCGGCAAGGTTCAAGACAAACAAGATACCCTCTTCCTCGTCTAGGTCCTGAGAGCTCAAACCGACAGCCCCCAGTCAAATTTTGGCGCCTTTTGGGTAGACCCTTTTATCCTTTTGTGGGCGAATCGTGAAGTCTTTTCTTCATGGCTCGCGATGATTTGGAACCACTTTTGAAGAAGTAGTCGACCGCTGGATCGGCTCCCCACGTTATCTTGTGACTGGGAAAAAGCGGAATTTGTGGCCAAAGTAGCCCTTGAGAACAGTCTTGGCCGATTCAAAGTATAAGTCCGAAGAAACAACTGTTCTCTTTCCCATGTTCTTTTTACGTTCTTAGGAGCGATTAGCTGGCTACAGAAATCGAGGTCATTTTCTGAATGGGATAAGATAAATAAAGCACACCTTATGACCCGGATCGGTTTGCTACTCTATATAGGAAGTAGTATCTCCAGGACATGTTTGCCTCCATATCGGGCGACTGTTGCAAACGAAATGCTCGCTAGTCTCGGCTTCTATTCCTGTCATATATCCATTACTTTGACCATGTCGCTCGGCATCTTCCATACATGCCTTGACAATTTACGAGATAAAATGGCTAAGCTCTTAGTACTGTACAGAAGACGACGTTGGCATTCACGTCTACCGAGTAATTTAGCACAAGGTGTACAATGAGAGAAAGAGAGTCGTTGACTTTTCAGGACTACTCTTGTTCGCTGGTCCTTCTTCAGAACTCAAACCCAGCAAAGACGAATGTCAGCGCCGCCCTAAGAATACCGAAGCCATGCACCAACACACTTTTCAGCCCGACGCTGCTTATTCTCAGCCTCAGAACGCACCCCCAGTATTCCGTAGTTGGGTCTCGAATGCCGTCGTGCTTGAATTGGCAGCCTGCATGGGGGAGCAAAGAGCACGAGCATATCTCTTCCATCAATCCCACCAGTGGGAGCTGGCGGTGCAAAATTGGGCTGCTAGATGGAATACTGAGGGGGAAGTCTTGGGCTCTTTCTTGTGCTCCCCCAGCATGTACATATGGATGGTGTCGATGAATTCTGCTTCAAGTCGGACCAGACCAGCTGAGATGTTGCTGGCTCCGCGAGTGCGTGCCCAAGGCAAGGTGCCAAGGTACATACACAGGCGACTAAGCGGACAAGCCACGCAATGACGAGGCTGGCGGGGTTAAAAGCGGCGACTGTGATGCGCTGCGTCGCCCCAGCCGTCAAACCGACGTGGCAGTTGACGAGAGAGACGCCAACGCCAGGGCCAGCCACCCAGCCAACCAACCAGGCAGCCCATTGGCGCATCCCGCCTTCCCCCGCCTGTTTCTCGCTCGAGCAAATTGCTATCAATGGAAAACCCCGCCAAGCTGGCCAAAGTCCTACCGACAAAGGAAAAAAGTCCTGCATGAGATGGAGCGTCCCCCCACGATGTTCCCGTCGCAGCATCAATGATGGGTCGGGACAAGGAGGCGTTTTTCCAGCCATTGAGTACTAGTAGTACTACTACTATTTGGCCGCTCCCCTGGACTCGCGAGGTTGGCGACCTCTCGCGCCAACGGCTTCACACACGGTTGAAGCGGGAAAAGGAACGGCGCGCCAACTGGTCCAGCGGTTGGTTGGGCATGTGTAACTTGACGGAACGGATGATTTGTCCAGCCTGCATCTTCACGCGCTGGCCCCTCTCTCTGCCTGTAGTCGTTACTCGGTCCAAGCTGCAGCAGAATCCTCGAGAAAGTTGTCGTGGCAAGGTCCCTCGAGGACAGTAAAGCACCTCTTGTGCCATGGTGCGTAGATGTAGAAGAATAAATACATCAATGCTAGTGGATACATTACTTGGTGCCATTTCATGGTCCGGTAGTACATACTCCGCGGGGACGGCCAAGGACGTCTGGACTGTTTGGCATCCCATCATGATGACCAAGACCAACCGCCCGCCGCGTTGCATATACTGGATGCCCTCGCATGCCGTGCTTGCGCTGTCCTCACGTCCCTCATCTCGTTATGCCATCTACACCATACCATCAAACCATCTACAGCCACTTTATATCCATCTTGACACACAACTCTGTTCCAGACACGTCGGTACTTGCAACTTTGGAAGGCTGAGTCTCCTCAATCTCAGCTCAGCGCCATCCCGCCTCGCCACATGCGCACGCCGGCCACACAATCGCAGCCGTCGTCCTCCGTCCAGTCTTGCGCCTCCACCAAGGCCACGGCCATCCATCGTCCTGCTCCAGCCTCGAGGCACCAGACGTCGCATTCAGCCACAAGCCCTGGCGCAAATCACAGACATTGCTGACGCCGTGCCTCTGGCTTCGCCGCATGCTCAACAGCTCCCCCCCCCTCTCTCTCTGCCTCTTTGCCTCTCCGCCAGCCCGGCTGCTGAGCCCCATTCTGCCCTGTGTTGCTAATTTCTGACCCAAGCTCGACCCCCCAGAGAACCGTCTTGAGCCTCCTCGTCCTCGCTGCTCAGGTGATTGCCGAGTGTGTCCTTCGTGCCCGGTCTGCTTGCATCCGCCACGCTCAAGTGCTGCCTTACGCGAGCCCTACCAGCCCAGTCCTGGCCCGGCCGCTTCTTGTTCCCTTTTCTCCTCTCGTCCGCCGGCCCAACTGATCTACCCTTTTCCCCCTTCCTTTCCTTCCATATGAGTTATATGAACTCCCGCCTCAAAGGCTTCGGGTTCGGAAAGCGCAAGTCAACCGCCAGCATCCAGACCACCGACGGGGTCCCGCCCGCTGGTACCCCTCCTCCAGGCCATCCTCCAGCTCAAATACCTCAACACCAAGCTCCTCTGCCCGGACAGACGCCGCCCATCGGCGCCGCGTCCTCGACCACCAGTCTCCCAATGAACCACCCCGGAGCTGGCAATCGCCCGCCGAGCTACACGGCCAACTATCCCCCCGCCGGCCCTGGCGATCGTACGTCGCCTCTCCAGGGCAGCAACCGCACCCCGCCAAGCCAGATGGTTGGAGGCCCTCCTCCCATCAACACCGGTGCGCCCGTTGGATATCCACCTCCCAACATGGCTGCCATGGGCCAAGGCCCTCCTCCCATGGGCGGCCCTCCTCCGGGCGGCCCTGGCGGTCCTCCCCCGGGCTTTGGTGCACCACAGGGATATCCTCCTGGCCCTCCTCCGACTCAGGGAGGTCCCATTGCGCAGCAGTTCCAGCGGCCTAATCCCAATCCCGCTGCCGAGGTTGAGGGCGCCAGCAAGAGCAAGGCACAGCTCATTGTTGGCATCGATTTTGTTAGTGCGGCCCCGGCATCCTTTGCTTGTGTTGCAAATTGAATCCCCCCCCCCCAAAAAAAAAAAGGTTATGGAAAAGGCAACAGCTTTGAGCATGGTTTGCTAACAGGCAATACAACTTTCAGGGTACCACCTTTTCCGGTGTTGCCTTCGCGTTTGCGACGAATAACGAGGCGAAAGAAGATATCATCACGGAATGGCCAGGTGCTGGTTCATATACCAAGCAAAAGGTGAAGAAAACATCACTCCGAGCGCGGGACTTTGTTCAAGAGGAGCTAACAGGATCGCACCACAGATTCCCACGGTGCTTTACTACGATCAGTATCAGAAGGTCGTAGGATGGGGTCCAGATATTGCTGACGCGTTGGCGCCAACTGGTTACCCAAAGCCCGGTGTTCAAAAGGTGGAATGGTTCAAGTTGCAGCTGATGCTCAGTGGCAATACGTATATTGATCCTATTAACTTGCCTCCCCTCCCCCCTGGCAAATCCGAAATCGATGTGGCAGCCGACTACCTGTTCAAGCTTCGACAAGCCATGCGATCAGCACTGCAAAAGACACTGGGAGAAGTATTCAACCGGGAGGAACGCAACATTCGATACTATCTGACCGTCCCTGCCATCTGGAACGATGCCGGTAAAGCCGCCACCCGAGCCGCCGCCATTCAGGCCGGCTTCCTCCGTGACGAGAACGACAACCGCTTGACCCTGGTTTCGGAACCCGAGGCTGCCGCGCTTTTCTGCTCCAAGACGGGACTCCTAAACCTTAAAGTCCACGACGCCGTCCTGATTGTGGACTGCGGTGGTGGTACTGTGGATTTGATTGCATACGAAGTTGAAGAGGAGAACCCTTTTACTGTTGCAGAGTGCACTGCGGGATCTGGGGATTCCTGTGGCTCCACCGCCTTGAACCGCAACTTCAGCAACATCCTCCGGACCAAGATTAGGAAAATGAAGTTGCCGGACGGCTCCAAGACCGCCGGTCGAGTATACGCCAAATGCATCATGGACTTTGAAAACAGAATCAAGGCCGATTTCAGAAACAATGGACAAAAGTGGGCCGTCGACGTCGGTATTGAAGCTGAATTTCCCGAGGCCGGCATCGAAGAAGGCTACATGACTTTCACCAACGAGGAAATTTTGCAGTGCTTCGAGCCAGTTGTCAACCGAATTCTCGAGTTGGTCCGAAACCAAATTATTGCTATCCAGGCACAGAACCGAACGCTACAAAACATCTTGGTGGTTGGTGGTTTCGGTGCGTCCGAGTACCTCTTCCAGCAGATCAAGCTGCATGTTCCCCCACAGTTCCAGTCCAAGGTGGTGAGGCCCATGGACTCAGTGGCGGCCATCGTCAAGGGTGCAGTCACCGCTGGTATTACCGAACGCATCATTACACACCGTGTTGCTCGTCGCCACTATCTCATGGCTACTCTGCAGCCATTCAAAGAGGGATACCACCCCGAGGCCTACCGTGTCCCATCGTTGGATGGAAAGGACAGATGCAAGTTCACCCGACAAATTTTTGTGCAGAAGGGCCAAAAGGTCAAGAATGGCGAACCAGTCAAGGTTTCATTCTTCCGACAAGTTGCGCCTGGCGCGACCCTCATGTACGAAGACGTGTTGTATGCCTGCGATGACGACGTGTGCCCTGAATACACCAAGGATCCTCGTAAGTTGCGGCCATTTCAAAGCTATGAAGATGAAGATTCAAGGGCGGCTTTCACTAACTATTCAGCAGGTATCAAGGAAGTCGTCACTCTCACTTCCGATCTGTCGCGCAAGAACCTTGAAAAGGACTTTGAGCGCATGGACACGCCCCAAGGAACCTTTTATCGTGTTTACTTTGATATCTACCTGACGCTTGATGGTTCGGAATTCAGCGCCGAATTGGTCTGCCAGGGCGAAGTCATGGGCCGATGCAGAGCTCGCTTTAGATAAACGGAAGCTGACAAAAAAAAAGCAGAGGGCAACACGGTGATGTCGTTTGATCCGTTTTATCAGTAGAGCTTGGATACCTTACATCCGGAGTTGACATTAAATGATACCTAGGAGAATATTCAGCGCGCTAATGGAGGGTGACGATTAGGGAACTACGAATTGATGGGGCGGATATCGCGGCCGAGGCTGCGGACGGTTTGGTTCTTCGACGATAGTATCAATTGTTAGTTGGATTACAAAGAACTGCGGACGAAATCTTAAAAAAGCTGGAGAAGCCTAGGTTTTTGTTTTTTTATAATTTTTTTTTTTTTGCACAAAGCATATTGGGAGCCTGATGTTTTATCATGCGTAGTAGCAGAAGACGGAACGTGTCTTGGGAATATAGGAATATTTTGATAGATAATCGATGCTTGTGTTACAAGCCGGCATTGCTTGTGCAGTACGGAGTAAGTGAGCCAGAGAGTCGGTCATACATGGCAACTGGAGGGACTTTGGACCTGGTTGGCTTGGGCCTGAAGTCGTCATCAAGATGTGAGACAAGAGTGTGGCGTCGAGTTGGCCACGAGAGGAAGTGACGGGTTGGCGGGGTCCGGTTGGTGGGATGGTTCGTTGATGGGTTGGATCGATGGACGGATGCAACATTGAACCTCGTGGGGCGAAGGTGGGGCAGCACGTTCCTGGTCCCTGTCGCGGCTACCAACTTGAGAAACGGGAACATGACAGCCAGTCCTTCCTGCGTCATACCTTGACACTGAGATGGCCATGGACCCGTTCTTGGCCAGCGAGGCAAACGAACAGCGCTTCTTCACCCTCTCATTTCTCAAGAAGCTGAACCTCTGCCAATCCTGCTGGACAGGCCACCTGTGATATTTTTATGCGTTCCCATTTCCAGAATTACGTTTGTATTGTTATATTCGTTGTTCCACTCCGCACCTCCTGGCCCAGTTTATATTTATTGTCTTCTTCCTCCATACTGGCGCTTCCTCCGTACCTCTGAACTACGCAGCATAGTCTTCAACTCATCGCACACGTGCTTTATTTTATTTTAACACATCCAATCTTGCATTGCTTCTTTTTGGGACCTGGTGGCTCAGGATATCTGGGCAGGGGTGAACCTGGTTTGTTAGGGTCGGCGCATGAATTATTTGGCGTTTGGGGAAGAATCGCTCCGCCAACTCTCAACAGCGGCTTCTGACGTTACATGCCAGTTTCAGCTTCTCAAATCGCCATTCAAACATATATTTCTAACAACATCCAACGTTTAAAGGACGAAAAGAGATGAGAACTTCTATTTTTCAGTAACGCGGAGTACTTTTGTCTTGGATCTCACCACCGTCACCCCTGCCACCTTCTTGCTCCAACGACAACAGCAGGAGGCTGATAACACCAAGACGAGGCTCCCTCCGCGAACAGAAAAACGAGCAATGGTTACGTCACCACGTTCTACAGCTGCAACACCTCGATATCAATCTTCCATGAATCGACTGCTGCTCATCTTCGTTACCTTTGGATCCCTCGTTCCAGCGGCCCACTTGGGAATAGCATCTCACAGAAAGGGACACTGGCAGGCAGAATTCCTTCGCCATACAAAACGGAGCATCCCCGCAAAGAGAGGTCCTCCAGAAGATTGGGAGGGCAAAGTACCACTTGTTGTGACCAACAAATGCGAAACGACAATCTGGCCTGGCATCGCCACCCAATCTGGTACTGGGCCCGGAACTGGGGGGTTCGAATTGGCGCCTGGAAAGAATAAAACGTTATGGGTTGCGCCAGATTGGCAGGGCCGAGTTTGGGGGAGGACGAATTGTACAGTCAATGGTGAATCGTGTGCTTGCAAGACAGGGGACTGCTTTTCTAAGCTTGACTGCGAGTTTAGCGTAAGTTTGCTTCATCCGCATTAGCTGATGCTTCTGTTCTGTGTCGACGTTAACATTGCCTCCAGGGAGCAACTCCTGCGACACTTGCAGAGTTCAACCTGGCCGGAGGGGTGACTGGGATGCAAACCTTTTACGACATATCTTTAGTTGATGGCTACAATCTCCCCATGGGAATCAACTACATACCAGCCAAGAATACAACATATATCCCTCCAAATCTGACAAACTGCGCGTGCATTGCCACGGCGGGGTGGCTCTTCAGCCAGGCCAAGACAGGCACAGCGTACACCAACTCTACATTCCCGGTCCCGTGGGAACCAGATGAAACGAATCAAAGCGTTGAAAACTGGTGTCCGTGGCCCAATCTCGCCTTTCCTCCCACTAAGCCTGGAGACGGCGTATACCCGTATCCCGACGACAACATCCAGCGGCCAGCATTTTCACCTTGCAACAGTGCCTGTGCGGCAAGTGGCTCGGATAAAGATTGCTGTATCGGAAGGTATCACGACGCCAATATTTGCAAGCCATCGAGCTACAGTAAAGCAGTCAAGGCGGTGTGTCCTGACGCATACAGCTTTGCCTTTGACGACCAAAAGTCGACATTTATCGTTCCAAAGGGAGGTGGCTGGGAGGTGGTCATTTGTCCGTCTGGTCGATCGACTAATATTTTACGGCAGTTGGGCAAAGAGTTGTCTGAGTTGGCAAGTGGCGGCAGCCTGTCAAGACGGTCTATAAGGATGCTTCGGAACGTCACCTATATCGAAGCTGACAAGGGAGCAGCTGGCGGGCTGATACCATCGAACGGACTGACTGTTTCTTTGCTTGCTTCACTCATTGCTTTTCTGATGATGGTATGAGTAGATGCTGGGTCGTGTTGTTTTTGTCAATTGTAGCCATTGCGCTCCACCACCTGGGTAGAACCGTTGTGGAACGAATTGCGAGGCACAAGAAGGAACAATGAATTGCAAGATGGATCAGATCCTAGAACCATATACCCTACTGTTTCACTTTGCACGATTAGGCCTAGTAGTAAATGCTGTGCTTTTAGTAGTAACCCGTCTACTTGCTGCCAGTGAGCTGATCTAGCGCTTAATTCGTGATTGCTAATAGTAAACACCCGTATATTCATGACATGCTGTACGTCCCAAGCTCGAAAGGGAAAAAAAAAAGAGCAACGTCGCCAATCAAAGTAGAATCTAGACATGACCCCAAAACCGACAGACCGTTCTCGATGCCATCATTTCCGCCTTTCCCTTCTCCTCCGCTCCCACTCGGCCCTTTCCTCGTCGTCACTACCGCTAAACTCGGCATCATCATCATCATCACCACCATCGCCCTGCTGCCCCACAGCCGCCGCATGGTTACTACTCCCCTTGTTGTTGGCGGCGCCGGCGTCGACGGTAATGAAGTCGCCCGCGTTCTGGTTCGTATACTCGTGCTGCTGGATGAGCTGGCGCAGCTCGGCGTTGCGGGGGTCGACGAGCTGCAGGGCCGTCAGGCCGCCCTTGTTCTTGACGCGCGGGTTCGAGCCGGCCTCGAGCATCATCTCGACGAGGGCCTTGCCAAAGGCGCGCTGGGCGGGGGGCTCGGCGTTGAGCCAGCGGATGGCGGTGTGCAGCGGCGTGTCGCCCTCGAGGCGGTTGATCGGGTCGCATTCGAACGAGGGTTGGTCGAGGAGGAGGTCGATGATTTCGTCTGTTTCCCCCCGCAAGCGGTGTTAGTCTGCGTTTTGCGGTTTGAGGTTTGAGGGGGCGGAGGGGAGGCGCACAGTTGCCGTGGGATGCGGCCTCGTGGTAGAGGTGGTTGCCCATTACGGTGGTGGTGTTGTTGAGGAGGGCGGTAATTTCGGCGTCGGGCTTGTCGTGGAGGACTTCGAGGAGGAGGTCGGTGTTGTTGCGGCGGCAGGCCTCGATGAGGAGTTCTTTGATCGAGGCGCCCTGGCTTTTTTGTTAGACGGTTGGTTCTGGATCGGGGGGGTTGTTGGCTCTTGCCTCGTGTTCTTCGTCGGCGGCCATGGTGGTGGTTGTGCTGGTGGGAGATGGGATTTGGGGGGGTATGGGCGGTTGGTGAGGAGGATGTGCCTTTAAGTGATGATGTGGTTTTGTCTCACCGTCGATGGTTCAGTGTGGAGGGGCATTTGCGGTGGGGGCGGACATGGAGGCGGTACTCCGTACTCCGTACCTCGCTGGCGGAAACCTGTTGACGGGTGGTGACTGACCGTCAGGCGCAAGGTTCTGCCTTGGTTGGCTGACAGCTTTGGAACCCCACTGCCGAATTTGGATTGCGCTGGAATCAACCAACATTGACTTTTTTCTTTTCCTTCACCTGCGACAACTTATGCGCACGCAAAGCCTTGGCATCCGGTAGAATAAATCGCTGGCGTCTCTTCAGGCGGCTACTGCTCTGATTGTATACACGGCCAACGGAGTCCTAGCCCACCATGCTGCTCTGTATGTTTCCCTTCAGGTACCCTGTTTTTTTTGACGGGCCATGATTATTATCCAAGGATGCTAATCGTTATATAGTCTGCCCGCAATGCGCCAACATCCTCACTGTGTCCCTCACAAACCAGCGCACCAACCGCCTCGAGTGCCGCACCTGTCCGTTTGAGCACACCATCACCGAGCCCGTCTTCTCGCGCCGCGTGTTTGAGCGCAAGGAAAAGGAGGACGTCTTTGGCGGGCCCGGCGCGTGGGATAATGCGCAAAAGGGCCGCGCGCAGTGCCCTGCCGAAGGCTGCGACGGCGACGAGGCTGCGTTTTTCCAGGTGCAGATTCGAAGTGCGGATGAACCCATGACCAGCTTTTTCAAGTGCATGACTTGTGGGAATCGGTGGAGAGAGAATTAATGGGTATTTGGATGTCTGCGCCGTGTGTATGTAGGGCCTGTGGTTTGGAGAATTGGGGTTTTGTATTTGGCGTTTTGTGACTTCTAAAGCCTGGGAGCGAATCTTGGTGCATGCTTTTTTCGTTGTGTAGCTGGGTAGGAGATTCTTCATTCTGATACTCTTGTCCTGAAATTCTTGTCCCCAAGCTCGTGGATGACTTGGTAAAGCTCGTGGATGACTTGGTAGACCGTGACGCGGTTGACTTAAATCACTCCCGGTGCCATTGCACAGAAGCCTTCATCTCGTCCTCTACCAACTTCTGCACCAGGTCGGGGCTCATAATATCTTGTCGAAACCGCTCTTCCTGGAGGAGCTCAAGGTGCTTGAGCGTCGGGCCCGGGTACGTCAGGTATTTGAGATATGGCGGCTTCGTCCAGTACTGCAGGTAGGCAAGGTAGGCGACAAAGGCCGGCTGCGTGAGGAGTTTCTGGGAGGCGAGGTGGTTGAGATAGAAGGGATTTGCGAGGGATTGGACGAACTGTGCGCGCGTTAGGCTTCAAGATTCTAAGTAGGGACTTTGCAGACGAAGAGAGGAGAGGGCTGCTTGTACCTCTAGTTCAATCTCGAAGCGCGAGTAGCCGCCGTACATGGGCTCGTCGGTGGGCGGCGCAGGAGGAGACATGTCCATAGGAACGTCTTGTGAAGCGTCGGCTGCCATTGTTGCGAGACGGGGGACCTGCGAGACGGTTGTGGCTGTGGTTGACGTCAAGGCGATGGAAGGATGAGTGTTGGGATGTGCGAATTGGATTGGAGAGAGGATGGCACCAGCTTGGCCCCACATGTTCAACTACATCTGACTTAAACCTCTAAAGGTACATTTCTATCCTCCGCGTGTTCTTCAAGACATCACATATAATGAAATATTTGTGCCATACACCCCGAGTATCTTATACGTCTCCCATATTCCATCCCCCCAATACACTTTTCGCATCTAAACAAGGCACTGATACTTCACTCCAGGCAGCCAACAACAGGCCCACCACAGCTCACACCTTCATGATATAAAACCAAACCACCAACCGAAAGAAGCACCACCAACTCAACCTCACAATGTCAAGAATCAAAACCCGCATCCTCATTATATCAGATACCCACGCATCAAGGCCTCATCCACCGCCAGCCCCCAACGAATTCGAAACGGCCGACCTCGTCCGCGTCACCACCGGCTACAGAGACCCCCTCCCGCCCGCCGACCTCGTCCTGCACTGTGGCGACCTCACAAAGCGCAGCTCCATTCCCGAGTACGAGACCACGTTCTCCATGCTCCGGTCTCTAAACGCACCTCTGAAGCTGGTCATTGCCGGAAACCACGATATCTCACTAGACCCCACGTACGACTCAGACCCAGAGGCCGAGCAAGAATCACGTGTAGTTCAGGACATTGTGCAGGACGCCCAAAGGGACGGCGTCGTTTATTTGACAGAGGGCACGTACGAATTCGCCTTGGAAAACGGCGCCCTGATCAGAGTATACGCAAGTCAGTATACGCCCATCTACGGCGGGTGGGCATTCCAGTACCCCGGCCACCATGACTTTGCGCTTCCGCCCGGCATAGACGTGGCCATGACCCATGGTCCGCCGTACGGCGTGCTGGACGAGGCGGGCATATCCAAGAGATTGGGCCAGCCGCACCACGCGGGGTGTGAGCATCTCTTCAAGGCGGTCGCGGATGCAAGGCCGCGGATTCATTGCTTTGGCCATATACACGAGGGATGGGGGGCTTATCGGGGTACCTGGCTCGATACAGACGAGCCCGGGTTCTCGGTGCCCCGGCCGACCAAGGAATGTGTCATGGACGAGGCCACGTCGGGTCCGATTCAGACATTAGATGGGCTGCGACCAATGTTTGCCGCCGACACACAGGGGACATGTCCAGAGGCAAGACAGAAGTTGGCACACCTAAGCAATCAACGCGGATACCATATTGATTTGACGGAACAACAGACACGTGTTGATTCGGGGAAGCAAACCTTGTTTCTCAACGCATCAATCATGGACATCCGATATCGACCATCACAATTACCTTGGATAATCGACATAGATCTACCAAATGCCGAGAAAAGACACACTTCCATTCGCCGTACATAAGAAGGCCTTGAGCGCAGCCAATGTTTCAAATTACATCCAAGTCCAATATTTCTTCACTTGGGTTCATAGATTAGACGTGATATTAATTAGTTGTCCACAAGTATTGGACTACATTCTGAATATAAAAGACCCCATGTACCACTTTTCGAATTCCTTCTGCTAATGCGTCCCGTATTATTCATGTATCATTCGAAATAACAGCCGCTAGACTAGTCTCATTGACAAGACTTAGACTCTAACATCTCTAAAACGCAAATGCTTACAGGGCCAAAGCAGCAGCGAGGACGGCAGCGAGAGCGCCGACAACGGGACCAGCAGCGGCAGCACCAGTAGTGGTAGGGACAGAGCCAGTGCCGGACCTGGTGGCGCTGCCGGAACCCTGGGAGGAGGTGGGAGCCTTGGTGGTGCCAGTAGCTCCGCTGGTGGCGGAAGCGGTCTGGTTCTTGCTTTGAGTAGGGACACCACCGGTACCAGTGGACACGGTAGGGACGACAGGAGCAGAAGAGCCAGAAGCAGAAGCAGACTGGGACTCGGTAGCTGAGCCGGTGGCAGTGGCAGAGGCAGAGGCAGATCCCGAAGCAGAGGCAGATCCCGAAGCAGAGGCAGAGCCAGAAGCCACAGCGTCGCACTGCGCCTTGGCTATGGACTGAGCCTTGGCGAGATCACTCAAATCGCACTTGTTCTCGGCAGCACACGAGGAAACGGGGGTGATAAGCTTGGCCTGTGTCTCGGGCTTGCAGGCGCACGCAGCGATCTCAGCGGCAGAACCAGTGCAGCCAACTGAGGGGAGAGCTTTCTCGATGCAGCCACTCTGTGGAAGTACTTTGTCAGTCCATTGGTCTATTTCTCGCCAGTTGGGACAGTTATTCGAGGTTCAACATACAACGCAAGGGCCGAGGCCGTCGAGGTTCTGGGCGGCGGCGAAGCCAGCAAGAGCGAGGGTAACGAAAGTAGCCTTCATCTTGAACGAGGGTGATTTGCGGTAGAGTACGTAGACGACGACGAGTCGGGTATGTACAAGAATTGACAGCTGAGGCGTTGCTTGGAGACGATGAAAGCACGAGAGGATGGGGAAGAAGAGGGAGTAGAACTGCGCGACGAAGGGTGGGTTGGCCAAGGGGCCTTTTAAGCAGAGGTGGCAAGAGCTGTTTGCAGTCAGCGTCGAGCGTCGAGCACTAGGATGAGAACACTGGAGAAAAGATGTAATTTAGGACGGGGCGCAGGTATCTGACCAGGCGCCTGCACATGCCCAAGCTGTACCCGTGCCGGGAAGCGAGTGGGAAAAGATACGAGATCGGCAGAAAATCCAGAGTATCTGGCTACTTTGAGCCATAGCCGTGCCTGGGGTCCGGCAAGGTTGCTTTGCTTTGATTTCGCCGTCGGCCAGACAATCACTGCTCCAGGATCGAGAGTCCACACAGCCTCCCCATCCGCCTTCTCCATCCTCCCTCTCCAACTTTCCTCCCTCCCTCCAAGCTACGAGGTAGTTGCTCCACTTGAGCGTGTTCCATCACGCTGCCAACTTGCCAGCCTGCATCCAGATGGAGGCGCAGAGAGCTCCAGAGATACATGGGGGCCCCGGGCTCGGCCACTCACCAGTCGAAATTGGCTGATGGCCCCGAAGCATCATCGCCAAAGCAATACTGTCCCAATCCGTGGCCCCAGCCGTGGCGTCTGGCCCCCCTGAGCCTTGCCTCATTAGCCCAAGGGGTACGCGGCTATTCCTGGCCGACGGGCGCCCAGAAAAAAGTTTCCTGGCTGGTACGGGAGGAAAGCTTGTGCCAAAAAGTAGGGCGAGCCGACGACGATCCGACACGGCCGCTTCCCTTGAGCCAACTTTAGAAGCAGTCTCCAGTATTTCCTGCACGTACAGCCACAGCTTAAACACCCAGCCAAGGGGAAGAGAAGCTTCTCGCCACGCCTCGCCACGCCGCGCAATCCCCTAGTTTCTTTGGTTTCTTCAGGCCGTGTACGGAGTCCGCGGCATGAATCGACCTTGTGAGGACTCATGCGAAACTCTGGCGGGATTACGCCGTATACGGCCAATGTACGGAGTAGGAGGCTGGGAACGAAATTCAAGGATGCTGGCAAAAGTGTATCGCAATAAAATAACCAGTGCTAGGAACACCCAAGACAGTAATAGAAACCACGGTGTTGTTGGTCGCAGGCCTGCACCATGCACTGATCTCCCCCTTGTCAGACAGTCTCTCCTGGCAGATTGGACTTTGGACAGTTGCATACCTGGGCTACGCTGCATTCATTACCGCCGTGGCCCGTCCCATTGGCCTATACGGAGTACGTAGTAATACTACATGTGCTCTGTGGTCACAGTCACGTTGTATCCTTTGGCGGGCGCCGGGCTTCGAAGCAAGAGGGTGCTTGCGAGATGGTCTGGTTGACCAGGGGCAAAAAGATGGCCTCGTTTCCTGGCCTTCTCCAACACTTCGATACTACGGAGTACGGAGTACTAGCTACATCAATTAATCCCACACAAAACGTGCACCAATTAAAACCGGAAATAGGCCGTACATACCGTGTACACAGAAACACATGGTCCTGCAGCCCAAGACGTTTCTGTGTGAGAGTACTGCGGAGGAGCATGGGAAGTAGCAGATATTGTCCGTGGCCCAACGTAACGGAAACAGCTCTGAACACGAGAAGCGCCAGCCCACCATGATGCAGGTAGAAACAACTAGCATCGTTGCGCTGCCCACCGATCATCGGCACCGACGTTCCGCCGTACGGAGTTCTCCATGTACAATCCAATCAGGCCCTGCAAGTTTGGCTGGGTTCATGAACACCTGAGTGCAGCATGGATGGTGGCCGACTGTGAGAATGCAAAGGCCATCGCCCAGCCTAAAAGAGAAGGATCCGGTTCAAGCATCAGGCTGCTTCATCTGACGCTGACGGGATGCTGCTCATGCGTATCGTCAGCCAGCCCAAGGATCAAGGGAATATCCAAGGTCATGGAAGAAACGGAAATAGCACACGCTGCGCTGTACAACCAGCCCACGCGCATGCGGTGGATCTCGGGCTAATCTCACCCAACACAGAAGAAGACGACTTTGCGACGACTTTGTTGCTCCGGACAGCTGCTGCTATTCACATCGGAGTACTACTCCGTACGGAGCACTGCGTACGGAGTAATTTTTTTCATCATTCTTCTCAGGTCAGCCAAAGGTTGTGCAGGGTCAAGGCGAGGCCTCTGTTGTAGCGCCGGCCCACCTGTCCACCAACCTGCAACATAACGAGCATTAAGACAGGTCACTGTCATGTCCACATGCATGCATATGCCCATGTCAATGCCCCTGGTCACTCTAATGCTGTGGCGCCGGCCCAACTGCCAAGTCCCGTCAAGTCATCCCAGTTGCCGTGCAGCTAGCGAAAAAACAAGCCTTTGACTCCCGCTCTGGCTGCAGCATTAGACATGGCACCTGGGTCTAAGAAGCTTCCCCGACTCCGCCCTTTGTGTTTAATGTTGCTGAATGAAACAAAGGGGCCCTTGTGGTCTTTCAGGCGACCGAAGGCCATGCAGCGCGTCCACAGACGGGCGCCAGAAAAGCTCATGACTTCAATGTTGTTACTAGTAGTAATTTATTTATTAAGGTTTGATTGTTTCGCTCTGTAGTCAAATGAAATTACACGCATGATACAAGTACGTATCGTGCAAGCGTAAAATCTAAAACAGTACGGAGTATTGGGCTGTACCTTTATTTATTCTTTATTTAATTTATTTTTTCATGCGTGATGGCCTATTTAACATGGTATGCCTGTGTTGCCGGTCGAGTGCTCGACGGTTCAGCTGATCATCAGCTCCCGTTTCGTTGTTGGACGATAGCGCTGGCCGCATGCCGGTTAGCCCAACCTGAGCTGTCGTGTCCCCCATATTATGCCGGTACGGAGTATGAAGACGTGTTTCTGATCCGGTTACTATTGACTGTGGCCCGCCAACTATCGGTTGTTTTCTTGTCCCTTTTTTGGCGTGGAATTGCGCAGCACATGGTTTCGCGTCAAAAGGGCGAATCACACAACTGGCTCGGCACCGCAATACGTCAAGGGCGGAACATCGCATGGTCTTCTGACTGCCGTTCGACCGTGTCGATCCTGCCCACTACTAAAGTACGGAGTACCTTGGCTGCAACGTGCGAATGCTCGGTACCGTTGAAACAGTCGCCAACGGCAATTGAACGCCCACCGCCGTGCTTGTAATCGTCTCAAATCCAAAGGGGCATGCAACGCATTCATTGTCTTGGGATGCCAGCGGAAGACGGTGTCTGCCCTGCTATAAGTCGACTTTTTGCACGCAGCTCCTTGTACATACATATACATGCACATGTTGGGCAAAGGATATGTTTTCGAGACGCAGTGTGTCCGACGGCATGTCATTGAATACCCAGGAGTCAGCACATACAATGTATTTCGTGAAAATGTGTGTCCAGCCGGCCCTGCGCTATACATGACACCAGACAGTACGCTATTCCCGTTCTCTCCGAACAGGTAAAGTATATTAGTGCACAGCAGTATTAGTATTATATACATATCTCTACGACATCTTTCTTCTCTCCCCCATCATGTGCTTCATCTATCGTTCCACCTCGTCCTACTCATAATAATGGGCCGGGCAGGATCCCAGGGGCCCCGAATCTCATTCTTGTACTTTTGCAGCCCAATCAGCCACCAACTACACCCACCCGTGGCCAGCGCGGCAATCACGACGGACAGGATCATGCCGACGATGCCGCTCTTCCACGGCCATCTCCGGCCCTGACCGGCGCCCACAACCATGCCCACGCCCAGACCGGCGCCCAGGACGAGAACCACCGTCTGGAGAACGTGGTATCTCCAGCTGCGGTGGCGGATGTGCCGTCTAAACACGGGGAACAGCCCAAACACCTCGATGCTGAACAGCGTCAGGCTAAAGACCTGTCCGGTGGAGGGCAGGCGGCTGGCGAGCACGGTGGACGCCATGAGCGCGGCATTGGTCGACAGCGACGCGGGGAACTTGGCGCCCACGCCGCCCGAGTAGTCAAAGAAGAAGATGTTGATGGCGAGCAGCCAGAAGGAGATGGCCCAGATGCTGTCGCTGCTGGTCGACTCGGTGAGGGACCTGAGGATCGGGCTGAGGCCCAAGAGCGTGGACCAGATGAGCAACGCCGACTTGATGGTGCCGAGGCGCTGGTGCGTGCGGTTCTCGTCGAGCGGCACGAGGGGCTCGCCGCCGCCGCTGCCACGGAGGGCCTCGCTGCTCGTCTTGGGCGTCAGGCGTGACAGCGACGCGGACGTGGGCGCGGCTGCAGATGGCGCAGATGGGACCAGGCGGCCGCCGTGTAGATTCGCAGTGGAGCTTGCTGGCGACAGCGCTCCCGACGGCACGCTGCCCGACGGCTTCGGCGCCGCTGCTGTCGTCGACTCGACTCGCAATGGGTGCGGCGGCCTGCGGACGCTGCCTGCGCGGTTGCGCCGCCGCACGCTACCTGCCCGCACGACGGGCGCCGGGGCTGCGCTTCCCTCGGCGGCGGCGGACGCTGCGGCCGCCGCGTTTGCCTCGTCCTCCTTGTCCTCCTCCTCGGATACCCAGCGCTCCCAGAGGATCCAGCCGACAAAGGTGGCGAAGCTGCTCCAGCTGACGACCGACACGGGCGACACGCGCTCGTGGTATATGCCCACGAAGCAGACGATGAAGATGGTCACGGAGCAGACGTGTTGGAGGATGACGGTGGAGTCGGCGACGAGCGGCCAAAAGTCGTACGGCTTAAGGCGGGGGTTGCGTTGGAGGTTTTCGAGAAACGTTGCTTGGTCGGTGTAGTTGTCTGGGACTGCCCCTGTGTCAGTAGATATTGTTTTCCTTGTCTTTGTTTAATGGGTAGGAGAGTAGAGCGTGAGGTATTGCATGTGATGCGCAACGTACAGGATTGCTTCACCCACATGAGCTTCTTCCAAGCGCGCTTCCGTCGACGACTGCGGCTCCTCTCAGTGTAGCCGCCTAGCCGTCTCATCTCAGAGGTGCCGTCGCCATCGAAATCGCGTGCCCTTCGCGGCGGCGAGAGGTGTGCGTCTTGCGGGGAGAGATGCGAGCGTCCAAAGACGCTGAAGGTCGCGGCGTGGCTTAGAGCAGGGAACGGCGTCTCATCGTCCGTAGGCGAGGGCATCGCTGGGTGATGGAGCTCCTTGGTGTTATCGGACACTCAGAGACGGGTGTTTATGAGTTTGGACGCGCGCATTGGGGTTGTGCCATGGGGATTGGTGTTTGTCTGTGGTGAGGTTTTGCGTCGACGTTGTCAGGGAAGTTGCAGGGTGCTACGTAGGGGGCTAGTGTCGACGGTGGGGGATCTGCCTGCCAACATTGAACGGCTGGTCGCAGCGAGCTACCCTGTACTTTAGTTTTCAAGCAGTCATCTGCTTTGATTGTAGATTGGCGTATGAATTCGTTCAATTTTCTGCAGTGCACAGCGTTATCTTTGTCATACGCAGGTGCGTACATGCTGAATGTCCATCAAGATGGTGTTAGAAGTTGGCCAATGCTCATAACGGAGGAAGATTGTCGAAAAATAAAAGAATTAAGAGCATCACAATGCAGGCCCTGCGTAGCAGAAATTAGCAAATATATATGCCAACACGCCACAAAGGTAGCAAAAATACAACACTCTGCAAGAGTGCTTGGTAGAGACATTTTGTAGACACACGGGGAATTGAACCCCGGACCTTTCATAAAGCTCTTTAGCTTGACAGTTATTCGATGCGAAACGAAAATCTAATTTGGTCTTCCAGCACGGTAACTGGAGCTTTCAAGATGACATCCGGTTGGATACGAAAAAACAAGTAGTTGAGCCAAGGAACCGTTTGCTAGGAAGCTTGACCAGACCTGCATCGACCTGAGATAGTGATTGGGGAGTTTCGCAGAGAATTTGGAGTATAAATACTTGACCCTTTGCAAGATACTGGATGATCAATTGCCAAACTTGACGCCATGATGAGAAGCGAATGTAGGGAAGAAGAAACATGGCAAAACGACTATCTCTTTAGCTGTCTACTAGCTTGTGGAGACTGCTCTGCCATATAATTTTCTTAAGTAAGCGAGTCTCCACAAGCTAGTGGGCAGCTAACGAGATTAATTGTGCCCGCTCCAATAATTTTCTTTCTGTAAAATCACGATGTTAGCCAGTATACCGCGGTCCATATTTACTGTAGGTAACGGCAGGCACTCCCTTTGATGTGTTTTTTTTTCAGCTTGTTTTTCTTCTATCAATAGTAGACTGCTTCGCACAACCGGTACTGCTGTCTCTCAGAGCGCAACATTCTCATCTTTGATCTTGGTGCCGACTCTGGGTTAGGCCACAGCCAGTCGACCAACTTGTATGTAATTTCCTCGCTTAATGCGATGGCAAATGGAAAAAGCTTGACTAGACGGCCTAGCTCTAAAAGTTGATGCTGTTGTCGATGCTTGACTGTTATGGGCGATGTTGTATACTAAACATTTAAGTGTTTTATCCACGCTTAGGTTATTATATTTACCTTATTATCTATTTCTATTATAAATATGTGTATTGGTGTGTTTATATAATAGGCGTGGCGGACATTTACTATTATGCGTGCTATTATACTGTCCGGTGCTTCTACGTTGCGCACTTCGTGGCCTTGGAAAGGTGGTTCTCCAGAATCTCGGACTTTGAAAGGTAGACGAGATGCTTGTATCCTACCCAATAATCGAGGCACCTGAGGCACCTAGGGTGTTTCCACGTGGGGATAAAACAGAGAAACTACTTTGTTAGGCGGCTCGGACGTGGTTCTGGAAGAAATAGAGGTAGAAGATCTTATTGGGAGTGCTGTTATAGTAGGTGGAAAAGTTGTCGATACTTTTAGATAATCTTGTAGGGCGTCTTGACGTTGTAACGGAAGTTGATGTAGAACTAATCGTTCTTGTTACAGTAGCCTGCTCAGAGGGTACCGATAAAGTGTGGTCAACCCAGGTGTGCGTTAGTCAATAGTACTCCAGGATGCCGGTGATTGAACGTCCTTGGTATGTGGCACTGTGCATGTTTCTCGAGCAAAAAAATGATTTGGATCCAAACCGGGTCTTAAGTTTTCTATTGGCCCGTATTTATCAAGTCCAAGCGCATTCAAGAAAAATCACGAGATATTAATATTACGCCTACTTAACGCATCACTAAAGAAAAAGAGACTAGCCAACCTAAGAATCCCCATGTCGCAAACCCATCATGAAACCCGCAGCTATTATTATCGTATTGAACCTTGATTATTATTGTCTTGAATCGAGTATAATGCCCAAGAGATCTTCCCGAGACTTCCCATTAAACTGCTCCAAATAGTGGCTAACCATACTCCCTCAAGGACCATGGCCTTCCTTGCAGCGTGTACAGCACCTATCATTTGGCTTCACGGTTCCACTAATTTACGCAAAGAGAGTCGCGATATTGATAATCTTGTTGATATCTAAGGTGCTATTAGTGTTTACTTCGGGCTTTCGCGCGGCCTTGACTGCGGTTACGTTGTGAGTCGCTGGTAGACTTGGAGTCACGGTCAGAAGACCTATGTGACCTTATTGATCTCGTACCCAATCCTTTCCTGGCCCTCAAGCGGCTTTCAGGTCACCCCAGAAATGACTGTATACCTTACTTCTCAACGTATTCAGTTATATCATTACAATATAATACAAATATAATTACCCAAATTCTGGGCTTTGAAATCACGTGAGGACCCACTTTTGTTATAAGCTTAGAGTTTATAAGTGGAATTATTCAAAGACTAATAAATTATATTTATAAGTATTTTATTAGATTTAATATTAATTATTTTTAAAAACTACAAAAATACAAAAATAAATTATATAGAAATACTTTAACTATTTGGTAAAATATATACAGGGGTTAGGCTAATAAAGTACTTTATATAGAAGGAGTATTAAATTAACTAGCTAGTATTAACCTTATATAAAAAGAATTAACCAGCAAAAAAACTGGGAAGTTTGGACATTCAGGGAATCGAACCCTGGACCTTTCGCAAGGCCTTATAACTTATTAGCTATTACTGCGAAGCGAATATTATACCCCTAAACTAAATGCCCCTAATTTACTTTAAACCGACTTATTTTAAACTATATAGCTAGTTGCCAGACCCTACCGGCAGCGGCGGCGGCGGCGGCGGGGCTAATTAATGGTCGCACCCGAAAAACAATTACTTAGCTTGTCTGGAAGTCCCTATTTAAAGGGATATTTTCCTGTAGAAGGTACTCCTTCGTGCCTTCCGCGGTTCCTGGCGTTGCCGCGGTTAGTTCTACGACTGCGGGCGGCAGGAGCGACATTGATCCATGATTTTAACCTTGGCCTTATAATTTTCTTGCGCCTAATTTAATATTATCGTGGCCGCTGGTCTTTTATCACTTCCTTAATCTTGCTTTATGCTATTAGTTTACGTGGAAACGTTATCTGGCTCGTCAGGGAAACATGACATGTAATGGCAATATATGGTGGTATGTGCTTTTTTTTAGCGCGTGTGGCGGCTTTTGGCACCTTTTAAAGTGCCTGGATGATCTGAGATTCGGGTACAGTTACGAGGGTCACAAGCCGTGCCACACGCCCAGCTAATGTCACTACTGATATTTTCCAGTTAGGAGGTATTAACTCCTTCGTGCCTTCCGTGGTTCCTAATATAGAATGGCACTGATCAAATAGCAGGCCCCAGATGGGTACCTGTCTTTACAACGACGAAGAAAAAAGGCAAATTAATCGACCCAAAATCGATAACAGCAGCAGGGCAGTGGGAGCAGCGGCGTCATACACAGAGTGTATGCACAGAAGAAACGTCAAGATGACCAGTTGAAACTTTTTTTTACAATGTAAAACTATCTCTACGAAGATATTAGGCTCCCAATTTTTTTTTGCGCGGAATTTCATGCCCGGTGAAGGGAAGGAGCGGACGAGGAAGTCGAGCTGTTAAGGAAGGAGCGTCCAAGGAAGGAGCGGGCGAGCAAGTCGAGCAGACGAGGAAGGAGCGGTCGAGGAAGTCAAGTGGTCGAGGAAGGAGCGGTTGAGGAAGAAGCGGTTGAGGAAGAAGCGGTTGAGGAAGAAGCGGTTGAGGAAGAAGCGGTTGAGGAAGAAGCAGTCAAGGAAGTTGGTCGAGGAAGGAGCGGACGAGCAAGTCGAGCAGACGAGGAAGGAGCGTCCAATTTGGCGACGTCAGTTGAAATTCAATGACAAAAATCTGCAAACGCTTCGCGAATTCCTATATAAAATCCACTAAATCTTAATTTAATCAAGAATATCTTGACGAAATTGGATTAAGGGAATTATATTTCACACAGCGCTATTGGTAATTTCAAATACAGCATCGAATCACGGCAAAGAAATCCCTGGGACGTTGTGTCACATACTCGTTGGCGGCTGTGCTGGGAACCTACGGGCTTGCATCGATGCTTCTGTATTTGAACAGTTTGTCTCGTGTATCGCTCGTTGATATCGAATGCATACAGCTCATCTAATCAGTCTACAGAGAGAAAGCGAATCAGCTTTCAACTTTAACATGGACGTACGGCCCAAAGTGTCTTTCATACAGCCCGAATGCTAGAGTAGCTTGAGGCCGGCTGACGAACTACGAGTGCCGTCCCGGGGACTACAAATACAGCCTCTGGCAATATGTATATTCCCATGGCCAAGAATACGCTTACATGTCAAATGTAGGTACACCTCTACGTTGGTAGCGAGTAAACGCCCCCCTTCCTGTCCCCAGTAGAGTCGAGAAAGTCTGTCATTATTCCAGGACTTGCCACCCGCTGCAAACGCCGACTCATATAAAGCCCCGAACAAAACTGTAAACAGTGAAGTCAGTGCTCCATACACAGGTTGCGGATCTTGCCCAGCTCCTCCCCTGCGCATGTACTCACCCGGGCGGGTAAAACCGCAAAACTCGGCTTGTCTCTGCCCGGCTTCGTTGATCAAATACCTGGCACCGACGGATTGGTAAGGGTTTTCGAATGCTATTATTCTCATAGACCTAAGCGATTAAGCCGAGATAGGAAACGATGTGATAGGTCCACCTGGTCTTGGGCTCTTGAGACACTTCTTAAACAGTCAGCGGTCTAGATTCCCCCTTGTAATCATCAGCCAACCAATCATTTCAACTTGTCAACGTAACAAAAATGCAATAATAGGCAGCGCGTGATTCTCAGCTAGACATTTGCTTTTGCAGTCCGTGAGTCAAACTCGACACCGGATTTGCCAGATCGTCGATCTAGAGAGTAATGGGAATGTGAAAGCGCAGAGATCAGCGTTTTCCGAGCCCGAGGTCCATGCCGTTGGGATAGTGTACACTGTGTGGTGCCCGAAAAGAAAAGAAGACACGAGAAGGTATTGTCTTGCCTTGTCTTGCAGCCGACGATGGATACATAACGTCTTGCGGCAGCCTGTAAGTCTGTAAGCCTGCTCTGTAGCCAGAATATCAAGTTTGGAGGGGTTTCTATACTGCACCATCTAGCAAGGCTGCATGCCAACATCTATGGCACGGTGATGATGCAGAACATATTCTCCGTGGCGCCTCTAAACTTGTTGTTTAGATGATCCCTCTAGTTAGGGCGTATATGCATGGTTCACAACTTCACAACCCAGTTCTGGTCTGAAGCCCTTATCCAACTCGAATCGGTTCAACGGAATGAGAGAGGATTTTCAGACGATAACTTGAATTGTCTGATTATGGTAAAAGGACGGCTATGTACATGGTACTGGTATGCGTACCTAGGTAGTTGACACGAAACGCGGCTCTTGCCAGTCGCCATCAACGGCAGGCGAGAGATTGGTGACTTGAAAGTCGACAAACAGTGCCATAAAGATATTCAAACCTATAGCAGGACACAAACCTGAGTCTTGATTGCCATGTAAGTAAGTCCCGTTGATTAGTGACAGGGCCCTGAAGATATTCAGAAGCACGTGCTTCGTGCGACGCACCTTCCTCCTCTTGTGTTCAGTCCTCAAGTCCTCAAGTTCCACTTAATGATTCCTCGTCTCATCTCAAGGCCACGCCGTCTTGCTCAAAGTCGCGTATATATGTGCGTGAACCCAAGGGTATGCCGTACTAGCTAGTTCTCGTCTTTTTTTTCTTTTTTTCTCAGTTTTCTTTTTTCGAACTTTATACAAGTTTTATCGCTCCCTGCCCGTGACGTACTCGTCGGTGGTCAGATGATGGTTCACCCAGGTCTTCAGAACCGTCCCATCGCAGTGAAAATGTCAGAATACGCTCAACCATGATCCATCTCATTCGGTTGGCAGATGTGTCGCTTTCCGTGCTCCCTTGCTCGATAATGGTCGACCAAGGCCAAATCTGTTTCCATTTGCCTGCTTTGTTGTCTTTCCTGTTGGCATTGTACTTGCCATCAACAAAGACAATCTTGGACACCATCCTCTGCCGGCCGTGGTTCAGCATTTGACAGTCCGTTTTGCCGCACCTCCCTTCTCGCAGGATGAGCTTGGTCTCTGGTTCGTTCAGGTCTAATGGAGCAATCTCAATGATGTTCTCGTCGACCCAGTATCGGAACTGTCGTGCCGTTTTTCGAAGACGAACTTCGCACGGCACGTCCTTGTCGACCCCTACCATCCAAGACCGATCCACCTCGCCGATCTTTATGATCCAAAGATCTCGCAAGTTTGGAAACCAAAACTTGTCAAACTCGATTTTGCCGTCGTGTCCGCCAGGGTAGCATCGTGCGAGATACTCCGAGTAATGGCACGGGCCGTCTATGCGGCCATCGTCGGGAAAGCAGTCCCAGAACGCGAGCCGTTGCACGCGCAGCGCCAACTCCTCCAGTGGCATATTCGGACTCTGGTCCGAAATATTGGCGTCACAAACCAATATATCTCGTGAAAAGTGAAACCATGACCCGCGCCCGACTGATTCATAGCCTTGTCGAGTCTCTGCGCGGGCCTCCGCATTCAACTGCGTGACCGAGGGCAATGGATATGCCTGCTTTTGGTGAACCAGGTCGTCCAAGATGACAACCCGGGGTTCCACGGCGCAGGACCATATCTTGAGTCGAAGCTCAGTAGGTAACTCGGCAAATGTTGCCATTTGGTAGCAACGTTGGCTTCGTGTACACTCGCTCTTTGAGTCACCACAACACTGTGGAGCCGCCATCTTCTGATGGTATTTCGAGTTGTCCTCGGGGCCGCTGGGGATTGTCTATGGCGGCTCTGTTTATATTTGAAGGGGAAAGAGGCAATTTAGTTTCAGCCCCGTCCCAAGCTGTCGGGACTCGGGACATGAATGGGGCCAGATTTGTACAGCTGAATCAATGTGGCGGACTACTCACAACTGAACACGCAAGGGAAACAAGGACGTGGCGCTACTTATCGTCCGGCAAAAAGCGCAACGCCATCGTCATTATCTAACGGGTCCGAGCCGTATGCGGTCTGGCTCGGTCGCTTCGGAGCGCTTGCTGAAGACATCGTCGACATGGTTGACTGACAAAAGACACACACTGTGTCACAGACACCAGGGTTGGGGACCAGCTTCACCGACGGTCTGTTCCCAGTGTTCCCAGTGTTCCCAGCGGCTAGCTGCATCATGTTGGGTTCATCACTCGGCCAACAATCCAATAGGCGTTATGGTTTGAATGAATTGAGCTCCATGGACTCCTTACATCCCATGTAATGGCAAGGTCGTGTCTCAGGAACTTGCATAGAGAAAAGCACGGGGAGCCGCATGACAGGTAGCAACTTGGTGCGAACTCTCGGGACGGTCCTCATGCAAATCGCGGGGGGGGCGGCCACGATCCGCATCTTTTCCTGTTTTGTGCCCGTTCGCCATGTATGCCAAGGGCCAATCCGGGCGCAACTTTCAGACTGTAGCAGAATCTCACTGGTGTTGCCATTGCGCGACGGGAACGATGCATGGTCACTGCATTGACGACGCGGCGCCAACCCGCGATGGCGATGGTGTTGTGAGCGACATCGGGCGGTTGCCACGTTGCCCACCGGTGCAGCTTTCTTGTGGACGTATCTACCCGACTCCCTGGCGGTTTTGCACGCTTCCGTTGGCTCACCTTGCACAGTCACCATGCATCTTGTCTTATCATTTGGTCTCCTGGTCCAAGGTGATGGACAAGCAGAGGAGGTGACAAGGTTTCCGCACTGTAAGCATCAAATGTCTTTCCATCCACATACAAGGTTCCATGCATCCCAAGGTTGCACTCTATTATCCTGGAACCCAATCAGATTCGGACTCTTATTAGACAACCGGACCAGATTCTTCACCTTGATCTCAATCTGACGGAGGCACCGAGACACGTGAAGAAGAACCGCTAAAACAGTTTTGGTCCTTGAATGGATTTGTATTATAATCAGAATGACTAAAATGTTGATAAGCGTACATTTCGGGAACCTCAGAGCCGACTAGTCTGTTCCGCAGCGTCGTCAAGGAACTCGTTTATCAGACCCGAGAATACGGTGGCGTGCTGGAAAAGAAACCCGTGGCCTGAATCGGGATACAAGTGAAGTTGAGCATTCGCGTGGCTGAGTTTCTTCCACATGAGGATACTGTTTTCTGTTGGCAGTAGAAGATCATTACATCCTAGAGATGATTCAAGTCAGACGAAGCCGCTCGTGGTTGACAGACTCGGAGATGAGTTTTGCTGTGAAAAACACACGTGTGTAATAAAAAACAAACGTACCATTCGCAATCAGCACCGGAAGCCGAAGTTCATGGAAGCGGTCGTACGATGCACCCGCGGCCTGTTTAGGATCCATAAACTTGACGAATGAAACAGCCTGCCTATGGGCGTTTTCAGCATCAACATAATCTGATCTGTCAGATCGAGCCTTGGCTATGCGGTCCCAGGCGGCTATGCCTGCGGCCTGGCTGCGCTCCGAGGTATGAAAGAAGCCATCTAGAAAGGCCCTGCGGTGCTCCTCGACAGTCACAGCGGCTTTGAGCTGGTTGAAGGGCTCGAGCGGCGCCTTTACAACACCGTCGCCAGTGCTCGGAGCGGTGCCGCAGAGAATCAGGCTTCGCACGAGCGAGGGAGCGTCGAGGGCAACCATCTGTGCGACGCATCCTCCCATCGAGAAGCCCATCACGTCCGCTCGCCGGATCCCAATCGCCCTCATCACGTTGACGTAGTTCTTGGCCCAGTCCGCAAACGTCCTGCCTACTTGGCCCTGCGACCGTCCAACACCGGCGTTATCAATGAGCACGACCGGCCGGCGCCCAGCCAGCGGATTGATCAATGCCGGATCCCAATGGTCCATTGTGCCCCTGGAGGAGAGAAAGACGGGGACCACGACCCGCGTCAGCCAGACTGTGACGTTTCCCGAGATTCAAACAGAAACGAGGCCCGGGGGGGAGGGGGAGGGGAGCAAATAGCAAATACTATCACTGACCAACCTGAAGTGCATGAACAGAACCAACGGCACGCCGTACGCCCTCCCCAGTCGCCGGTATGCAAACCGCGTCCCCCCAACATTCACGTACTGATTTTGCGCAGTCTCATAGGTAGCCATGACCGATGCCAAAAAAAAAAGACAGGCGTATCTCGTCCTTTTCACCTCCCAACGGCTCTAGCTCAAGACAGGTGCGCCTTGGGACGGCGATCGGTCCTTCCCCCGCGATACCCGTCCCAGCCGAGGTTCTCGACGGCACGTCAGCTGACCCATGGTTGGAGCGGCGGGAATCTGGGCCAGCTCATCGCAAGGCAAGAAATTGTGCTTGGCGTTTCAAAATGGCAAATCTGGGGTAGAATGGACCTGTTTCTATTTTTGTGCCTCTGAGGTAAAGTTTGTTGGTTGGGGCATACATTATGTATGCTCCGTACAATACATGTCCTTGCTTTGCAGCGTGGTGCGTTGTTTCAGAAACTGCCCCCCTCCCCTTCTTCCTGCACGTCCAAATTCATGTAGCTATTCGTTTTCAGGGTATTTTCCAATTGGCCTGTTGGGCAGGTTGTTGGTTTTGGCAGAGTTGGGCAGCGCAACCGTATTTTTCGGATTGCCTTTTTCGGGTGACGAGCGGACAATGGGGAGCAACGGGCTACGGATACCGAGTGCGGTGACGGCAATTCCGAGCCCAAGTGAATTCGTGGGCGCTTTTACGAGCGTACACAAGGTATATTAGTAGTATATTGGATCTCCGTCTCGAGCGAGCGTCAGGTGTGAGAATCTGGTCTAGTCTTTCCTTTGGAGCCATTACGCCCCCTCCTCCCCTGATAAATAACGCCGTGCTAATTGATATAAATGTACTCCATGCAATATATTCGTCGGTATAACAAAGTAACGGCCCGTCCCGTGAAGCAACTCCTTTCTCCGCAGTATTTCCCCCTTTCAAGCTTTGGCGCGTCTATTGTTAGCCATTCGCATGGCTCTTCATGATTGCCTCGTCTCGTCTTCCCTAGTGCTCCGTGACAGCAGGGCCTTCTCGGCCAGTGCTGAGTCCACGGGGTCCTCTACTGGTCCTTGCAGCGACGCAATATACACCCTAAAGATGAAGAGTCAGTCACAACCCATTCCCCAAAAGAGCCCCTTATCCTCCCAAAACATAAAGAGGCCAACAGGGGTGAAAGATGAAGGGGGAACAAAAACGGAATCTGGATAAAAACTCACCGTCTGAGATATGAGCACGCAACAGCCAGAACCAAGGAAAAGGCCAGAATAAACACTGCCAGCCGATTCCTAAAGCCCAGCAGCGAAATCCTGTGCCGGTGACGGCTATGGCGGCCGAGCCCCTTTCCTTTCCCTTTTCCCCTGCCACTACCAATGCCAGAGCCCACAACGAAGGGGGATGCTTTCTTGCCGTACGCAATAGTCATGACCTCGCCGCTGCCGTCTGCCACAGACCCGCGGAACGACTCGCTCAAGAAGCCCTGCACGTCCGAGGCGGCGTCGGCGGCATACCGGGTGATTTTGGTAATCATTGTGTTTGTGAAGCGGCTGGTGTGTGCTTGCACGACTTGCACGCGGACCACGTCCCTGCGCTCCATGAGGTTATCGTCGTCGGCCATGACGGGGCCCTGATGCCACGCCGGGGCGGCGCAGGCCGCGGCTGTGAGGGAGGCGAGGATGAGCGAGAAGCGCATTTTCTTGATGCTGCGAGTTTTTGGTGGTGGTGGTTTGATGGACGCGGATCGAGGTCTTGTTCACTGTTTCATGCACGCACGCGGCAGAGCAGCGATGACGGGTGACCCGGTATCAGCCGTATTCGCGTTCACGGCGTCTGAGGGTGTTTTATAAAAATTAAAGAAATAGATGTTGTTGCAAAGAGGTGATGATGTGCGTTGGTCTTGGACGAGAGCCGTTTTGGGGCCGTTTGTAAGTGAGTGAGTGCGTGGATGCCAAGAGTTAGGTAGTCAGTCAGACGGCTGGGTTTTCTCGACGGCGGAAAATCAAGTCTTTTTCCAAATCGTCTTGTTGGTGGTTTAGAATCAAATAAAATAAAATGTATATACTTAGTGCAGCACTATGCGTGTCAGTTTGGGGGAACGAGATTCAGAGAGAGGGCACGACTGCACGGGAGAGGCATTCGAGAGACGGGCTGGTCGAGATATAAGGCTGGACGGGGGGAGGGAGGGACTGGGAGGTGGGAAGCGGGCGGGGGGGTGCAAGACACACAGAGGAACCAGACAGAAGAGCAGGTATGTAATATTGTATGTCAGGCCTGGTGTCCAGTATCATGGCCGGCGTGTGTGAGAGGCTTGAGCACGAGCACCAGCTTGAGCGTGGGCATAGGCATGGGTCGGCCAGTGCCTCAGTGGGCGTCGAGAAGCGGAGGCGGAGCTGCAGGGACGCAGGCCTGACAGGGCCAGACCAGGGCCATGACCATGACGGGCAAATGGGCCATGGCAAGACGGAACATTGAACGGAGTGCAGAGGACGTGGTGGTGATGCAAAACAGCACTCATCAGCTGCACTGTGCACTTGGAGCCAACGGGTCAACAGGTGTGCCATTCAAATTGATCTTGAGCCTGGGAGCCTGGGAGCCCGGCTACGCGGTGCCGAGAACCAGCTCGGCGTCTTGTTTTTCCCTCCTTCCCCCTCCACCAACAAACACACTTACGGTAAGTACCAAGTACGGAGTACGTGCTCCCACCAACAACTCGGTCCATCTCTCCACAGCCAGCCATAGCAGATAACAGGAATAAGCCCAGATCAAGCACCAAGCAACAAGCAACAAGCAAAAAAAAAGCCTTGCCGGCGCCATGGGTTCCCGCCCACCCCCCGGCACGCTTCGCCTCTGAGAATGGTATCATAGGCTGATGGGAAACAGCCACGGCTTCGACCATGTGGATGTGGAAAATGGGGTCCCGGTCAATCAAAGAGTCTGGCGACGGCGCAACGGTGCCGGCCAAAAAGACTAAAGACGGGCGACTAGGGCGAAGCTCTACGCCATTAATCTAATGCAAGCTATCAGTTGAAGACGGACGGCATTGACCAAGGAGTCATGACCCCGGCACCAGGTCCGCCATGAATGGCTCGACATGTCGCCCGACGACAGTGTACGCCAGAGGCGAGTGGTTCTATGTATTTTGTTTTCTTTCGTTTTTACGACACGGCTCGAACAACGGGTGGACTCGTTTGAGGCAATGCCCTTGATAAAAACATCGTGGCCTCATATTGTCGGACTCTACCCACCGCGCAAACAAGATTATGGCCCAGGGTCAGTCCATCAGCCCAGCCGCAATTGACCAGCAAGCGTCGATCGCATCTCTTTTCCCGTCACCTTTGGAACAAGAGTACATAAGCATGACATGCATGGTGCGCTCTCTGTACAGCGCACCAAGCACCACGATCCTGTTGTACTCCGTATCGTCAGCAAATATCAATCAATCCCCAACCAACATGAATAGACGTAATAGTTGACTGACAGCCAGGCAAACCGCCAATCGCGAGACGGCAGGGTGAAACAGCGTCTGGACCATGGCCGACTCTCTCTCTCTCTCAAGTCCCCTGCCCTGCCACGCTCCTCTCGTGATAGTGGGCCGCCGCCATGAAGAAAGCTTGGTGTCGCTCCGGTGGCATTTCCTCGCCCAAGGACGACTCGGGTGCTCGTTTGGGCCAGCTGGGCCAGCTATTGCCGCGGCGAGAAGGAGTGACGGGCTATAAAGAAATCTGGGGGCCTGGCGAGATGCCTGGAATGGAATCGTGACGCCGCCCCCCCGTCCGCATCCAACGCTACTCCGCGCCCATAGAGACTTCTCCTCGGACGATAGCCGAAGCTGGGCTGAACGCCTCTTGTCGCAACTTTGCTCTCACCGTCGTGGTTGAAGCCTATCATGCTGGGGCGCATCTCCCATCCGTGCCCTTTTGTAGCACCACACGCCTACGCAAGTTCTGACGAGGCCTGGGCCCTTGTGGGAGACGGCATAGACCAACCATGGATCAGCATCGTGACCCAAGGAGCATCCGACGCGCGGGCTTGCAGCCCTTTTTCCATGTATGCACATGGGCCGACGTAACTTGAACTATTTGTTATTACTTTTATTTTTTAAATACTACTACATGCGCTGGGACAAGGTTAACTAAGCTTATTTATTCTGCCCGGGCGGCCGAACTATTCCTCCACCGATGCATCAATAACGATGCCCATCTGCGGGATGGCGGTGGGAAATCTTCAAGGCATACATCAGAGGCGCTCACGCACCCCGCGTCTCTGGATGTGCACATTAACGACTTGATGAGCGAGTAGGTAATAAGTGACCATTGGCTCGACAATGACGCCCTATCCCCAGACCACCATGAACGGTGGCGCTTTATGCGCTGGTAAAATCCAATCACCTCATTTTCGCAAATGTGCAGATCATTTACAACAGACCGCGGATTGTATCCCACTCAGTCAACTTGCAATGAGCCTGAAAGATTGATCAATGCGGATAAAGCGACACGCAACGTCAAACCTCCTGCTTGGCGTGTATTGAAAACGTGCTGCGGGACACGTCTGGTAAACATAAAACCCTAAAGCGCACCAAATTGGGAGGCAAGGAATCTTGAAACGAGGGGCGAGGTTGTCCGCCCATGCTCTCCGTCCGGTCATTGTCGCACGACGAAGCAAAACGGCGATGACGGCGACTTGAAATAGATTGTTGCGAGCTTGAAAAGGCAGGATTGCCTCTGGCTCCTTGTGGCGCTCGCATGGTGAAGACGCTTTTTATCACTGCAACTAGATGTGCCGCTCATCCATCACCTGCTCGCCAGATGGCAAGATTAGTACTTTACGTAGTACATACATGTCCATCCCGTGTCACTCCTACCAGCGTGTCAATGGGCCAGTCTTCTGCCGACTTTACCTGCGTTTACATTGCCTACGGCGAATCGGTGGTTTTCAGGAGCTGTACACACGTACAATGCAACAGTATCACGCTTTCACTTCGTCCGTTGTGTTGGATATTGACACACCGTCTTTGAACCATGCATCAGATCAAAAAGGGTGCTCGAAACATGGAGGGGATGCTTGTTAAGCTGTGCCTAAAAATCAGCCTTCAAGGGCTGGAGCTCCTCTCAAGTCAAGCGACGAAAGCAGACGCTTCTATTTATGGGATCAAATCGCTCACACGCATTCCACTTCCACTTCATGCAGCAACTGAAACATGACTTTATAGGAAACACCCTCACGCGATCTCTCTATTCCCGCAGAATCAATTAAAATCGTGGAATTTATCCAAATGTAACACGATCCGTCGCAAGGATCCCGTCCAGACAATGTCGCGAGTCGCCACCCTGTGCGCCGCGAAATACTTCGAGAAACAACCGACACCCTTTACCTACCCATTGCCATCCTCCGCGAGCGAAAAGTCCCTCCCTCCGCATCCCAGGAACAGGGATCCTCGCAAGCCAAGTCTGCACATCGAAATACCAAGACCGAGCCCGGCCCTGTGACTGGCCCAGACAAAACTTGGCTTTTTTTGCGTGATCCCTGAAGGGGCGAGAGTGCTCGGGATGCTCCGTTGCAAATACAATCCTTGTACACTTTGAATTCCAAAAAACGCCCCCGGGGCCAAACGGCTGACACTTTTACAAAAAAAACCCACCATAACTATTTTCCCCTAGTAGATTAGGCTTCTCGAAGCAGTGACATACTCATGGGCGGCGAGTGAGAAGCCAACCCCGAGCCCACGTGTGACGCTTCACAAGCCCGTCTCTTTGCGGCGCGGTGGCTGGCTGGCTACGAAGCGGTTGGCGGGTACAGATAGAGTTATATGAAGCTATTGGACTGCTCGGCCATGATTGACTTTTGGGTCACCGAGGTGGGATTTATTGAGTGCCTTGAATGTCGTGATTGTCAATAAACGTGATGCACCGATGAGACATGGAGCATGAGTCGCATCTCACCTTGATCCTGTTTTATTAAGCAAAGCGGCACTTTGGTTGAGTTTTATGCCATGCTAGATATGTGGAAGGCAGGCAAGAACTAAGGAGCGTAGCTTCCTGCTTTGCTTTTTTAATAAGAGTCCCTGACTATCACGCCACCACAATCACAAGCCTTGTATAGTTTAAACTTGATCTATAATTGGTCTAGATGACCTTACATTACTGTTATTGGCTTGAATTTCAAGGCCGGTACGTAGCTTTGTGGATCATCATGATCCTGCTGTTGTAGCGTTGAAGCACCTTCCAAGGCCACGTAGCAGCTTCAACAGCTTCAACAGCGCCGCAGGCGGAGGGCCCTCGGAGCTGGAGGGGAAAATGAAAAAAAGCTTCAACAGGCCCGAATTCAGCAACCTCAAAATGGTCAAATTCAGCAGCCCTAAAAGCCTCAAATTTTGACCCCCCCCCGGCTTGCCGCTTTGCTTACACTCATGACAAGGGCACGTTGTCATCAGACCGAGTTACGATCCTGACTCGGATTTCACTGATGTCGAATTTGACCGTCAATTGCTCGGCGGGCTCACTCTTTTTGCTAGGTGCGCTCACCCCCTTAATAGGTAAATACGTATTAAGCTTAAACTCTTCTGAATATATTTTTTAGAGATAATTTATAGCAAAATATATTTACCTACCACAAAATATATAATAATATACTATAATATATAGCCTAATATTTAAGTACCTGGTGGTACGTGAGCGCACCTAGCAAAAAGAGTGAGCCCGCCGAGAAATTCATATTTGACCAGCTGCTCACTCATCTACCACCTCTGGAGATACTCGAGTGGTATGTAGGGCCGCCGTTGTGGAGCTAGAGCATTCGCACACAATTCATGGGACGTCTGGTGAGACAACACTCGACAATTAATGGTCAATGGGGCGTTAAGAAACCACAGAATATTTAAATTTTGGTAGGAAAATAAACTACCAACAAACAAAAAAGCAAACTGACATCAAAAAACTAAATTCCAAACGTTGCAACACGGCCTGCATTCAGCCGGAAGACAGGCCAGCCAATGCCCTTGAAGAACTCCAGAGCCGAGATCCCAGCGTCGGCGGCGTGCCGATTCAGAGCATTACCCTTATCATCCTTATCGTAGGCAGGTCTTACTGTTGGCTGAGGCTGCTTCTCATTGCCAGCAAGGAAGAGAGGGATCATGGTATTGCCCCAGACCGAGTAGAGATCCGGCCTGCTGATATTGTCAGCCTGGTCTATAACCACGGCATGGCCGTTTGAGTCCTTCCAACGCTTATAAGGCAATTGCCAGGAGAGGGTTGGCGTGGTGGCGACGGCATCGGCTACAAGTAGGAGCTCCCCGAGGAAACACTTGACCTGATTATCGGTGAGCGGTTGGGCCTCGTAATCTCTCCAAGGCTGATCCCCAGCGGCAACACCACGCAGAACAGCCAACTCAGCTACGTTGTCTATGCGGGCCTGGAACTGGTAGAGGGCCGTGCTGTCATCCTGGTGCAATGGCTCAACCGCTTGCGACCGCAGTATCTTCAGGGCCCAGTATGCCAGCGATAGGTGAAGCTTCCACCGAGAGGCGCCTCTGCAAGCCGATTCCGGGGCAGCTTGATCGCCCAAGTTGGGGTTCCGCAGCAGGCGGAGGAAAGCAGCCATCTCATCGTCCGGCTTATGCCCCCGTATAACAAGAAGTCGGCGAAGGCGGTTGGGGTTCCCCGATTCCATGCTGCCGTTGGCGGTCTCAACAACACGACGACTCGTTTCATACATGCGAGCAGCAATGTTGTCAACAGCGACATCGGTGGGCGCGGACACGTAAATAGACTTGAATGTCCGTATCATGCCGTACGCAGCCACAGCAAGGAGAGATGTCCTTCTGAATCCAGGTTCCTACATGGAAAGATTAGTACTAGTTTCTATCTGGTATAAGAGGAAACTTACTGCCGTCGCTAGACCCAAGCCCAGAGGACGCGACTCGAGGTATTCGGAGAAGAAGCCGCGTTCATGAGGCAGAAGCTGCCTCATGAGGGCCCCTCTCTCCGGGCCGCTCGCGATGTTGAGCATATTGACACGTGGAAGAATTGGCATCTTCTCTCCCAACGCAGCGGCTTGAAGGCCCTCGTGATCAGGGTTGCCTGCAGCTATGGGTGCAACGGCAATGTCAACTCCGTAGAAACCTCGACCGCGGACGGCAGCACGAGCCACTTCAAGCCTTTGTTTGACCCGAGTAACATCCCATTGATTGCCCTCAAGAGAACGACCGTCTTTCCCAATCTCGACCCCGAATAATGCTGGGTTGGACGGGCGAGAGTCTGGCGCGAACTGACATACGGCGTCGATTTTGCGGACGTAGTCATCAATGCCCGAGTCGAAGTGCAAAGCAGCGCAGTTCTACTGATCATTGCTTTGTTTCAGCGCCCGCTGGGCCAAATAGCAGGCCTCGAATGTTTGAGGTTCAAAGTCTGGGCCGCGAGCTACCTCACTTGACTTCGGGCGTTGTACATGCAGAATCAGCTCGTGATTCCTCACGACATGGTTCGCCAAATCATCGATACTCCGTGGGTTGTCGACAATTCGAGCCAGCCAATTCGCAATGGGGCCTCCCTCCAAGTTTACTTCATCGAAGATGTGGAGTTCGAGTATCCCTTGCGCGAGGCGACGCCAGGCAGCCGCAAACCGGGACCGGAATCCAGGCTCCAGTGGCACCAAAACATAGTACTGGTGACTCGGTACCACATTTCCAATTCCAATGAAATAAACCCTCATACGGAACTGGGAGTAGATTTCCTTGGCGGCCCTGTCTACCCACATAATGTCCTGGGCGAGCGACTGCGTAAGGACAGCAAGGTGACTGTTATCGCTGTCGAAACTGCGCGCAGGAGCGAATTGGGGACCCTTGTTGGCGTCAACCAAGTCATGATACCTCTGCTCATCCCAATAATGGACAGTACCCCAAGGATACTGGAATCGGGGAGGCAATCTGGTGACGTTCCAATCAACGCGGAAGGGTTGATCAGGCCTGTTGACGACAAAGGTGTATGTGCCAGACTTGAGAATATCCAGCAACGTCTTGCCCTCGAAGACAGCCCCGTTGCGCATCCAGCTCTCGCATTTATGGCCGGGATTGGCGAAAGGCATGCCGATACCCTCAATCTGAATGGCGTCAGGGTCTCTCACAGAGACATAGAGCTGGCAGACCTTGCCGGGCTGGAGGGCGGGAGGGAAAGCCCGCAGCAACACACCGTCGACAGGCGTGATCTCCGACAAAGTGGATTCCCGTGGAAACTTGACGGTAATGTATAACGAATCCGTCGTTACAGGAGCCCTGGTCTCATTAACTAAGAAATGTTAGCACTGTAAACGTGATGGTCAGACGATGAAAATAGAATACGTACAGGTGTGCCACTTCCCAAGACCCAATGCTTCGGTATCAGCCGAGAGCGGGACTTGGATGGAGAACCCGAACCAGTTCTCTGCGTCAGTCCTTGGTATGAACATGACGAAGCACTCGATGTCAGTATCGAGGCCCAACTTTTGGCCACCGATAAATTGTCTGCGGCTTGGCTCACCAACAACCATGGCGCACAGGTTGCGGGCTATTCTAGCTGCAGGTGGCGGGTTGTTGGCTGCAACCACTGCGGGCCTGTTTGGTCGAGACATTGTGACTGCTAAGGCTATTAGCACAAGATTGGCTGAGATATGGTGAATCTTCATGTAATGCAGTAGTAGTTCTAATGGGGCGGGCACGATTAGATAAACTATACGGAGTAGACACATACCTAGATGTCAAGAAGGTTGATAGAGATCCCCAGATGGGTGACCTTACAACGTCGAGGCGAAGGTTACACAGAGACCCCCAGATGGGTGGCCTTGTGAGCGAGACGAGGTGAAAAAAAGTCAGAGACCCCCAGATGGGTGACCTTGACAAACGGCGAGCCGAAGCTAAACAGAGACCCCCAGATGGGTGGCCTTGACAGCGGCGAGGCGGAAAAAAGTCAGAGACCCCCAGATGGGTGGCCTTGACGGCGGCGAGGTGAAAAAAAGTCAGAGGCCCCCGAAGGTTGCCTTGACAAGAGCGAGAAAACGTACGGCGAACGCACTATAACGAGAAACGGCACAATAGTGCCACTGCGAGAACGGCTATTTCGAGATACGATTAGCTAGGTAATTGTAATTTAGCAGAAGACTTACAAGAAGCTTGAGAACATGGACTGGAGAGAAAAGGAAGAAGGGGAAAAAAAAAAAAGAAGAGAAAGGCGGAAATATAAAACAACAACGGACGTGTGTGGCGACCCACTACGAGATTAGACAGAAGCTCACCTTGTGTTCACTTTCTGGGCGCGTCTACGTGAATCGTCTTTCCTCTTGCTTCCTCCAAAAGAGCACCGCCCCGATCCTCTTTTTTTGTCGGGAGGAAACCGCGCAAGCATTGTTGTCTGAGTAAAAAGTTGGGGTGGGTATTTCAGTGTCATCCTCTTCTTCTGCAGGGGCTGAAAGACTATTATTTATGCTGTCTTGGGTGCCTTTGTCCGGGTTTCAGCATTGTTCTTTGAGTATAATTTACCAAATTTATTATTATTAGTTATCGGGAATCGTTAATTTAGTTTTATCCTAAATTTATGGGATATTTGCAGCCATACTTCCGAATTGTTTATTGGTTCTTGGGAGATACCTGGGAGTTTCTTTTCTACACGATGGCACTTGAATTCGCATACAAGACTAGAGACGTCGGGGGTCATCACCTTCGAACCTCGTTTGATGACCGCTGAAGAATGGGACAAGTGTGACAAGGGCTAGAGGCTTGGAGCAATTACTCAATTCATCTAATAACAGTCTTTGGCATCAAAGATCCTTGGTTTTCCTTAAGGCCTTGAGCGACTAAAGGCCTCTATAAATACAACAAGTCGGTGAGGGACTTTGCCCTAGGTCCCGTGACTGTAGCCCTTGTGTACCCGTGTGACAACAAGGAATTACAAAAGTATGACAGAGACGCCCCTGAACACCCGACTGACGAGGAAATCACCAACAGGTATAATCCGAATGGTGAAGAAGCCGCAACGCTTTCCTTCGCGTCGTTGAGTACGACGGAGTCATCCGCAAAGATGGATTTTCGAAAGACGTTCAGAAATTTGGAGTTGGACTCGATGGATGACAACGGAAAGGCCGTAGTTGCCTTCTTGAGAGAGAAAAATTAGCCAAATTTGCCAGCGGGACTACAAAAGGAGATCAAGGCATATGATCTGGTCGATCTACTGGCTTTAAAGGAACAACGGCGCAGGCATCAAACAACATTGCTGTTAAAAGGATGAGGCGTCTTGACATCGTCTCGAACGCCGCACGATGCCACGCAATCCTGTCACGCCTATACTTGGGCCACACCTACTTGCACGATAAATTTAAAGAGTACAGGGAAATCTTTGACAATTGGGCGGATTGCCCGGATCTACCAGACGGACCGGCCCCGGACACGGAGCGCAAACCGCAAAAGAAGGCAGGAAAGAACAAAGCTCAAGATGGGGATGACGCTCCCAAATCGATCTTGAAGGACGCGCAGCAGAAACACGAAGCCGTCGAAACAGCTCAGAGGGAGAAATTAGACAAAATCGACGTACCATTTGGGGAAATTTTTGAAGTGGTCGAGATATCCAACATGGCGTCTAGAGAAAAATTCTTGGCAATCAACAAGGACAAAAGAGAAAAGATGGAGGAGTTGGAGAAAACAATTAAGCGCATCAAGTTTCAGATAGCAGTGGACAAGGAAATTAACGCCAAGGAGCCAACAAACGTCGCGTCCGTCGTCGCAGGAGCGTTATTCATGATGACGGTTGGGGTTTGCGCTGGTGCCGCAATGGTCGCATCTGGAAGATCTTAAATGGATGGATGGATGGATGGATTAGATGAGGTCTCGATTTGAAGGAGCTTGCTCATTTCTGGGGAATGTCTCTTTTATTCATGCGGTTATACTACCAGTCTGATGACAACGTAAGCCCTTGGCATAAGTGTAAGCAAAGCGGCAAGCCCAGAGGGGGGATCAAAATTCGAGACTTTTGGAGGACGCGCTTTGTGTCTCTGTTTCAACCCCTCGAAGCCTATCTTCTTCTCTCCCGCCAATTTGATCTATTCCTGATCTAATATCCGGTTAACTAGGGACTTCCAGACGAGCCAAGTGATCGTTTTTGGCGGCGCCGGGGCCTGGCGTCGGGGCTGCTGTTAGTAAAGTTACTCAACTAGGTATATAGTTTAAAATGAGTCAACTAAATATCAATTAGGGAGGTGTGGTTTAGTGGTTATAACGATTATGAAATTATCCTAGCCTAGTGCTAGGTCCTGGGAGCTTCGGCACCAGCGTAATAATAAGAGGTCCGGGGTTCGAATCCCTGCACTTCCATTTTTTGTAATTTTTTTATAACTTATTTACTTTAATCTAATATTTATTTATTTTTTCATGGGATTCTCGGCAATCTGGTTTCCGCGCTATTACCCACTGGGGATCGTTAATCTGCCTTCCAAGCTGTAATAGCTTGCGAGGGGATAAATGCAATTCTGGGTGAAATAGCTGTATAAATAGATGATTTGACTTGATACTTAAGTATCCCAGAAATATTGCTTCAAAGTGGACCTGAAATGAATCGGTTTCCCTTCTTTTGTGGTCCGGACTGTGGCCCTTTTCTCGAATTTATGTATTCTCCAAACATTGCTTCAAAATCTGCCCGAAATACATCAAGTCTTATTATTTCATGATCTGGAATGCCCTCCTTGTCTCATATACGTAAACATTCAAACTTCGGGTTTTCGTTTGCAATCGACATGAGAGACGCCTTCGATACGCGGACACCCACATACCACTCGAGTATATCCAGATGTGATAAATGGGTGAGCAGCTGGTTAAATTCGATATCAGTGAAATCCGAGTCAGGATTGTAACTAGGTCTGATAACAACGTAAGCCCTTGTCATAAGTGTAAGCAAAGCGGCAAGCCGGGGGGTTCAAAATTTGAGGCTTTCAGGGCTGCTGAATTCGGGCCTGTTGAAGCTTGTTTTCATTTTCCCCTCCGGGGGCCGCCTGCAGCAACGTCTAAATTGTGCTGTTACGGACTCTAAGTATTACACGGAAATCGCCTTGTTACACAAGGGCTACGGTCACGGGATTAGGGCAGAAGGTCCTCACCGACTTCTTGTATAAATAGACATCTTCGGTCCCTCAAGGCCTTGAGGAAAACCAAGGACCTTTGATACCAAAGACTGTTATTAGATAAATTGAGTAATTGCTCCAAGCCTAAGCTCTTGTCGCAGAACTAAGCCCGGTTCTAGTCACAGTTGTTGTTGTTGTTAATAATTACAATACAATTTCGTTTAGATGCGCAGACGGTCTATTTTTCTGGTCTCTTACTGTGCTTGGCTTGGTACAGCCTAATACTATGCTATCAGATGCTACGGTGCCACGATACTCGTATCATGCTTGTAATTTCGTTTAACTAAAGAGTGTGTGATGAAATATGGCCATGTAAAAGGGCAAAGGAAAGTTGAGTCCATGCCAGCAGCCCTCCAAGTTTCGTGTTCGCCCGGGCAAGCCGAGCCAAATACTCTATTTAGCTCCACCGATTCAAGTGGTTTTGCAGTTCATTCCAAAAATGAGCTGAATGAGCAATGGATGCTGAGGTACTAATATTTAGGGACCATGTCTTGCGTATATGTTCTACGGTCGGTCGACTACGCCGGCAGATCCGCATACGAAATATCAACAGTATAAAATCTCCAACACGGTTTCTTTCGGTTATGCTCAAGACTAAACCATGCTGGTGGCGCACATGCCCTGCGCGAATCTGTATATGTGCACAAGACGAAGATTGGTAGGAATACGGATATTCAATAAGCCGCGTTCGCACTCGTTTCTCCTGAGGCTGCTTCCGTAGCCTGACATCTCTCGGGGGTCACTAGGTCGGTTTACGCCATGTTAAAGACATTAAAAAAGGTTGAATTCTCGACAAGGTTGAGGTACGGACTTGCAATACCCGTGGCGGACGCCCACATCTTGATTTCCATGGAATTGCGGTTAGAGTTTACATTGTTCGGCCAGGCGATGCGCACCGCTTCTCTGAGCAAGCAAAATACAGAGATGGAGACACTGAAAATATGGAGAAAAAAATTGTGTTCATTTGAGGAGCAGTGGTAGGTGAGGTCAATAAGCTTTATTTGCCACCTACGGGATTGCCTTTGTTTCGCAATGAATGAAGCAGGCACCGCTAGGAATGACGAACAGGAGCAAGATTGATTCTAGGGATGGGAACAACCATGGTGGGCAAGGAGGGTGGCCACAGCTCGGAAAACGTAAAGGCGCCGATCAATCATGAAGTCGCCGGCGAAACAAGACATTTATGGCGTCATGGAGAGAGGCTGTATATGCCTGGAACGAGGTTTGTCCACGGAGATGCAAACCAAGGGAGACAGACAAACGCAACACGGGTGGCATCGCACGCATACAGGTGTAGCCTGGCAAATCGCTTTTCGACAGAGAATAAGACGCCTTGGATAATATCGTTGGGCAAATGTAGAGACAATTGGTGGAATATCGCGGCTCTAGAATCACGGTTGGTTAATCAGGAACAATGATTTGAATTTCAACAGGCTTGACCCCATTATGCTTAATGGAGCTGCAGATGAAAGTGCAACTCATGTTATACCGCTTGCCAAATTCTAAATCGAGGGCTTGGACATGTAAGAGAGAGAGTGATTCCTGTTTAGTTGTGGATTCATGACAAAATATAAGGGGAACTTGATATGCTACAGCGCTGCCTCATTATCTGTATTTTACACGGGCACAAACCCTCGACCGTAACCAACAGGCGGAATATAAAATAAAATCGACAATATTATACCATTCGGCCGCAACGCCGGGCCTGTTCACCAATGCTGACGAGCCTCTTTGTATAATACACACGGCTCAGATAGAACCAGGAAATCATCTCCTGGATCTTAGCTTCTTCGCCCGGGTCCGCGTAGACTCGCGGTTCGAGACCACGTGCCCGCCTTCTTCAATCTTCCGAAACTCAATGCCGCAGGTGACTGTGGCACCGTAAGACCACCTTGCTCTCGGCTTGGAATATTCAACTCGACTTGTTCCCAGTCATTCTTGCCTCGCCCAAGTTTTTCGTCTCCGCTACCGTCCATAGCCGCCGGCGGAAGCAGGTGGAGCTTGGCTGGCTTATCACGACCCTTCATCATCGCACCACGAAGTGCGGCCCAGGACTCGACTTGTCCGTTGCTTGCCTCATCCACGCAGTTGCATTCATCCCCCGCTGGGCACAAGGTTTCGCCAGACGCGTGCCATTCTGCGAGGCAAGCTTCGTGGCTGGCACATCCGCACGAGAGGCATGGTGGGAACAATGCGTCGACAGGCTCGAGACAATACACACATTGGAGCTGTGTCTGTATGCGGTGACACCGATCGCATGTTCCGACGGCGCCCCCAATGTTGTTGTGAGAGGATGTATAGCGTGCTGGTTCAAGCTGGGTCTCGTGCGTGCGACAGATGCCCGTGACGTCTAAACCACGACCAGATGCCACGAGGTTATGGAGCTGGTCCTTCTTACCCATGACGATTGGGGATGAGCCCGTCTTGTGGTGGCCAATGGTGCCGCTGGCTCCATCTCTCAATGTTGTCGAGTCGTGGAAGCTCCCGTCAGTTATTGCCATTGCCGAGTCATCGCGAAGAATATTGAATTTCATGACCTCAAGTCGTGCCAGGGGCTGATCCCACATTTGCAGCATCTCTGCATATGCGTAACGGTATCTTGCGTAGATACTAGATCGGCTGGAGTCTAGCAGCGGCGTGTTCAACCACCCATCGTCATCGAATATTGACTGGTCTGCCTGGATAACATTGACTGAGATGGGAACCAATGAAAGAAGGTCATCGCGGCGGTAGTCCTCGTCCGACAACGAGGTTCTAGCCAGGCCTGAATCACCTGACGCATTTGCAGGTCCTTGCGTTGATGTTCCAGAGTTGGCAGCAGTGGGCACTAGACTGCTCATGATGTATTCGGCAGGGCTAGGTCTCTTTCTGCCTTGATTCGGCGGCGATGACGAGCCGCCGCCACCGAACGACTTCGGAAGCGTTGCGGTGAAAGCTGAAGCGAGACCAGTGTTTCCTCTCAAAATGCCTCGACTCGTAGGTGATCGCGACATCGGTGGCTGTGGCGTATCGCTGTCACCGAGGAACGCCTTGCCCTTCAGAGGAGGCGTCTCGCCGCAGGAATAGGAGCTGGTCCCCGGGTCACCGCTCCAGAGAAACTCATCAGAGGCGTGGGAGCCGGGATAGTGAACAGGAGTGTGAAGAGTTCCAGGCGTGGTAGCTGCTGAAGTCGTATGGCTTCGGGTGTGAATATTCCACCTCCATCCTGAGGCGTCCGTGGGGAAATAATCCAGTGAAAAGGACGGCGCCTTCAACGGCAGTGGCGTTTCTTGTTTTGTAAGATGAGACTCGACATACGCCACGCCATCATCCGTGTACGGCTCATTGAAAACACACGACAGCATGGCCAACATCTGGATATCAGCGAGTCTCTCGAAGTGGTCAAAGAGGTCCATAATGAACTCTTTGGCAAGCGGATGCTGCCCCCATTTGACTCTGCCAACGAGACCGCTGTCGCTTTTTGATGAGGAGTCGACCTGTGATTTGTTGATTTTGCTATGCTTTGATATGGCATCTCGAGCAATTATCAAAATCGAGGCTTCATTGTGGTCACGACCCAAGACCTCCAAAGGAATTCCCTTTGTTAGTAACAGTGCCAAGTAGCGCCATACATCTACTAATTCAGCATTGCCGTATTTCTCCGCAACCTGGGCATTATGTTCACAGACGTCAGCACCATCGCCAAAGATTGCGTATTCCTCGGCAAATTCCCTCTTCGACGGGAGGTCAGCTCGCAAGTCATGAATGGCAATCAAGTTTCGAGGTCGGCCGAATCGTCGGCGACTCGTGCCCGTACCGGTGCCGGTGCCTGCCCCAGTGCCACCACCACTCGACCTTACGGATCGATCTTCACTCCAAGTTTTGCGAAGCTGTCTGTTTGAGCTGTACCATAGGTTCATCTTATGCATCGAGGTCGACTCGGAGCCACTCGACGACGACGAAGACATTTCACTATCAGACTCGTCTGACTGATCGTCCGTGGCAGAGGCCTCATCCATCGCATACTTCTGCTTGGAAGGAAGATCATAGGTAAGACGACCAAACCCAGCAAAGAACGGCTCTCCTTTGGAACGTTCTTTGTTATAGAACTCTGCAGAGGTAGAGAATAGTGCGCGGGCTTTCTCCTCCTTTGACGGGAAGAAACAAACAAGCCGGCCATCTGGAGAAAATCGAGCGCCACAGGTACGGGGCGGAGGTGGAATAATGTTACGATTAGGTAGTGGTGCAAGAGTTGTGTCAGCATCTGCATGAGGCAACTCTTGAGACATTGAAGCAGATCCTCCAGCAGGGATATCCTCGTCTTCTTCGCTAGAGCTCTCGTCCGCAAGGCCGTCAAGATCATCGTCCAAGTCTCGGACATTCTTAAAGAAGGTAGTACTAGATTCTAAATCGACTTCACCGAGCAAGTAGGTAAAGGTGACTTCTAGACAGTTTTGCTTCCGTTGCAAAAACTGTTCGGCGAGTAGATGTATTTCCCGCATAATCTTCTTGTGTGTGTCTTCCGGCATAAAGGACGTCTTTTCAATGTAGAACGTTGGTGCATTGAGCTTGGGGTATCCCGCAGGGATGTCAATTTTCACTTTGACAAAGATGGGTTCCCCATCGACGCCCCAGGGTCCTGTCAGAGACGCATTCAACGTCAAGTTGTCCATGTCTATATTTTCCCATTTGACCTTGGGTATCTGCGTACTGATACGGAGAAGCTCTTCTTGAATTGTGTCCGGTTGGCCCCATTCATCATCTGGATAGTGGTGGTGGCTGAGAATTCCGTGGTCTTTGGAGGCACGTCGTCTGTAACCGTCAGTCGAGGGTTTCCGCTTTGTCATAGTAATGCCCTTCATCCACCCAAGTTGAGCTTGGCTCCTGTCGACATGTTTGCTCGAGTCAATCTTGGCTTTCATTGATGGGCCCCTCCATGCTGGTCGAAGATTTCGGTTCAAGCCAGACCGCCCACCAGATGAGGCGCCCCCCTGTTTATACTGTGCAAGACCGGTGCTAGCTCTGTGGTCGCTCATTGTGCCGGCCTTGCGGTCACGGCTCGCACTGTCATCGATAGTACGGAAGGTCTTATATGCTGCACCTTGTCTTGTGAGGTTAAGACCCTTCCTTGCCGGGCCGTCTTTGACATGACCAACAGCAGCGAGTATGTTGGCGTCAACGCAGTGTAACCTTAACTCATTATCCGTGCCCCATGATACAAGCTGAAACTCACGATGGTCAATGTTATCATCGGATACGCCTCCTCGAGATCTCCATAGAAATTCCTTGGCTTTATGATCACCATGACCCGGAAACACGGCAACAGGGTTCGGGGCAACCTCTACTGGGGAGTCTTCCCCCCATAGTCTGTCATACAGATACAAATCGCCGGGCTCATTTTGAGGCATGGCCAATAAACCCCATCCGAATGGTGTATGGCGAGCTCTCCAGACGGGGAAGTCGGTGCGGATGACATGTTCCAGCTCGTTGTCGTCCTTGCCGTAATCCCAGAACCTGATTGTCTTGTCCAGGGAACAAGTTACGATGCCAGTGCTTCGGGTGCGGTTCCAGTCAATTCCGTAGATCTTGGATGTATGCGCACTGATGGACTTGACAGGCTCGGACGCCTTTCGGTCGTCCCAAATATGTAAGAACCGGTCATGAGCCGAGGCAAGAATGTGAGGATCTTGGCGATTGAATTTAACTTGAGTGGCACCCGCAAACCAATCACAGAAGGTAAGAACCGGTTGTCTAGGCCGCCGTAGATCCCACCAATGGACATAGCCGTCAACAGAGCAGGTGGCGAGCATGTCAGGGTGATGGGCCGAGAAGTTGACATCGGTAATCGCGCGGCTATGTCCATGGAGCGAGTGCTCTATGGCTCCCGTATTAGAATCCTCTCTCAGGTTGAGATTCCATACTAGGGCGCGATGGTTCGCTGTGGACACGACCCAATAGTCTCGAGCTGCGAAAGGCGACCACTGAACGTCGCAAACTAGCCATGGGAGTCCATGACTTCTCAGTCGCCGCGGTGGGTTGTATGGAGAGTCCAAGTCAATGATGGCCAGTCCCTCTGGTCTACGTAGACACTGTTAGTCTAATCCAAGATGATGCAATGCGAGTCATGGAGGATCGCGAAAACATACGATGCAAGAGCAATATCGCGACCGGATGGAGAGATTGTTGCAGACCCAACGAGTCCTTCCACATGAATGGAGCCATCTGATTCGAAGCTCTCGCTATCATACGCCGACTTGATGATTCTACCCTTCTTAGGCGACTCAGGCCGCTGGGAAAAGGACGGCATTATGACTGCATGTCTTTTGCGACAGACCCTACAATAGAGGTCATGTCGTGGCTCATGTAAGGCGCGGTGGTGCGGTGACAGGGACGTGCGATATCGTGATGCCCATCAAACTCGGGGGCCGTACTTGGCAAGTTCACGGCAGCATGCGGAGCACTCGGCCAGCGCTTGGTTTCGAAGACGCTGTGAACGTTGGAAGCGTCCCGTGGCGCGCACGAAGCGATGTCGTTGAAGCTGAGCTCAGAAATTGGGAACGCTGGTATTCAGTCTATGTACTTGGTGCTAGGCTACAATGGGCATGCAGGGAGGCGCCAGCAGCTTATGGTCATGAGGTCGGGTATCCCTCTGCAGTTGTGTGGCGGGGAGGTACATCCGCTCCAGCCGCTAGCCCACCAACCGTCCAGGAGGTTTTAGCGATGAATTGATGATGCTAGTGGCCAGTCGGCGCGGTATTCATGAACATTACATTGAAGTCAAGTACAATTCTGTGTCAACATCATGTTGTGAAAGGTGTCAATTTGCCGAGGATGCGGCAAATGGCAAGTGATGGTGACCTTCTTTTTTCTGAGACACCAGACACTGTTTCATCAACGAGACCGATACCCAACCCTCGCCTTGCTACAGCCCTGCCAACAGTGAACCGTTTGTGACGTGGTGACATGGACCTTTGCGACCTAACAATGACCAGTTGACATCTAGACAGGGGATCGGCCGCTGAAAGCCCCTCCTCGTCACTGCCAAGGTCCAAGGCTACCGCCACGCACCAGTGCCCAAGCCCTCAGGTGCCAGTATTGAGGGCTGTCGCAAGCCCCGCCTCGTGTCCATGTCAGTCTCTTGTCGTGAACTCTTCACCTTCCGTATAACCTCTGCGGCGAGACCGGGAGATTTCTTGACTGAATAGACTTCGACCAGAGGCAAGACGCCTTTCCTGCTCTTTTATACCTTTATTACCTGTTTATTTCGACCGTAGCCTGTCTCAAATTCGCTTCGACCCAACAGTCAAGATGGCTCTTCCCAAGCGCATCGTCAAGGAGACGGAACGTCTCATGGCAGAGCCGTACGCTGCCCTCCTCTCGGCCGAGCCTACAGAAACCTGGCCATGAACACGAAACCGGACTTTTGCTAACAATACATCTTTTCATGCAGTGTCCCTGGAATTAGCGCCGTCCCCCACGAGGATAATCTGCGCTATTTCGACGTCGAGATCCATGGCCCAACCCAGTCACCATACGAAGGTGCGCAATTTCCGCCGACTCCTCATTCGCATGCGCAATCTGTGCTAACACGAATATACGTACAGGCGGCATCTTCAAGCTTGAGCTCTTTCTCCCTGATGACTACCCCATGACTCCCCCCAAGATCCGCTTCCTCACCAAGATCTTCCACCCCAATGTTGACAAGCTGGGCCGTATCTGCTTGGATGTCCTGAAGAGTGTGTCTCCCACTCCCTCCGTCTTCTCCGGAAGTGATTGCTAACAAAACATTACCAGATAATTGGTCTCCTGCTCTACAAATCCGGACGATCCTCCTCTCCATCCAGGCCTTGCTCGGCGCACCGAACCCCGACGACCCTCTCGCCGCAGACGTAGCTAAGAGCTGGAAAGAAGACGAACAGGCAGCAATTGCGACGGCCAAGGAATGGACCAAGAAGTATGCACAGTCATAGGCGGGGGCTTTCCAAACAAGAGTAATCAGGCGAACAAGTAAGAATTCAAAAGAAGTTCGGGCTTTTCAGATTCAGCGGCATCGAGGCAAAAATGAGATATGAGCATTTTTGGAGGAGTTTGAAGGATTTCCTTTTTGTGTTCCCAGTCTATGATGTATTGTTCCGAAGACTTTGCTATGATTTTTTTAGAGTTCCAAGAGACTTTGGTTGGGTTGGTGTAGGACGGCTAGCCTTCCACGGTATGAAATTAGACAATCCGGCAGTAGTGCGGATAATTATAACGCGTTGAGTCTTTTCCTCTTCTTCTTCTGCCGTGCCTTCAATAATGCATATTATCAAACCGAGACTCTTCATTCTTTTACAACGAATAATTTATGCTGGTGACTACCTAGATAGTCTATGGTCTCGTAAGGTATCCCTATTATGTAGCCTTGATAACTACGTCAGAGATTGGAGAATCAACACCGTGATGCCGACATGTTGGCTTTCGACACTCTAACCCTCACAAAGCATGCACAACGTTAAATTCGAAGAGTGGCCAGTAGCAACACTCTGCCAGACACTGTTTCGGGGCTTCCAAGTGTGCAGAGCTAAAATATCACAATTCCTCGGTAGAAATATAGACTTGTATGAGAATTAGCAGAGACTGAACTCTGCCTCCTTGAGTATATTGTATCTACAATGCTAGAGTACACAAAGGGAATAATTCGGGTTGTAGTGTGAAACGCAGATTTATTACACCAGCGCCAGGTCGCCGAACTTCTCCTACAGTGGGCATTAGCAATTTGATCCCAGGTGTGCAGCCGCCCACTATCGAAACATACCTTGTATCCAGGCACCATCCATCTGCCCTTGGAAATGAGTTGGGTGGTCTTCTCGTCGATGGACTTCTCGGCGGCAGCAACTTCGTCCTACAGAATTAAGCCTTCTTGTTCACACGGTTTTGCATCGAGGTACATACGACAGTGAGGTCCTCGAAGGGACGAGCCTCCTCGATGTTCTTCAAAGTGGCAGCGAGATCCTTGAGCTCGAGATCAACAGCCTGCTTGGTGGCCTCGGCGTTCTTGACGGCCTCAACCTCGAAGGCGTCAATGGCCTTGAGCTGGCGGCTGACGTCGTAGGTGGTGGGCTTGAAGGCGTTGAAGCGCTTCTCAATCTCGTCGATGACGGCCTGGTTCTTGAGCGTAGATCGGTAGGCGGCAAAGTCGACCGTCGTAGGCTGCTCGGACAGCTGCTGGACCTTGCGGCGGGCGTCTTCGTTTCTCTTCTTGAAGGCCTGGAGGGAGGCGACTGTCTGACCGCGAAGGCCCAGCGAGCTGGTAACCTTTACCCAGTCGATCTTGAGAGCTGCGCTTCGCTGTTTCGGGGGAAGGAGTGAAAATTAGCTCATGATCTGGGGATGGAACCGGGTGCGCGACTCGGGGGAAGGGCGCCAGGAATAGATTCGATAATGCGCTCCGTCTGGCCCAATTGATCATTTCGACTTACCGTGGCCGCCATTTTGTTTATGTTTTGGGGGGGTTCTCTTGGAGCGGAGAGCGAGTGTAGTGATGCTAATGACTTGCCGTGCCGAACTTGTCCGACCAAGATTGCTGGCGGTTTGCAGTCACGTGATGTTGTTCGTGACTAACGGTTCGCGGCCCAGTCAGCTGGTTCAGTGAGGGATTGGACAATGCATTGCCTAACATTTTTAATTAATTTAGCATTTCTGGTTTAGTTGCTGGAGACGGTAGCAATGCATATCTTAGTCTAGCTTTGTTTCCATGATCATATCAGAGTTGGCCATTGAAGATCGATCTGTACGCTATTCACGCAACATCACATGCGAGCCATTTCACAAGACCAAACTAATTTGCATCATTTGGAACCAAATCCAGTTATGCCATTTTCAAACCCATCGGTGGTATCTGATATTTCTTGTCGAAATGATAGCAGCGGCTGCCAAAAACTAATACAAAGCCACTCCTACACGCACTGTGCAAGATGCGGTTGACGACAAGTTCATTTGTAGACCGCTCGCTCCCAAAAAAGTTTTCCCCTTAGATACTCAAGGCCATGATGGAGTTGACAATATCATTGTCATTCTCTTTCAGGGCTTTTATGGCCTTCTTGCGACTGACGTTGGCCTGGGTCATGACAAGCTCAATATCCTTATCCTCAAGACCTTCAGCATCGACCTCCTCACCGTCGTCCTCGTCCTCGTCCTTCTTAGCCTCGCCAGATTCGACAGCCTTGCTAGGCTCACCGTGGTTGTGGCCGGCGTGCTCAGCCTCGGCATTAGCGGCGGCCATCTGAGCAGCAGCGGCCTGCTGAGCGGTGGCATTAACATCCTCGATCTTAGCCTCACCAAAAACACTGCATAATAAAAACTGTTAGATTCCTCATTCATTCACTGACGTCGAGATCGAGATACTGACATGTAGGTGTTGCTGTTGGGGGACTTGTAAACCTCGGGGTTGTTGATGACGAAGAGGATCTGGATATCGGGTCAATTTTGATGCCCACCCTATCAGTCATACCTGTCTGTAACATACGTTCTTGGGGCGTCGAAGAGTGACACGGGTGATACCAGGGACACGGGTAAGATGCAGCTTCTCAATAGCCTTGCGAGCCTTCTTCTCGTTGCGGTTGTGGATTACAGCGGTAGAGCCAGCGGGCAGGTTGGCCTCACCATCCTCAGCATCGGAATCGTCGCTGCTGTCCTCCTGCTCCTCAACGGTAGGTCGCTGAGTCTCCTCGTCGGGGAGCTCCTCGATTCTGGGGTTGGCCATTTTGGATACTGCTGGGACACATGGCCATTAGCTTTTGACTCGCATTTCCTCGTCGCTTTGAATTCGACAAAAGTTCGCTCCGGCGGCCGAATTCAATGGCGAAAATTTCTGCAACATGCGACCGCAATTGGGCACTTACTGATGTGCTGAGCCCGGATTATCTTTTTCTGGCCTGAACGGTGATTCTCCTCGAGCTGTTTGTGTAGAGAATAGCAATACAGCGAAATTCTAGGGTTTGGTGGGCAACTGGCGCTAAACCGGATTAGGTAATCACGCATTTTCCAGTTCTCACTCCTCCAGTGAGTGACATGACATAGAGCGGCGAGGAAAGCCTATTATCGTCACCGGCGCCAAACACAGGCACTTGGGAGTCAAACTACAAAAAAAGGTACGAATACTAACTGCTAGAATGTCACGCTCAGAACCATCAAGTTTTTCGTCATACATATCACAAACATATTACAAGTTGTGCTACCGCCCAATGCGTTGAATTCATTTTAATTCTGAATTTCCGTGTTGACGCCGCTCATCATTAAGATGAAATGTGACATACAGCCCCTCCAGAACGGGAGTAAAAAAATGGATGGCAGCAGATTCTTTCTGTCGCTCCAATGTTGCTTTTTCCTGTCCGGGTCCATGCATCTCTTTCTAATGCCAGCTCCCAATTGTTCCAAAGCACCTCCTCGACTCCAACCAAAACTTTCAACCAGACATCTATGCGGAGGCCTTGACCTTGGCCAGAGCCTTGCGCTCCTCGAATCGTCGCTGCTTCTTGAGTCGCAAAACCTTGAAGCGGTCGAAGTCGGTCAGGTTCTTCCTCCGCTGGATCTGCTCGCGCTTCTTGGCCCAGTTGCTCTCCTTCCACTTGGCGTCGATCTCGTTCTTCTCCCAAAGCTTCTTGACGGCACCGTGTCGGGAGCCACGGATGAGGCCATCAACGACGAACTGGGAGAGCAGGCACTTGGACAGGGGAACGGCCTGTCGGGGGACAGCCAGAGTAGGGTCGGCGGAGGGGCCGTCGACGAGAACCTGCAGTTACACAATTAACCCTCCATCCAAGATCGCTCGACTTTGGTTGACTGTGAAAACGTACTCGCTTGTGGTCGATGATCTCGACAATGGCAGCAAGTCTGCCGGCGAACGGATGATCTCCGTTGATGGCGACAACGCGGCCAACCTCAACGAGGCGCCAGTTGGATCCCTCAATCACTGCTTCGCCCATTGTGACGGGTGTTCTATTGACTCTTTGTCAGTCGCAAAGTCGATTTAAATGTTTGCAGATATCTCGATATCAACTGCAAGAAGGCGCGGTGTTGTTCATACCAATAGTCGAAGTCGGGTTGCCGTTCGAAAGGTGGATGGATTCTGTGACTTCTCACACCGTGGAGTCGCCAATGACTTTTTGATCACTCGGCTATTAGGGTGGTGTGCGGGTGGAAATTCGACCTGTGCCCTAAGCAAAATTTTCGGATTTTCAGTTTTTGCCGCGCCGCACCCCGGCCCACTGATTCTATGCACGGACCACTTTCTTGGACTTTTGTCTGAAACTTTTCTTCTGCCACATGAAGTTTGTGTTATGTTCCTCCTTATGTCTCCCATCCTGAAAATTTCATTCAGCTTGAGGATGTTGATGATGTACAAAAACCTTTGCTAATTGCTCTGGTCGCAATCAAGGTAAGCCTGCTCTAATCATTTTCTTCTTTCACTGTCACTTGCACTTCTCTATGATGAGGTAATTTGCGATTGATTCTATTCGGTGGCTCTCTTCGCCAGAGTAGCTATACTGTTTGGATAAATGATATTCAATTCTTACATATTCTGAACTTGTATCTTGTTCTGCATAGCATATATTTCCACTGTTCTACTTGGATTGCGGTGATGCTAATAAATCCTTCATCCAGGGCATCGTGGTTACCTCCGATTGTCCAAAATCAAATACGACCCACCGACAAAGTCTGCATTCATGGCCATGAATCCTGCCCATACAAATATGTATTCGGGGACGCGCCCTTGATTGACGCAGCATGATACTCTCCACTCCCTGCAATAGGCTGTACCATCTTGCATGTCCACATTTTTTCCACCTGTGATGCGCGTCTGTCATATCGTAGAGTTCCTGTCAAAGCCTTATTTCCCTTGCTTTTCTTTTATTCTTTGAGCATCCTCCGCGGCTAACTCAGCATCGATCTTTGCTCCTTGAGAGGGCTCATTGCCGTGCATCTTGGCCTACAAGTGACCAGTTAGTGGCCGTACCAGGTGGCTCGTAGCTTAGGCAGACTCACAGGCAAGGTCGGGTCTTTTTTGGACATGGCTGTCTCAAAGTCGTCGCTTTCCCCCTGCTTCCTTCTCTTCTACATGGCAGTTAGCAAGGGGTTAACAATACTTGACATGACATGATGTACTCACCTCCTCAGCAGCTAGTCGGTTGGAGATTGTCCTCTCATCCTCTAAGAGCATTATTAGATCAATGATTGATATTTGAGTTGAGTACACATACTCGAGTCAGTCAGTGAGTGCGATCCCGGTTTGCCTTCCTCGAACCTCTCGGCGGTATTTCTTTCCGACGCCTTTACATTCCGCTGGTCTCCAGCTTCGTAGACGGCAGAGGTTCCAACATTGGAGTGTCCTGACATGATAGTTGTATGAGGATATTTTTGATGGCTGATAAGTGATATGGTTGGAGACGTGGGATTATTATTGTCCACAACTTGGCGGTAGTATTTAAGCCTTTTGAATGCTGCAGATGGTTGGCGGCGGAGCCCATTCTCCACGAGCTATTTCATCGACGACGTCATCCATTCACTGCCGTCATCCATCTTGCTGTATATCGCTGTACATTCTCTCATGGACACGTCATGTGGGTTTCCTTGGAAGCGCTCGTTTCCATCCTGTTAAAGGGAGGGGTCTGGTTGCATGGTCACGATGCCAACCGCGAGGTTTGAGCAAAGGCTTGGCTGGCAGCTAGGAGGTGACGGGAATGGACCCACAACAGCTCTCAAGGAGTCCTGAGACAATAACGAGTCACTTCCATACAGCTTCCATGTCTCATCACTTCTCACTTCTTTATGTATCACCTCTAATACATGACTCTCGAGCCAAGAGCAAGGGCCACTGGACGATCCCACGAGGAAGAGGGAGTACAAAAGCCGGGGATTCTGACAATAAACTTGAGTGTCTGTGTGCATGAGGCCCAACCATGGCAAGTACCAGTGAGCTGGCAGCCAGATGAAAAGCTGAACCGGCCAACGGCAGCTGCGGCCCAGAGCGCAGGGCCGGCCCAGAACGGACATGGAGCAGCACAACCAATAAAGGAACCCTCGTAACCATCAATGTGCTGTCTGGTTTGATATGCTGCACATGTGCTAAGAATGGCATGCCGGCCCCTATATTCATGCCTATTTATGGGGCACTTGAGCGCCTTGGGAGTCTCGAGGGCCGGATTTTGCAGCGATGGGAAATAACTTCATCTCCTTCATAGTGGGTCTCTGGTCTTAGAATACAGACGATCTTAGGGGCAACACGCTTTGTGGCAACCGCGCCGACTCAACAGCTTCCCTCCGACATTGAAATCGCTGTCGGGCTTGTCCAGTGATGGTGTTTTTATAATCATCCCGAACCTACTTAAGTACCTTTTCAAATATTTCCCTAAAGCCACAGGCAACAAACAGGTGGCCTAGCGAGACGAGTGCTAGGCAGTCCACAAGCAAATCGCGCTTTCTTTTCCGTCGTTTTCTTTTTCCCTTTCTTTCTTTTTTTTTGCTTTTGCCATCTCACCTCTACAGCATGGAGGAGTACATCGTTTTTGACAAAGCTTTGACCAAGGCCGACCACGTCGTTCTGCAGAGCTTAGCCCGGGATATCAAAACGGCCAGCTCCGTAAGATCTAGAAAATCCAAGGGACGCGATTCCGATTGCGACTCTGGCATAGGATCTGAGGAGAGCTCTTCCAGTGGGGACGAAGCCAAGGCATTTCCCCCGCAAGATGATGCCACGACAGACCAAGACATCGCCGCACTCAAGGCGTCAAGGAATCCTAAAAGTGCCGCATTCGAACCCACGATCGTCCTGTCAGTCGATGATTGTGACGCTCATCTTCACCCGCTACTCAACAATTACTTGCTGCAGCCATATATCCAGCTGGCTCGGAGGATTGTGCGCCATGAGACAGATGTAGCTATGCTAACACACCTCATCATCTATTTCACCACGTCGGTGCCTAGTGCACTGGTGCTCTTCCGACACTTCACCTACACACACGCCGTGCTCCATTTCGTTATGCAAATGTACTACGTGGGAACCTATACTTTGATGCAACACCAACATATTCATCAACGGGGCATATTGGCCAAGACGTACGGCCTCTTTGACAGAGCCTTTCCTTACATCCTCGACCCGCTCATGGGCCATACATGGAATTCCTACTACTATCACCACGTGAAGCACCACCATGTGGAGGGCAACGGACCAGATGACCTGTCATCGACTATTCGATACCAGCGTGACAGCGTCCCCGACTTTCTTCACTACGTCGGACGATTCTTCTTCCTCGTGTGGTTGGATCTGCCCTTGTACTTTTTAGGTAAGAATCGACCCGGCGTGGCGATCAGAGCAGCTGGTTCTGAGCTCGCAACCTACGCGTACTACTACTTCATGTACCGGCTTGTGGGCACCAAGGCAACCCTTTTCGTGTATATTCTTCCCTTCGTCATGTTGAGAATGGGTTTAATGGTTGGAAATTGGGGTCAGCATGCGTTTGTGGACAGTGATGAGCCGGATTCCGACTTCCGGTCCAGCATCACCGTGGTTGATGTTGCAGTAAGTCTCTCCAAACTCCATGCCCGGCCCATGATTGGAATAGAGACGAGAAAAACTAACGAGGGACAGAGTAACCGATTTTGCTTCAACGATGGTTACCACACGTCTCACCATCTCAACCCCCTACGCCACTGGCGAGACCACCCTATCTCATTCCTTGAGCAGAAACACACATACGCCAAAGAAGGCGCCCTCGTGTTTCATGATATTGACTTTCTTATGATTACCTTCCGTTTGTTGCGCAAGGATTACGAACATCTTGCCAAGTGTCTCGTGCCGATGGGAAACCAGATCCATCTCACAATGGATGGCCGGGTGAAGCTACTAAAAAGGCTGACGAGGAAGTTCACAGAGGAGGAAATTGCAGAAAAGTTTCGAAAAGTTCAGTAAAGTCATTGCGCACAGCAAGTAGCATGTTTCAGCTATTCGGGACGGGCTGGAGATTGACTGCCGCGAATTATAGACGGGAATTGCATCGGTTGAATAACTGAGATACCCTATAGAATACATACACAAACTCGCATATTCCTACACATGCATATGAGAATCAATCAAAGCTTAATATTTGCATCAATTGGAAGATTTGGACAATCTAGTAGCGGGTCCAACCGTCCTGCTAGTATCCCGAACATGGTTTGGCGTCGATGGCTTGCTTTTTGCCTTGTCCAATGTTGAAGCTCTTGACACATGCCGAATGGGCCAAAACTACAGACCCACATAACGCTAGTTCCCCGACAAAACGTCATTCGGCTCCGCCAACAAGGCCAGGCAGGAAGGAACCAGGCAAGGCCTTGCCGGTTTGGCCCGTTCGCCAATCCTCAACATCTGAACGTTGTGCTCCGACCAACTCGATTACTCAGTTGCAAATTTCTCCCAAGACATAGAAGCACGGTTCCAACATGTTTCGATTCGTAAGGATGCTTCATTTTCGCCCGACCTGAGTTCGAGCCGCTTGGGCTAACCAATTGCACAGCACAAGTCGCTCGACATTGTCACGGTCTTCCACAAGGCCAGCTCCCCAGCTTCTACCAGAGTTGCCAACCTGGTCAAGCAGATCTCGGCCAATGCACAGGCCGGAGCTACTATTGACCAGGCCAGCGACCATACCGCGCAGACGCAGCCGAGCCGAGACCCATTCGAGCTCAACATCACCGAGGAGCCTCCCACTGTTGAGCAGGTCCAGACAATCCTCGACTACGTTGGCAAGCCCAGCATATCCAAGGTCATAAAGGGCGCCCACGATGAGAAGGATGCGCTGAAGAAGTTCCGAGAGAGCAGGGAGAGCTTCTTGCGACCAGTGGTAAGTCGAGTCGCAATGCTTTGAGCCGCGACCAAGGGTCGCAGTCGGTCTGTGACACAAGCTGATGCATTGTATAGACTGTGGACTGGAACAATGGAAAGGCCATTGCCGGCGATAATGAGAGCGAGATTCTGAAGATGCTGAAGACGCAGAAGTCAGAGTAAAAAGGCCCTCGTGAAGACCAAAACTATGGAAAATGACCCGCACTTGTACATACATTTATGCCCGCCAACCGCGACTCCCGTTTTGTAACAATCAAAGTCGTGATTTGTTTGTCAAGGAAGCCTTTTTTTCAGTGCTGCTGACCGGTTGAACAATGGAGTTTGTTGTAGCTGGGGTGCTCATCTGTGAATTTGAAGTTTGAACTGTATCGACGCAGTGAAAAGACGGAATCGACAGCGACATGCGCACGACGTCAAAGCGCCGCAATGTTTCTTCTGCAACACGATCTGAACACCAACGGGCCTTCAACTGACTCGACCACCTGCGATAGGCGAGATTCACTGTGTTCTGTTTGTTTGTGGATTCCACTCAAACACGCGGGCCACTCCGACCCGCGCTTCTTTCAGATGCCGTTCACTTTCACTTGACTGCCCGATGGCGGACTCTCCATTTTGTCAGAAATGAACAATAGGGCAACAGCATGTCTTTCCCCCCAACCGAACAAACTCGAGCCTTGAAAGACTCCTCAAATCCCCTTACTTATTAGCTTCCGGTGCCAACTCACTCTCCTTGAGCATCTCCCAAATCTCATACCTTCTGTAGTTCTGGTTTGCATACTCTTCAAGGCACATCTTCAACGCATCGCATCGTCAAACCTGCCCATTGCAACTTTGCTAAAGCAATCTTTACTCTTTTTTTTCTGGTAAAAAAAAGAGAAAAAAAGAAACAAGATTTCTCAACTCTTTCCCTGAAGAGTCTGCGCGGTCCCCCCGACTCTTAGAGTTTTGTATAACCACCGTCATGGCGGCCTTGGTTCCCGAGCACCCTGGTCTGCAGCATCCTCCTGAGGATATGGCTAACTCCAAAGGAACCCCAGCCAATGCTGTTCCTAATGATCTACCGGCCACGAACGAGACGGCACGCGAAACCGGCTCCGCGGGTGTACCCTGCCCGATCATTGGGGGTGACGGCCCTGACAAAGACCTTTACACTAAACGCCCGGCCAGTACTCCTGCAAATTTCTCAACTGATCATCAGAAAGAAGAATCTGGCGAAAAGGATTTGGAAATATTCTACTACGATGCTCACGATATAAATCGTATAGATAGCGACAATCTGTGGAATACCCTCATTCGCTCTGGTATCGAAGAACAGGAACTATGCAATGTACTTGAAGAAATACGCGAGTGGCTTCTTGGGTGGCGTCCTGGCAGACCTGATGAATGGCTCATGCACTGGTTTAACGTTGACTCTAGCACCAAGGTGTACGTATTATCCGACGTTAGTTGGAACAAAATGCTGTCTCAAATCTCCCCTGACAACATACTTGTGCTTCGCTATGTTCTTAAGGAGCAAAGTGTAAAATTGCTGGCACAAAACGGTGACAAGAGTCTAGACGCGGATGGCATTTGGTCTGCTGATGGAAAAAAACTTTTTAACAAGCCACAACGTATGTTAACATGACTCTCCCTCTTCTTTTCTTTTCTTTACTGATAACAGAAAAACATAGTTGGTGGGCATCGGACAACTGCTGCGGCGACGCCAAATCATCCTCGAGCTATTGTGAATAGTACTTCGCAGTCTCGGCCGATCAGCTCAGTCAAGCAGCACGCCACAACTTCTCCGGGGACGAATGCGGTCTCGCCCAATAACCGCAACCAGCCTCGTCGTTTTGTGAATACTGCAAACGACGTCGGACCAGCTGTTGTGGCACAGACCCAAACCTCTCCTTCTCCTCTCCCTCGAAAGGATCGACCTGTTCAGCATGCCACGACTGACGGGAAAAGTCCCCTCACACAAGCTCAGCCATCTAGCTCGGAAAGCCCTCGGCGAAATCATGCGAGACGGTCTGGTCCTATCGCTCCCATGGCGGCAAAACATACGCCGACTCAGCCTCGGGGCCCAATGACGGTCGGTGTACAGCCTGCTTAGCAAGCAGGCAACACCGTGCCGTCTCGTGCGCACCCGCAGAATGGCAATGGGAAGCCGGTCGGCAGATATATCCCTGACAAGATGGGCCAGACAGGCCCTCCAATGTCTCACAACGGACCTCCAACACAATCTCCGCAGACTAGGAAACAGGGAGGTCTCGCAAGCAATGCTTGTGTCGAGCTGCCTTCCAAGCTGCGGTCAGACGGGCGTCGCGCAGTGTCGTCTGGCGATGCCCCTTACGTTCATAGCACAACCTATGGAGATGGAGGTTCCATGCAGGGTAATGGTAGCTACAACGGTGCCCTTGTACAACCTGCCATGTATGATAGAGCTTTCCAAGCACAACCTTCGCATCAATTGCCCGCAGCCGCACCGGGACGTAGCGCGTCTCCGGCTGGGACAACATCTACCCTTAAGGATGGCAGCTCCACTCGAGGAGGCGACAAGAACAAAGGGCGACGAGGCCCCCAAAACCACAGGCCTCGAGCTGAATACCCTGTCCAAGATGGCAAGGGGTCGTTCTATTCCCAGAATTCCCATCAAATTGGCACTGCACGAGGAGGGTACGGCAACAATACGTATCATTACCACAACCGCGATCCTGATTACGAAGATCGAGAGATATCGAGACATAGGAGGAGCGTTTTTGCAAGATTTGAAGAGCGGTCTGACGGGCATCCCGAAGATATCAGGAGCCGTTTAAAGAGCGCAATGACGGGTCAATTCGGGAAGGTTGAAAACGTCTTTCATGCTTCTGAGAAAAATGGTAGAGTTTTCATAGTTCTGTGAGTCTACTTCAAGCATGCGTCAAGATCAAACAGTTTTTAGGTCAACTAACACTTTTGCCACAGATTTGAATGCGAAGCTTCTGCGGCAAAGGCCTTGAAATCTACATGTTTAGAGAACCGAGAGAAGGGTATCAAAATCGAGATTAGGCGGCCGTATATGAAGCAATGGAAAAATGAACCGTGGGTCAAGAGGGGAGGGCGGCCTGGCACCCAGCAGTGTCAGCCATACCAGAACAGACCTCATTTTCCTATGGGTAACGGGATGCCTCCGCCTGGCAGCCAGCAACGTCAGCCATACCAGAACGAGCCTCATTTTCCTATGGCTAACGGGATGCCTCCGCCTGGCAACCAGCAAGGGTATAACGCCCGTAGTCTACACAACCTACGGCCAGCTGATCCAATGATGATGAGGAATGTGCCGCATAGACTGTATCGGAATCTTCTTGGGGCTGGGGCCTACGAGCGAGTAACTCAAGCCCATGCTTCTAGGCCATCTTTCCCTCAGCCAATGATGCCACAGCAAGCGCCTCCCCAGAGCCCCCAAGTGTTCCAAATCCCCAGGCAGGAGGCTAGCAAAGTCATCCCAAAACAGGACGAGGAGAAGACTACGAAGCCGGCGGCCGATCAAGAGGCATCAAAGTCATTGGAGTGGAAGGCTCAGTCAAAGCCGCCTTCTGAGGAGGCCTTAGAGAATGACGATCCTTTTGAGAACGATAGAGCTACAACCCCTACCAGCCAAGGAAGCAAATCTTCCCAGACTTCAAACCGGAAAGTGAGGGTGTCACTTCCATCAGTCTCACCACCCAGGCTTACTCAGTCTACGGCATCTAAAATTGAGAGACCGATAAAAGAGCCAGGCAAATCACCAGTGGGCCAAGAGCCGCCTCCGAAATTAAGAAATAGCCCAAATGGTGTCATTACACCAATTAAGCCTTCTCATACTAGACAAGTTCCTGATGAGAAATCATTTGAAGTTCCTCCTGAGATTATAAAGGGATCCGAAGCTTCAGCTACCACCACGACCGCAGTGACTGGCACGCGCAGCAACCTCACTGCAGAACAAATCAAGCGGAGGCTAGCGTATTCGAACATGATTGCGGTGCCCTTGAGTCCTTCCAAGGTCAAGAAGACAACTTCCACGGAGAACAATCCTGCCAACGCCATCAGGGACAAAGCTGCATCTTCTAAGTCTCTCCCTTCCGATACCGCCTGCCATGTACCTAAGCCAGCTCAACACATACCGGATGCCGAGACCTCCAGTGTCAAGTCTGACGAGTCCAAAACCATGTCGGCTTCTAGCTCACCAAGCAACCGTTCACCATCTAGTAACCCTAAGAAGACGCCGGACAATAAGAAAACCGCTGGGTCGCACTCCGGGTATCACAGCAAGGTCTCCAAAACGCCTATAAGTCCGATCAAGAAAAACACAGAAGCCAGCAAGGACCAGAAACTGACTACTCAAGAAGAGAATGTGGCCGAAAGAGGCTCGTGTTTTCCAAGTCGTGCAGACCAAGACTCGTTCAAGTTTCCTGGCAATGGACGAGAAACAATACGAGTGAGGAAAGTAGATAAGGGAGAAACAGCGTCTATCGAAAGCTCCGTTCAGGAGAGAGGCACGACTTCAAGGAAGAGAGGCTGCAAGACTCGACCAGCATCCCGAAGCGTTGGCTTCATCGATCAGAACCAGCAGCAAGAGAGCCAGCCTCGGGTCGAGGTGATTCGAGGAACTGACTCGGCGACCAGGCACGAAGCAAGCGCCTCTACCACCAATCATGCACGGCAGATATCTACCCCGCGGAATACCTCACCGGCAAGTGTGGGGGGCAGTAATAAGATCAATTTGCAAAATGTTTCTAGTGACAGAGATAATGGGGGAGGGACTGGCTGGCAGAAGGTCCGGAGTAAAAGGGGGGCTTCTAAGAGAACAAATACCCCCGGATCAAGCGACCATCAAGGCTAGCAGCCAGACATGTCAGCTGAAGGAATAGGTGCTGCCTCTCACACTGCAGTAACTACCGCCCACGATTCAAAGAACCCAGTCAAATTAGCGGTTCCAGAGTCTGTTTCGACCCCGGAAGCCGGCGATGCTTCAGCTGAATGTTCACCCGGGGGTAAAGGAGACCATGACTCTTCTATGTCTGAACGTGTGATTATTAGGGCTCTAGAGCTTAAGGAGGACATCGTGGTTACGGCAGCGAGAGACCTAGAGACCATTGTGCTAGCTTTGGCGCAAGGGGAAGTTGCATCAACTCGACCCCGGCAGGGATTATCTGGTGAATCAACCCCAGAAAAGCAGCGTGTCTCGAGCGCGGGTCCAGAGGAATCGCCGAGAACTAAAGACTGCCGGCCATACACAGGGCTTGAATAACCAAGACTGGCTGTCACTCTCCGCACCGCCTAAACGCATACTAAAACGAGAGTCTTTAAAAAGGTACAAGATGGGAGGCATATGGGTTGAGAAAACGAATACCCAAAGAAACACAGACAAAAAAAAACCAAGAAAAAAAAAAGGCAACGGACAGCATTTATGACGAGCGTGGGTCGTATTGATCACAGGCTGAGGACATGTGTGGAAATTTGATGGATTTAAAGCCCTGGGCCAAAGAATCAGGAACTCTGAAGAAGGATGTGATACATAAGTAGGAAACAATAAGCGGTTACCAGTAACTCACACTTGACCTCAGTGGCACCCTCCCCTTTAGTCCAACATCCTTCGTAGTCGGTCCTGTCGTGAATCTCGCATGGAATCACACCCCACACTCATTTCGACGTCTTCCTGCCATCCAGCGAAGGCATGTTGGTACACATTCTATTCCTTATATACAACGTACAACGGCCGTCAGCGGCCCGCCTTCCCACGCTCCATGATTATCGTCTATGCCCCGTTCTTGACTAGTCCCGTGACAGTCTCCTCAATTTGCTTATCCGACAATCCATCCAGCGACTGTGACTTTTCATGACCAAACTCTGTGACTCGTCAGCATCCAAAGCAGAACTCGGAGCCCGTCCGGGACGCACCATATCTAGCGTAGACCTTGGGCAGCGTCCCTTGAGCCTCGCGGATGAGGATCGGGATCTGGGGATTGTTCTTCTTCATGGTGGGGTAGGCGCGCGTGAGGAATGACCTGTCGCCGTGTCTCGTCAGCACTCTCGTCTCTGTCGCGGGCGAGGAGAGATGCCATGGCAATTGGCGCCCGTGGCATGTTTCCTCCCCTCCCTCTCTGTGCGCCGTACGTACCGCACCGCAGCGCTCTGCTCCGACGTCTGGCAGAACAGAAAGCGCACCTCCTTGAGGGCCTTTGTGAATGCGTATCTGCTCGACATGGCGGCCGGGGAGGGATCGTTGTGAATGACGTTGAGGAAGATGGGAAAACATACGGCCCCCCAGCTCTTTGGATGGTGGTCGTTTTCAGCAACGCTCTGGTTGGCCACGGACGACAAAGTGGAGATTCCCTGCTGAAGCAAGCACCCGCCCTACGCCGGGGGCCGGTCTCGCACCTCGACCAGGCGGCTGATCTCCGGACCCTCCGTCACCAACGCCCAGGCGAACTTGCCGCCAGGAGTTTCCCGCCCGTCACCGGAAAAGACAGCTCGAACCTCCCTCCTTGTAAAACCTCCCGTGTCGCCTTGCCGCAACATCCTTTGCCCTGCTCAAACGAAGACAACTACCGAGTCCAAGGCCCTCAAGTACGTCGCTTCACACAATAACCTTTATCCCTCCCCCTTACGGAGTACTCTTTTTCAACCCCCCTTGCACCCGCGACCTTTTTGTTGAGCAGCACGTTCATCGTGCCACAAAGACACAACAGTCGACTGACAAACCCGCCATCACAGGATGGTCGTCGCCAGCACAATCATGCGCGCCTCGCGCCCGGCCCTCCGACAGGGCGCCTTTTCCGCACAGGCATCCCAGGCCTTCCGCGCCCAGCGATTCCGCTTCCGCGAGAGCAGCAAGAGGTGGCAGAGCACGGCCGACGGCGCCCAGCAGCAGCACCAGAGCTGGTTCAAGCGCGCCTGGGAGAGCGAGGTCGGCGTCAAGACGGTGCACTTCTGGTATGATTTCCCTCTCACTCCTTCGTTGCCGCCCAAGCTAACGCCATGCTCATCCAGGGCTCCCGTCATGAAGGTCCGCCACGCAAACACCGCCCCTTACAAATTAACAAGGTAGCAGATGCTAACAAGGACTGGCAGTGGGCTCTCGTGCTCGCCGGCATCTCCGACTTTGCCCGCCCTGCTGAAAAGCTCTCCTTCACGCAGAACTTTGCCCTGACGTGCACTGGTCTGATCTGGACCCGGTGGTGCTTGATCATCAAGCCCAAGAACTACCTGTATGCACCGCCTCTTTTCCATCATGTGTAAAAAACCACGACCAACTGATTGTTTTAGCCTTGCTGCCGTCAACTTCTTCCTCGGTCTCGTCGGTATCGTCCAAGTCTCCCGCATCCTCATGTACGAATCCGCCAAGAAGAAGGGCCTCGCCGAGGTCGTCGAGGATGTCAAGAAGGACGTCAAGGACCAGGTCAAAGCCTAAGCTACCCTTGTCATCTTAAAAAAAAAAGCCTTAAAATAGCAATTCTCTCATGTATCTATAATTGGAGGGAGTTTTTTTCTTTCCCGCCCTGGGAAAGCGCAGATTTTCATTCACGCAGCTAGATGGGAATTCTGGCACAACATAAATGGCTGAGAGGAGACGAACCAAAAAAAAAGGGACGCGGGAACTGTCAGACTGCTGGCACTTGGCAATATCGCACAAAACTCTTTTGGGTCAAGACTAGACGATGGCTTGGTACGGACACTTTAGACGCGTACATGAAGGATTGATGTACAGTATTGGCATTTAGTTGAATGATGCGAATGCGAATTGTGCAGCCTTCACTTTCACTGTATGTGGTTGACCAGGGGGCCTGTTTTGTCATACTTGTTTCAACCGTGCTCACATTGTAACACACAGCTTGGCTGAGTGGCGGAGGTAAAAAAAGAAAAGAGTTCTGCGTTGCATGTGCTTGAGAGAGAGAGTACTGTCAGACTCCTCAAGCGGGTATAATACTGCCTACTGGTAGGTGCAAAAGCTTTTTGTACAACAAGCCCACGACCAGTAAAGCCGCCACCAACACGGACAGTATAGAAACGTCTTGAATCGAAAAAAATCCTTTACGCACCCACATGATATCTAAATCCCCCTCAAAAGTGACAACCGCCAGGCGCCTTACAAAAACGAGTATGAACAGGGACCCTTTCCCGTGTTCATGTAGCAAAATAAAAAATTCAAAAAAGCCCATGCATAAATCATTTGAAATCACTGACATCCAATTGCCTCTCTACAGTTTCCCAACGTTGTCAGCAATGCCGTTGGTAAATGAGCGTGCCCAAGCCGCTTCGCCGTGCCTTCGTCTCCGTGAATCATCAACGCTTTCCAGAAGTCTCCGAAAGACCAGCTTCCCATGTACGATACATAGTCTTCGTCTCTCCAAACTTGCGAATAACAAATGCCGCGCCATGGCCATTGTATTGAATTCGCTGGGCAAGGTAGAATTAACCTTCACAGTGGCCGTCATTGAGAAGCAATTCCAAGACAATTTGTCGACCGGGTAGCTCTGGATGACACATTGCAATCTTGACAGAGCCCTTGGACGTATCGCCAGCCAGCAGTGACTGTCCATTGGGTCCGTATGTTTGCTGTGACTGAGCTGCGTTACCGCCAGTCGGGCCACCGAGGCCAAAGTCGATGACTCGGACATCCCGTCCGGCAATAATCTGTCGAAGCCGACCGTTGCCTGCGTTGCGCACCTCCACGTAATCTTCGTTGAATAGTAAAAGATATTGCTTATACGTGGTCGCCCCTTTCGCTTTCTTTTGCTTGCCAGTATACTCCATGATCAGAGTGCGACTGACTTCACCATGCTTATCTACGTAAACAGCACAGTCTTCATACGTAACAATGAACTCGTTTGTATCCAGGCGAAACATGCCGAGTGGTTTTTGTTCCCGAATACGGCCTGCAATATTGGCAATTCCATGTGTCTTCAAGTCGGGAATTGACATTGGCTGCTTCTTGTCCAGTGTAAGCATTTCGACACCCTTGGACGTTGCGACGGCGATATAAGTCTGAAAGATGCTGAGTGAATAGCAATCGGTTGGCAAGTAGAACTCATCAAAATCGCGAAAGGTATCGGTGCTGCCACCACCCGACTTGCGGCCGCCGAAAAGCCGAGACTTCTTCTCGGTTGCCTTGTGCAAGATTGGTTCTAGAACTTTGAAAGATGTGTGCATGCCTTCCTTGCGCTTGTAAAATACTAGCAATCGCTCCTTCATACGCGCTGTCGCAAAATACGTCACATCCTTGGCAAGCCGTTGAGGTGCGCGTCGGGTGTTGTCGTTGACTGGTGCCGCAAATTCTGACACGGGGGCTATGACATCCAGCGGGTAAGAAATAAGTGACTTGTCTGCAATAATGAGACAAACCGAAAATTCCTCAAGTACAGCAATTTGGGTAACGCGGGAAATTTGCACAGACTGAACGTTGGCAGTTAGCTCAAGCTGTTTCTGGGGTCAAAGACACGAATCAAACGGTAGACTTACCCGAGTCCATCCGCGAGGATTAGAAGAGTCAGATATGTACACGCCGTAATCTGTACCGATAGCGATGACTGATTTTCCAAAGGCCGAGAAGCCCGTGGCACAGTTCACCTGTGCACGGCACACTGCAGCGGTGCCCTGTGCCGAGCCCAACACCTTGTCCAAGTCCTGGATAGCTCTGTCGAGGGGGGTACCCTTGACCGGAACACCCGATGCTCTTGCGTACACGGAACCGGTATCGTAATGGAAGGCAGCATCCGCTAACACGCGGAGCCTGAATGGTTCGGCATTCTGAGCATACAAGGCCTTGGCATGTCTTGTCTTGGCCTCGATGATGCTATTGCACCAATCAAGTCGGTCCCGGGCAGAGGATGCGTAGAGAGTGTACACTTCATGGCCAAGATGTTTCACCTTGAAAGGATACAAGATCTTGCCTTCCGTATCGTTTGACGTGGTGGGTACCAATGTATTTCCGGGTGCTGCAGGTGTATGCTCCAATCCGGGTCGACCAGCACCATTACTGGCTACCTTGTTCAGTTGAGCGCCTACCGGAGCAGCAGTGGCTCTGCCGAGAGGTGCGGTCAAGCCTTTTTGCTTCATGACCGGCTCATCGTTCATACTTTCAAGGAACAAGAGGGGCATCGGGATAGGCTGGGGTATACAGTTAGTATTAGGAACTCCCGCATGAACAAATTTCTGTAGACCTTACCTCTCTCGAAACATCGTACTTCCTTTCCCCCTTACCGTCCTTGGGCACAACGACCTTGGCAAGGATCAAATAATGGTCAAATAAAAGGGCGTGCGAGTCGACCCATCTCATGCCCTTCGAACCCATCCTCTGGAGCTCGCCCTGCATGATGAGAACTCTGCCCAGGTGGTCTAGATTCAGGACAGACTGGAAGCCTGGTCTGAGAACCAGCATTCGATCCAATTCCATCATCTGAACCCTCTTGTTGGTTTCTGCTACCTTGGCATCGCATTCAAGGGTGACGGTTTGAATCTCCTGGATCGCTTTTGCCAAGTTGGTCTTTTCTTCGCTGTCCCCAATCATTTTGTGCTCGACACTTTGGAGCAACAAGATGTAGCGCTGAAGACGTTGTACAGGGGTAATCAAAAAATGAGTCCAATCCTGCTTGGCGGACAGCTTGTCCTTCTGCTTATCTTCGAGGAATCGTTTGAAGAGCAAGTTTCGATCAGCTTCTTTTCTGACCATGTAGGCAGCTCGTGGGTAGCCAATGGCATACTCGGTATAAACGGATTTGGCCTTCCGGATCCATTCACGGAATAAGTCGCTGAAGCCTGAGATCCACGGACCCTGTTCCTGCTGACGATATTTGAGCTGGGCCAGGAGATGATCTTTGTTGATATGAACAACGGTATCCAGCATTCCGAACACTGCTGTCAAGAACTTATCCCGCTTGTCGGGATGGATAATGGGCGGGGCCCTTGTTCTCAGGTCATCTCTGTACAACCTTCGGAAAATGTCGAGTTGCTTGATGTAATTCTCTTCGCCTGTGACAATTTCATGAAGAATGTTTTGGCGTTCGACTTCCTTTTTTGGTTTCGAATCAACAACTTCCTTTGTCAGTTTATAAAAGGTATGCCATGCATCAGCACCTTGCACTTCTTCAGAGAGAACCTCCAAATCAACCTTCTTCAGAGTTCGGGTACAGTAATGAGAATAGCAACGGCCACTCATCTCAACATCATGAAGCTTAGGTGCGTAGCAGCCCGATCCGGTCAACTGCCATAGTACACCCGAAATGTGGCCGTCGCCAAATTTGACCCATTCCTCATCTGGAAGAAGAACTTGAGACTCGAGCATGCCGGATACTACCTGACTGCTCAAAGCTTCAGCGTCCGCGACATTCATGGTGGGTATCTTGTATACGAAGAGATTCGTTACAGCCTCTTCGATAGCTTTCTCTTTTAGATCCGGTTCGCCTTCGCCCATGTTGCGAATCCAAGTCTCGATATGACTTAATGCCCATGGCGCTTTACAGTCGTTGAAATCGCTAGATGTGAGCTTCGATGGCACAAATCTTCTTTTCCGTCCGCTGGGCAAAGTGATACTATCGAAAGCGCCGGATGCAGCCACAGGTGCTCTGTCATAGTCGAAAGCTGGGCCTTGTTGTGTGATCTGGTGATTGCGATTCATCTTCCTTCGTTCTTCAGCAGCATCCGTTCTCGACCTTGCCGGGGCCTGGATCTGCGGCGTATGGCTACGGCCACCCAGAGATACGGATCGTTCTGGGTGTAGCGTCTGCTGAGCCCCATGCTGGTAAAAGGTTTCAGGGCCATCGGCCTGATAGTATCTCGCATCAGCATTGATGGAATGATCATGTTGGTGTTGCGACCGAACACTGTTATGAACAGAGAGCATAGAGCTGCTATCAGAGCCAGGACCGGGAGGCAGAGCAGGGAGCGGACGATTCGAAAGGCCAGGGTGATAGAATAGATCTTGGTAATCGTCTCTGGTGGGCGATTCGGTTCCACTGTGTTGGGAATGAATGGAAACGCGTTCTTCCCCTCCCTCGTCGAAGCTGAGCCTGTGAGCGTCTGGGGCTTGCAGCCCCCCTGTGCCTACATAATCCATTCCAGCATTGTTAAAGGCAGCAGCATGGTCGTAACTCTCCCTGAGAGAGTTGTAATATCCCGGCGTTGGCAATGGCCTAGGTCCATCTAGCATCGAAGAGGATCCAGGTGGGGAACCGATGTCTGCACCGTAAGCCAAGGTCCCAGCATACCCTCCACTCAGCATGCCAATATCCATACCGCCTAAGTCGCTATCACTACTGTGATTCAGTTCCTCTGGAGGAGGTGCCGGAAAGTTGGATTGGATAGTCGCAGTGGGCGCAGCCATTGTAGTTGGGAGTGGAGCAGCTGGGGCAAGATCCGTGCCACTATACATGAATGTACCGCCACCAAATCGCTGGTCATCGAGCTCCGCCTGTTGCATTGCTAGCAGCCCGGCTGTTCCCTCTGGATCGTCGTCGTCGTCGTCGTCGTCGTCAAACCGCGGTCGACTTGATCCCCGGCCGGGAGAGGTTCGACTCCCCGGAGAATGGGCTGACGCCGAGCTGTAGCCTCTGAGTCTCTGGGTTTGGTCGTCGAAGGCTTGGCTACCAATGGGTGACGGCCTGCGTTGAGAGTGATATTCAGAGCCTCCAAGCTCCGCCTCTATGTCTTGCATAATGGTCTCTTGGGCGATTCTTTCCTCATCCACGTCATCATTGGCCAGGGGACGCCCATGTTCGTCCCATGGCGTCGTCTCTTCGGGAACGTCTTCCATTGGCCGACTCGGAAGTGGTGCATTCGTGGGGTGTCGTTGAAGTCCAGGAGATGACTGAGCTTGCATGTAGGGAGAAGTCCTGGGAGAGGATTGGGAATCTGAGGGATGGCGGGTAAAGTATGAGTGCTGGTCATTGCTGGCTGTGTAATTTGGGCCTACTGGAATGTGAGATGAGTTGGGATAGGGAGCCTGGGTTTGAGATGTTGAAGTCGGATAGGGAGCAACACCATTGGACCCATAAGAAGAATATTGAGTGGACGAGTGGTAATTTGACGGGTCGTACGTGGGTGTTTGGCTTATAGGGTTGGAACCAGTAAAGGATGAAGGACTGGTTGGAAAAGACTGTTGGAAGCTGGACGAAAAGGAAGGAGAGCGCACAGGTTGCGAAAACGTCGACGTGTGCGATGCACTTGGAGAGTGTCCATATGATGGCGAGCCTGCTGTTCCCACGCCGGCCGCGTAGCCTTGATCATGTGCAGCATATCCATATCCGTGATGAGACGCTTGCCTTTGAGGGACGGAGTTTGTGGCGGCATATGCGGCAGGATTGTAAGCTTGGGGAGTGTAGTTTGTAGCTGGTGGAGATGGAGTGTGGTATGAACCAGCGCTCGAAGTCGAGAATCGTTGTGCCGAATGATATGGCAGCGTCGAGGCCTGCGATCTGTGATAGGCGGAATTTGAGGAGGGCGAGAAACTTTGAGGGTTATATCCCGACTGCGATGGTGTCGGAGGGGTCGGATCTTGATATTGGTGTTGATAGCCGGCCATGGCACTGCTGGTGGAAGCATATCGATTCACGGGCACATTGCCGCCACGGCCAACAGGCCCCCCCGTCAAGAACAGCTCGTCCTCGCCACGGGTGAAGGAAGCGGTCCGGTTATGGTTCTGAGTGTAGTATCCAGCATCGTCGCCGGTGTTGAAGCTCGGTCTTCGGCCCACACCGGATGCACTTGTGGCCTGATGAGTGCCGTGTTGATCTTGTTGTTGGCCAGCTACAGTATACTGCACCGGAGGGACAGAGCCATAGCGGCGCTGGTCGTCGCCGCGAAAGGACATGGCGAACACAAGCCAAGTCGAGGCACCGGCAGCAGACGATGCTGCCGTTGGGGGAAAAGGATGCCGTCGATGCTGGGGATGGTAGAGTTTGTCGCACACATGCACGGGCACCCCAAGCGTCGACGAGGTGGTGGTGGTGGTGGTGGTGGTGGTGTTCAGGTGGTGGTGTCGTGGTGTCGTGGGACGGCTGAACCCCGCGGGTCAATGTTGTCGCGCCGCGCCGCCGAGAGCGAGGAAGCGAGAGAAGTCGGTGCTTGGATAGGATGCAGGCGGGCAGCGGCTGGGCTGGTGGTATTGGCCGCCAAGAGCCGCATCGGATTTGGATTCGACTCTGCGGAGACGCATGGGTCAATTGCTTGATTGATTGTGGGCGCCCACGATTTGGATGCTTACAACAGATTAAGCGTGTGCTGTCGCCTCTGGTTGAGGAAGCGCTTTGCCTGACGAACGTGAGCGGGGGCAGGAAGGTCCAGCCCTTGCCATGTCAAGCGACATGGAAGGGTTCAAGCTGGGTTCCAGGCTGCGATTTGCACTTTTGCGACTCTGGCCCAACTCTTGTTGCACAACTGGGGTTCTCGTCCGGCCTGATTGCTTACATACATACATGTGGCAGATGGGAAACACGATGGGAACTCCCGAGCTTTGTCTTCCTACTCCGTGAAGCCAAGCCGTGCCAAGTGGCTGTGCGGCTCGCCCATCTCCAACTCCAACAAAGGACCTTTCTGCAATATTGACAGGGCTGAAGGAAGCGAGGCAATTATGGGGAACAGTTGTGGTTGTGGCTGAGCAAGTGCCCAGACGCTGGATGACGCTTGACGGATGGGCATTCGTACCACAAACTTGCGCATTCAATGGCGACATGGAACGCTGAGGGAGAGAGCTGCGGCGGTGCACCAGTCGGCGACGCCTGGGGAACATTTGAAGCCTCAACACCGAGATGCTAGCCATCCATGTTGAAGCTCATCACATGTTTGCACACAAGACGTCGAAGCATTTCTGGTTTCCTAAAGTCCGTACGGAGTGCCACTGTTTAAAGGGTCTGGCTATACAGAGCACTACAGAATTTCTAGATCATTTCTGCTCCGAAGCCCACGTCGCTTATTAGAGATCAAACTGGCCCTGTACGGAGTACTCAGTGCTCCGTACTACTGTCGGGCATAAATGCAGCACGACATGTGTGCGGCGCCCCTTCCCTTGGCAATTGAACAGAGCCGCAACGTCGCCGCCACAGGAGGCTTGGAGGCCTGTGGGTATTGGGCTGGTAGTACTCCGTACTTGGGTTGCTTTGGCATGACGAGTGACGACGGTCGCTGAAACTCTCTCCAGTCGCACCTTCCAGTCTCGTCCACTGGAGTGCTGCTCATCAACCTATCAGAGTCTGCCGAGCAGCAAACGTCCCCAATCCCCTTCTTTGAGTCATTCTATTCTCAGTGAATTTACTCACATGCATCTTTACTTGACCCGTGACTGTGACTATTGCGTGCTGTACGAATCGTACGCTTGACTAGGCGCTTGGACGCCATTACGAACCGTGATGTTTTGTCTCGTTGTCAGGGGCTCTCCTAACAGCCAACAGTTTCACACGAGTTCACACACCAGCCTGACATTGAAACAGACAATACGGAGTACTTGATGATGAAAACTGTTGACAGTGACAGATATTCTCCGAGGCTTCGCCATTTGTCATTGCAACGTTGCGCAACGACCGGCGTCGAACCAGGACATTTTCTTCAACGAGTCTCGACTCCGCTGGAAGAAGGCATTCGCTGCTTGTTGTCCCTGGGGTACGTGGAGGGTAAGAAAAAAGCAGGGTCTGAAACGTGGCTTACGACGTCTATATTGGCTGTCAAATTCATTAAAAAGAAGAAGAGAAAGAGAAAGAACGCTCTGGGTCGGTTTGGCTGCTGATTCATATTCGGCCCTCGAGATGCAGGGCCAGCCGGGCTTGAAAATCGTCTGGTTGCTTTTGCAGTAACTGCAGCGACGCCGATCCATTCATGGCAGGGCTACGTATGTTCACATGATTTTGCGTACGTGGCCAATTTTTTTGTAATTTTTATGCTTCAAGTATGTTTCGTTTCTGGTATCACGTTTTGTACTGTATTGATTGCTGCCTCTGTGATTGCTTTGCTATTTTCTTGATGACATGATTCAGCCTTAGCGCCAACCATTTCGGAGTTTCGCAATAAGCTTGTATTTGCAACCTTCTTCCTTCCAGGATTATCCTCGTCCAACGCTTCCTATGTGCACTTGGGTTCGCAGCAGGATGGCACCGTGATTCCGGCCATGTAAGTTCCGTGTCCGGCCTCATCGGTCAGTAGGATAAATCCCGAGTCGCCCGGACCCGAGGCAAAACCATTGCGGTCTAAGCCCTAGCAGCGTAGATGGTAATTACTCAAAAATAGCATGTTGACGGCAATAGCTGCGATTTCCGCCGGCAATAAATCGCCCGCTAGTTCTGTCGATCAAGGCGAAGCTTGAGTAAGTACGCGGCAATGTCCAGCACAACATCCATAGAGCCACTAGCAAGAAAGAAGTCGCCCTATTACCCCATTAAACATCTCTTGTCAGCGGCGTGCTCTTCACTCCTTTGCGCAGAAGGCAAGTCAGTCAACCCTACACCACCACATCAAGGTCTTCTTTAGCAACAAAACTCTCCGCTCTTCTACATCTGTGGGAAAGACATTCAACAGCTGACCGTGGCGTACGAGTTGGAAACCATCGTGAATAAAAGTGTGAAATCGCACCTCACTTTAACATCATTTCCCGTCCAGTGTCACCAACTTCCAGCTTTGGCGGTTGTAATGAAGTGTGGTATGTCGCCGCAAGTTAAACAACAACACGACCAGTTCAGGCGCAGCATTGGCCCATCGACTGACTCGTTGTCAAACCAATAAACGGCGCCCTTGAATATACACAAATACAATACCGAGCTAAGCTAGTCTTCAGCCAACACTTTCAACATTGTGAACTGGTCTCGGTAGGGAAGCTAGTGTGTGAGTCAGTGTGACCAACGGGTATTTTGGCCCCCAAATCCACTGTTCACAACATACAACCATGGAATAGAGGCGGTGACTGGAGCTTGATTCATTCTAAGACTATAGCTTTAATGTCAAACGTCACATGTAATACTACGCTTGGAGCTCAGTTTGCAACGCAGTCGGGCCTGGGCCGTAGGCTTCGCACCCATGCAAGACACTCATCGAATGTCTCAACCGAGATAGATTGAAGAATCTGTATCTGAAAGCAAAAATCGAGTTGATAATATATTTGCTAGTCCATGCTATGTTGAAAACCGACTTTAATATCCTTTCAGAGGAATACATGCATTGCTAGACACCACAAACTTTTTGTTAGCAGACGCTCTCTCGAGGTTCATATGCCATCTAACAGCCAAATCAGTCAGTTATGCTGTGCTAACATCGGGAGTCCAGCGGCCTTCAGGTCCGTGTTGACTTCTTCCAAGTGATCCAAAAAATGGGCCTTCAAATTATCCCATTGATGGGGGTCACTTGTATGAAGGTACTTGGACCCGTCGCCCTGTGTCGCCCATTTCGTAAGCAATACCGGCACGCTGATATGAAACATGAACGCCATCGTATCTTCACAGATAATCACATTCTCCAACTCGCGAGTGGTGGCATCTTTCCACGTATCGTACGTTTCGCCATGGGGCATGTAGCTCGCTTCGTAGCTCAGGCCGCCACCATCCAAGACATGACTAGATCCACCATATTTTCCATATATCAAACCCATAATCTCAGTGCTCATATTCCGGTGATAGTATGGCGGCCGAAAGGTATCTTCTGCCGTGATCCATTTCTTTGTGAAAACTAGGAAGTCACTGAGTGATACACCAGGGACTTTGGATTTGGCCGTTAAAACACAGTAGATTGTCGGGTCGGCTTGATCTTTGTTTGCATTTGCCATGTTGACAAACTTCTCCATGGCGTATTTGTAGGGAACCAAATTGCCGTGCCATGCCACAACATCGAATGGAGAGTGGTTTTGCTTGCAATTATGCAAGGTGCTTGCCAGCTTGTACGTAATTGTCCATGGCGTGTCATCAATGTCGAAACTAGCCACTGGAGACTCAAAATCCCTCGGGAGTGCTAGGCCATTCGATCCAACGACACCGAGTTCCGGAAGTTCGTAGTGCGTACCGAAAACCTCTTGTATATAGCCTCTTACCGGCCCATCTGGGAGAAGAACACGAAAACGGATTCCAGCTGGAATTACCACGACTTCTCCAGGACGTGCCATAATCCAGCCCAGTTCGGTTTGTATATTTAGTCTGCCGTGTTGAGGCAAAATTAGGAATTCGCCGTCGTTGTTGGAGAATGCCGAGTGTCCCATTGAGATATTCGCTGAGAAAACATGGACCGCGACACCTTCTCTAAGGGTGGGATCTCCTTGGCCGCCAATGGTCTTGATACCCTGGATAAAGTCGGTGCCAGCAGATGATGATCCATGTTCAATAGGCTCTAGGATAGGAAATGGATCCCATGCTTGCTGTGATGCGACAAACTCCACGTTGTGGTTCGATGGAGAGAAGCAAGATTCGATCTGCCACATCGTGTTAGAATTGCACCAACCATCTCTCGAGAAACTCACATTCACATTGAGATTAGGATCTGGGGAAACGCGGCCATGAGCCACCGACGGCCGAATCCTGTACATCCATACATGTCGGATCGCATCCCTAGAGCTCAATACGGGAGCCCCATTCAACTGCTCTGAATATAAACCATACTTCACTCGTTGAGGAACATTTTGCCCTTTGGGTAATACATTAGGCACAGCTTCTGATGCAAACCGGTTCCCAAATCCAATTTGGTACGAGTGAGGATCTGCTTCAGAAGTGTTTGTCAAGAAGGCCGCTTTAGCGGTGGCAGTCATCTTGCCCTCCGCCATATTTGCTTTGGCAAGACAGTTGAGACGGCAAATAAGGCGCGGTGCGGAGTGGGCGCGAGCGATTTCTTATCACTCACGACGGAATTGATGCTGTCTGGTACTAAAACGCCACTAAAAATGAGTGACTAGAAGCTTAAATCGGACTACCATGGAAACAGTGGTGGTCCTCTATTGAACTTGGCTTAGAACGGAATCCTTGCCGACAGAGGATGCACTGCGCCTTCTTGACCGATAACTGATGGTGAAGTGGTCCATGTGTTGGTCATTGGGTAAAATTTCGAGACTGCCTAAGAGATATGTCCCAGGTGTCTCGCGATGCAGGACTCAACACAAGAGAAAGGGTCCTTCACTCCGCCAAACCTCTAGAGACCCTGATATACTGGCATCGACATGTGGAATGAATTGAACAACAGCTCTATGATCCTCCCGGCTATACTATAACCTAGCCATGCGAAAATTCATATCACGCCCGCTGTACCTGGAGCCACCAGACTGCCAGAAGGACTTTTTTGATGTGGCTTTGAACTTTGCCTCCGGCAAGATGTGGTGCTGGTCTTGGCGTTGGAGCGCAGACTTGCCGGCGGCAAGCCAGAGACAATGGGCCATAGTGCATGTTGCAGGGCTCCTCTCGGTTATCATCACACTGCAGGACATCGTGCATTTCGATTAGGCGTGGGCACGGAGCGATTCCGTGCAAGGGCGAACTTGTATTAGTGCGGAAACCAGTTGGATATCAGATTGATGGTGGTCGGGACTCGGGAGCCTCGAAATTACCAGCCAGTCCGTACTCCGTACCCGAGTCACCATCTACGCGCACGAGAAGGTGAAAAGCTCGATTCGCCTGGCTGCACACCAAAGGCACAATGGTCGACAGGTATGGACTTTGGTGCCCATGTTCCGTAATTGCCGGTCTCTAGACCGTTGTGCCTGGCTCCGAATCATCTCCGTAAGGCATCGTGGTTGCACCTAGAAAACGATGCCCTATACAGAACCAGCCGCATGAATCCAGTGTCCAATGATGGCTCAGCTTGCCAGATAAAGAAGCCTCATCCTGTGTTGAGACATGAAGTGCGGAGGTGAAAATGTGGCTGTCGGCTAAATGGCATATGACCCGTAACATGCGGAGGTGTCCCCCGCCTTCTAGCTCACTGTTCATGCTGGTGTGGACCAGTATGACACGACGTGAAAAATCATCATGCCGTTTGCTAACAAATGTTCCCTGTTGTCACGATCAAGACTGGAGTCCTGTGCTGCCATCTCAAGTTCTCACCGCAGCATTGCCGAAAATAGCACCCAAGCACCCTAGCGAACAGGGGGGGATACAATCTAATACCACCTAGCCGGCTAGTTCCCAGTAGTGAATCATGGTGCTGTAAAACAAGCGACTCGAATTCGAGAATGATAATGCTTTGACAGGAGGCCTATTTCTGAAGTAACTCTCGAGCGTTAGTTGAGCCTCGACTCTGGAACAAACGAGGAAGGAAAGGGAAGCAGGCTTTGGCTTGGTCAGGCTGTGTGCCTGCCGCGAGCTGTCATACATGGACAGCTGTCCGCAGATGCCCACTTGTGCACGCACAAAAACGCAGGCACATCACCTGTAGCTTGGCCCGTGCTGTTGGCAGGTTCTCTTGACTCCTTACGGAGTAATTCCTAGCACTTTCTAGTTGCCTGTGTACCTTCGGTACGGAGTACCTCCTTAGAACGGATCTGTCAGCCAGTCTCGCAAAGCCACCAACAGCTTCTCTCCGCCTTCGTTTTCGTGTCACCATCGTGCTTTGTCTTCGCCATACAACGTCCATATTTCAGTGATACAGGACCGCCTCTCCACACCGTACTTCCAACACCCCGACACAAACCGCTATCGCCCACACGCCCTACCCCATTGGTTGATCTGCCTAGGGACTGGGTTCCCAACTGCGAGTAAGACTCTTTGTTGCGGGCGTGAGCAGCCGTAGGTGTGAGGTTGTCTTGTCTGACTTTGATAGCCTGTCCGAGTGTGGTTCACTCAGTTCTATGCTCTACGGTGAATTTTGCCGGTAGAGGCCTGGCCTGCATTACACAGGAGAGGTCTACCGACCAACGCCTGAACGGGCGAGGGAAAAGGGGAGGGCTTTTTAAGCGGACGTTGGGACGCCATGGATTTCTGGACGCTTCTGACCACCAGGTGCTCTACCCTTGTGTCTGTTGCTATTTCCGTGTTAGTTGGATACCACTTATTAAAGCTGTTATCAAAGCGCGGTCGTGGGCATCTCCCGCTTCCCCCAGGCCCGCCTGGAGAACCAATATTGGGTCATTTGCGTGTTATCCCGACAGATAACCCCGAATACGCCTATATGAAATGGTCCGAGGAATACAAGTCGGACATTTTATCCTTCCATGTCCTCGGCCAACCAGTCATTGTTCTCAACTCAGTCCGTGCCGCAGTTGACCTGCTTGACAAACGAGGTGCCAATTATTGTGACAGGCCAAGATTTGTCCTATTTGAAATCATGGGATGGGGCAAAACGCTTACCTTCTTACCCTGGGGACAGACTTTCAGGACGCACCGTCGAATTCTGCAGAAGAATTTCCAAAAAAGTAATATTGTGCAATACCGCCCGGTCCAAGAACGGGAAACTGCCTTGATGTTGCAAGGCATACTTGCGAGACCTACCTTGTGGGATACCGCTATTCGACGGTTTGCTACCGCTGTTGTTCTCGGTATCGGCTTTGGCATCAAGGTGGAACAGGACAACGACCCATTCATCCAAGTTGCTGCGGACGCTAGCTACGCTTTAGCTCATGGAGGTGCCCCTGCAGGAACTCCTGTCGACTTCTTCCCATTTCTCAACTCCTTACCGTCTTGGTTTCATGATCGTTCGCTCAAATTTGCCAGGGATTGGAAATGGGCCATTTGTAACTTGCATGACAAGCCTTTCGATGCTGTGTTGGCCTCCGAAGAAATGCCTGATTCTCTTATGCAAGACATGGTTGACCAGAGACAAGCCCAAATTGAAAAGGGTGAGCAGCCCGAGTTATCGCATGACGATATCAAGGGAGCAGCTGGCGCTGTTTTTGCAGCTGGCCAAGATACAACATGGGCAACTATAACTGTGTTTATTCTAAACATGCTCCTACACCCCGGGATACAGACCAAAGCACAAGGTCTACTGGACAAGGTTACCGGCCGCAACAGACTTCCAAATTTCAATGATAGACCACAGCTCCCGTACATTGACTATATCGTCCAGGAAACATTAAGATGGTGTCCTGTATCTCCTATGGGAATCCCACACAAGTCATTGGAAGACGACACTTATAATGGCTACTTCATCCCTGCAGGATCTTTCGTGTGTGCAAATGCCCGAGCCATGACCCACGATGGACGGACATTTAAAGAACCGGATAACTTCAATCCCGATAGATATGCGACCGAAGAAGACGGCGGTTTAGGGGAGCCTTTTCCGGTTGGCCAATTTGGTTATGGCCGTAGAGTATGCGTCGGCAAACACCTCGCAGAAGCGAGTGTTTGGATAGTGGTAGCAACCATGCTAAGCACTATGAACATTGAACCAGTCAGAGATGAGAACGGAAAGGTGGTTGTACCCAAAGTAGAGCTTACTAATGGCTTGACAAGTCATCCAAAGCCTTTTCAGTGTCGAATTGTACCGAGAGATGAAAGAAGTGCTAATATTGTTCGAAGCGCAACGACATGACGAATCGCATGGTTCTTGTTTAACAGGCTTATGACACAGAATGCAAAACAATTGTCACACCGATTATATCTGTCATGACTGGCCTCACTACTCCACTGGTTCTAAATGAGCTCTTCCAGTTTTCAGATCCCGCGCGCATAGCCACAGCACGATGGGAACGCAAAAGAAGCTAAACACCAAGCTCCCCCCAAAGACTAGTGCATGATACGTCCACGCATTGCTCTCATCCAAATGTTTTACCTGGCAAACAATGGCCCAAGGCAATACGTAAAGCAAGTTGCTTGCCAAACTCTGCCAGAGATACCACTTTGGTCGAGTTGCCAGCAGAACAGCAGCCAACTGCGTCGAAACGGCATACAAGATGTAGCACCAGTCAATAGTCTTCCACATGTGGGCTGTCACTTTGGCGACGTCGTTGTTTCTACTAAGAAACTTTGCAAAAGGCCGTGCTCCCCAGAAGGAAAGAAAGACGCAGATAGGAACTTCAAAAACCAAAGCAATGAAAATCGACTTACACGCCGGTCGGGCAATACCGAGCAAGCTCCCTAGACTGACGTTGGTCACACCGGCAGACCGTCTCTTCCAGATGCCCCATTTGTGCCCTACAAATGTCAATGTTGTTGCCTCGAGTGCAGAAACGGGAACCATGACAAGGCCCCAGCGGATGGTGTTGAAGACGCTCCATGCCGTAGCGTACGTTATTCCCAAGCTGGTAATGTTGGCAATCAACCAGAGGTATAAAGCGTTCCGAACTGCTGATTCAATAAAGGCCGGCATTCCACGTGGACCCAGGACCTTCAAGAGCGCTTGAATCGAGGGTTTCGGTGTCGTTGACCGTCCTCCTCCTTCGTCTCCCTCCCGCTCCCCCTCCTCATACTCTTCCCCATTCCCCTGCTTACGGCGTCGGTGCACAGCAAGCAAGTACGCCAGGCCACTAAATGCAGCGGTCAGATTACAAGTAACCTGAATACCAGCCTGCATATTCACACTGGGCGTGTGTCGTCCCACATGAAACGTTGAAATCAGCAACATGTCCAATACGATATTGACCGCAAACTTGATACTGCTCAGCAAAAGGGGAATATCAGGTCGATCCAACGGCCTCGCTGACGCATTAACAGCCGCCTCGATGGCACTGCCGAGGGCGGAAAATGCGCTGATCCGTACGTAGGTTATGCTGCCGAGGCGCACTTCAACGGGCACGAAGCTCTTGGCGAAAGCCCTGGCGGCGACGAGGATTACTATGGACATGAGTAGGCCGAGAATTGATTGGGCAAGAATGAGGGTGTATGTCAAGGACAGGCGGTGGGTGTAGGGCGCCGTGGTGTCACCGATGGTAGACCATGCTGCTCGGGGGAGGCCATCGTTTACGACTTCCGCGATGGTCGTGATGTATGTGTACGTGCTTCAGCCTTTTGTCAGCCAAGTCTAGTGATCACTGATGAGTGCAGAGCAGGGGAGGGCCAGCAGACTCTGTCGTCACAACCATTCGTGGATCAATATTCGCAACCCACAGTTTCACAAGTGTTCCGTACAGAGCGGGCAGTGTAAAGGAAAAGACGTTGAGCCACAAAGCACCGCTGTACTGGGCCCTCGCCCAGCGATGCTTGTAGAAACAGAGGAGCCCGGGCATGATGTGAAGACAGGGGAGGAGGATTCACCATTTGCATCGCCACTGGGACTTTGTATTTTGACGGGATGGGTGTATGCTGTGTAACTCGAGATGCGAGGTTGCTTTTGTCACTTCCGTGCGGGGGCGTTTCTCTAAAACGGCATGCCGCTTCAAGCCATCAATATCCCGTGTCTCATATCCCTCCACGGTCAGCATGCGGTTGACTTGTGAGAACGGGCTTGAACTGGGCGTGCTATAGTATCCTGAGGTTCGCTCCTGAGGAGGCAATCAGAGTTGTGTTACACTCAAAGAAATTGATACTTTGAATCTGCCACGACTCATGAGCACCCCATCATTGAACATGGGAATTATGCCTCGTCAGGTAATAACTGATAAACGACATCTCGCAGCTTCCTAAAATAGCTAGAAAAGCCGACTTGGTTTTCGCGTATAGAAGCATCCCACCAGTATGCCCAGGAAAGAGGTATGAAGAGTTCATATTTGCATCTTGGCAGACGACAGACGAATCTAATGTGGTCTGGTAGGGAGTCCCTGGATCCCAGCCTCTGAAGGTCCATCGGGGCCGGACCATCGCTGCCGTAGACGTCTCTTGCAGGGGACTGCTCTACTCGTATCATCGAGTCGTATGGTCACGATTGCACCGAGTTGCCAAGTAGCATCTTGATCACGATGCTGGAAAGATGCCTCTCAGATGACCGATGGTGAGCTTCACCGAAAATCGACGGCATCGTCACCGTCATTCGGCCCACTTGCATGTTTGATCTGCACAGTTCGTCCAGCTTGGCAAGTTTTCCGCAAGCCGGGATGGCCCATGCATGGATAGGTTTGCGAGAAATGTATGCGTCCTGAATGAGCAAACGACAAAGATGAGTTACGTGAATCATGCCGGCAAGCTTGAATCAAATCCACAAAGACAGAAAACATCTGAAAGCCAGCCGCCTTCCCAATTGACGTCTTCTACATGAGGGACGAGTATATAAAGTAGAAGGATGGACGACCTGTGCTCTGTTCTACCAAGCAACTCTGAATAAAATATACTTCTCCCAAGCTCTTCCACATTTGAAACGCCAAAATGAGACTTTCTACTCTCTCCTTTTCTTCCCTTCTTTTCCTATCTGCCACCACCATGGCATTGTCGGTTATAAATCCTGCCTTCAGCCTAGTCGAGCCACGTGCTGGTTGTGATGGATGCCACTGTACCGAATGCGTCTGTCTAAACCCAAGTCAGCCGGGGTGCGACGGATGCCATTGTACAGCGTGTGTTTGCGAGAATTAACTCCTTCAGGAGGTTCTTGGGGGGGTGGTATCAAGGCAAGAAGGAAGGCAGTACACGCAGACACTGGAGAATTGTTGGAGCGAATGGTTTTTGAGGATTGGTAACTTGGTATAGGTTTTGTCCTGGCATGGCAGGTTTCCCTATACTATTATGCGAATGCAAAGATTACCATTGGTGCTGGCAACGTGTAAACACGGAGCGCAGTGGTATGAGCAGCTACAGACGCACGTGTTGAATTTAGGAGGCGATATTCGTTATGAGAGGAAAATCTAAGCGCTTCAAATTCTAAAGTTTGCTCTTGACAAAATTACGACGCTGTCCAGGCTGGAAGGTTCTTGGCATGATTTTTGCCAATATAGTCTAGAATTGAATATTTTGGCAAATACACAAAGAGCCCCCGGCTGTTATTGGACTATAAATGTGAACGAGTCAAGACCTTGAATGAGGGTTTTCGCACCAGATGCTGGCTGTATTAACGATGTTTTCGTGATGTTACAAGATTCTACATATCGGCTGCAGGTAGCTAGCTTCTAACTATAGAAGAAGCCAATGACCTAGCTAGATGGCTTGACTTAAGTGTCAGTCCACTGTTCAATGCAATCCATAGCTGTCAATCGAGATGGCGAAGTGTATGTAAGTTTGGCGGCTAAGAGACCTCACCACCCATGGTCTGTAGACGCACACGTGCCAGAGTATTATCGAGCTTAACCACGTAGTTTTTGAGGGAAAGGATCCAGAAATAGCAGCCCTCGGTCGAATACCCCCGACACTCTGCTTATAAGTGTGCACTATTGGCTCTCCCTCTCCCTGTCCCGAAGCTTCATGCGTTTGAAAACCGTTTTGCTAATATAGTCGATCTCTTTCCGATTGGTCTGATATCTGTTCCGCATGTCGAGGAACGAGCAGGAAAGGAGGCATGGGGAAACCGCAGATCTCTTAAAATTCACTGTCAACTATCTGCCAAGGAAAAAGGCGAAGCAGCGTCACTGCCACCATGATATCGGGCCTTCTTCTTTAGCGCATGAGCATTGCAGTCAAGGATATCTACTAGTCCGCGTGTCAAGTTCAGGGGACCAACCGGGCTTATTATAAGTTGGAATTTTGGTAATTCCGGAACCCGCCGGCGAGATTGTATCAAGATCCCCGAATGTACAATGTAGTTAATACTAGCTATTGTGGGGAAGCCGAATCCCGGCACCGATCACGATGCAAACACCTTACCCGGGACGTGGACTATCAAATCCCGTTCCATGCCCGGAGACACAATTATTTGATAAATAGTGGCAGCTGGCTGGCCGCGCCTTTGACTGGTTGGACATTGCCGTTTGTAACAGTTGGGGCGTCTAAGCCCTTTTTTTTCTCGAATAGGTAAATATGGCATAACCATGGCCATCTCTTGGATCCCTGACAGTCGTCTTCCTGTGAGGGCCAGTCACGCTGTAATTTTAAAACCCAAGTCCCAGCATATTGAGAGAAATCCGTCAATCTGGTGGGATGCTGCCACCAGAAAGCCCCAATTCGAAAGGTCAAATGTCGCAACTTGACGTTGTAGCACATTGAATCACACAAGCGATTTGTGAAAGTTATCAATCTTCATAAGTATATGCATGTGCCTAAAAGTCTAGTTCTATTTGTCAGCCAACGCCAGAACCAGAATGACGGCAGAGGCACAGTGGGGCCAGCGACTGAGCAAGCTCGAATTATGACGCAGTGCACATGCCAAAGTGCGCAATGGTGAAATCAGAGCTTCCGATCGAGCTTTGTGCACGCATTGTAAACCAACCAGTTGGCCCCACATGCAGCTCCATGCTCCCAACTCGTAACTCCGCACCCACGCCCAGTGCGGTTGCTCCAGGTTCCCTTGGTTCCGAGGCGAGAAGAAAGGTCTTCGAGGGCTCTGGGCTCTGGGCTCTGTCGTCGTTGCTGGACAAGCTCGATGTCCCATTCTGTCAAGGCCATGTGTAGTGTCCAAGGTGCAATGCCCGGATCCAAGTCCCGTTTCAACTCCTCCTGCCCCTCTCCACTTCCGCCTCTTCCTCAACATCTCCAAGCCTCCTCCAACTTCATTTCTATCCAGAACCTAGCTCCCCGACATAAACGTAAACAAATCTGCCAAAATGGTCAAAGCTGGTAAGACATCCGACCAACCCCATCTGCCAGGCACACAGATGTAGTCCCCCCACGTTGCTCTTATTATAGATGCCGTGCCTGGGCTGGCTGCGTCTGGGGAGGGGGCGAGTTGCTCGCGCTTGTTTGAGCGAGTTTTTTTTCCAAGCAACCTCGTTGGACAATGGCGTCCAAGCAAAGCAAAACAACCTTGATGGAGGCAACAGCCCTACCGCTCCCAGCGTGCCAAATGTCCCTTGATGGCCCTCGGTCCCTGTCCAACTGTCTAATGACACGTCCAAATGGATACATCTGCTGACGATTGATGCCGCTTTGCAGTTGCCGTACTCCGAGGTGACGCCAAGGTTGGCGGTACCGTCACCTTCGAGCAGGAGTCTGAGTCTGCTCCCACTTCCATCACTTGGGACATCACCGGCAACGACCCCAATGCTAAGCGTGGTTTCCACATTCACACCTTTGGCGACAACACCAATGGCTGCACTTCTGCTGGACCTCACTGTGAGTATTGTCCTGGGCGCAACACCCCGATTCGCCAGGGTGTGGCTGGCCCTGGCTGGCCGTTGCTCTGCCCTGCTGTACCAGATAGAGTTGCATTACTGACCTCACTCACCCGTCTCCTAAAATAGTCAACCCTCACGGCAAGACCCATGGTGCTCCTGCCGACGAGGCCCGACACGTTGGTGACCTTGGCAACGTTAACACGGATGCCCAGGGTAATGCCAAGGGTTCCGTGACGGATTCCCAGGTCAAGCTCATCGGCCCTCACAGCGTCATTGGCGTACGTCCACATCTACGGTGATACAGGTTCTTGTCCAACGTCCCGTGCTAACATTGCTACAGCGCACTGTCGTCGTCCACGCTGGTACCGACGATCTCGGCAAGGGTGGCAACGAAGAGTCTCTCAAGACTGGCAACGCCGGTCCCCGACCTGCTTGCGGTACGTATTCCCGCTCCGACTTTCTGTAGTGATAAGCGTATGCTGACAGTTGCAAAGGTGTCATTGGCATTTCTTCCTAAGTTCAATCCGTGCACCACGCTGCTGGGGGAAATACCGGGCATGGTGGGGTATCAAAAGATTGGATAATGCCAAAAGGGGCAAAATAGTTGGGATTTGATATGTCTAGGGCTTAAAATTGAATCCTGATATGATCCTTTGTGATTCATCTGTGCCCTCGTCATCGTGATGAGCTCAATACAGTGGGTAGCTGTGTATTTCTTTTCCATATCTGTTGTTGACATCGTTGTCAATCAGTTGGTTTGGCCCGAGGAGGGGTACGGTGGGTAGACTGGCCCGTACACAAACAGTCAAAGTCTTGAGCTGGCCACACGACATCGCGCCACATCGGAAGCTACGGGGCATCTCAGAGGCTCTGTTAATGGCACGAATAAGAACTGTGAATGCTGTTACAGGACAACGTTGTACAACACTTGACACCACATCGTCAATGGTACCCGCAGGAGCTTCAACTCTCTGCCTAGCTCAACAGCCCCTCATCTGTTGCCCCGCGCCGAGCGGTCACGACAGCTTGGTCGGGCTGTGCTCGCTTAATTAACCAACTCGGGCACTTCGAGCACCCAAAGCAAGCGCCACGAAAGGTCCCTGACTGACGCCAGATGTCCGTTACCACAGTGGCCCAGCGACATCTGAACCCCACACGTGTCCCAACTGGGTGTTACAGTACAGGGCCGAACATTCGTGACACCTTGCCTCAAGGGCACACGACCGGAGTTGCACCGCAAGACACCGCCTTTGTCTCCTCAACTGACTTCCTTCAAGTTGGAGTAGAGCTTAGTTCATCTCTATTCTACCCATACCCCCCATCTTCTTTTATCTCGATTCTCCTAGGTGAGTGTTCTGATTTGATGTTTCTGTTGCACTAGACTATCTGCACACCAATTCTTGCTTTGCGTACGTCTTAAGGTGCTTGCATCTCTTGGGGGTTGCACACGCCATGCCTGATGACACCATTGCTCGATGCGGGTGACATGTATTAGCAAAACATGGCTTCTTCTTTAAAACTCTGTATCATCGCCGTCTCTTTGTCCATGGCGCTATTTTGAAGAGACGGATGATCATGATTGCTGCCGTGCCCACTACCAACATTTGCTTCGAATCTTGGGCTTATATCCAGATCACCTTTTTAGCTTGGCAGTGCCGCTCATCGATGATGGCTTGCATGGAAGCAATTTACTAACGCCAAGTCCTTGGAGCAGTCTTCTTCCGCCCGCCTCGGTACATCATGTCAAAGGTATTCGTCGGCAATGTCAAGAGTGTGTTGAGTGGTGACACACTGATCTTGACAAGCCCTAACAATCCCTCGGCCGAACGAAACTTCTCGCTCGCATATGTCACCGCCCCCCATTTGAGGCGAGAGGGAGACGAGCCATTTGCTTTCCAGTCCCGCGAATATCTTCGTAACCTAGTTGTCGGCAAGCCGATTCAATGCACAATTCAATACACCATCCCCAACTCTGGCCGAGAGTTTGGCACGGCCAAGTTGAAGGATGGTGGCGAGTTGCCTGACGAACTGGTCAAGGCTGGCTGGTTAAAGGTCCGTGAGGATGCCGGCCGCAAGGAAGAAAACGAAGAGGTCTTGGAGCGTCTCGAAAAGCTCCGTGGCTATGAATCGGAGGCCAAGGCCGAGGGCAAGGGTCTTTGGGCTGGCACCGGTGGTGTTATTGAGGTCCAGAATGACCTTGGTGGACCTGAGTTTATGAAGGAGTGGAAAGGCAAGACTGTGGATGGTGTAGTTGAACGGGTACTCAGCGGCGACCGACTCCTTGTGAGACTCTTGCTCTCAGAGAAGAAACATGTGCAGCCCATGACCCTCATTGCTGGCATCCGTACGCCTGCTACGGAGAGAACAGTCCCATCCACTGGTACTACCCAGCCGGCTGAAGAATTCGGAAACGAGGCTAGGCAATTCGTTGAATCTCGCCTGTTGCAGAGACAGGTCAAGGTTGAGATTGTCGGTGCCAGCCCTCAAGGGCAGCTGGTTGCCAGCATTATCCATCCTCGCGGCAACATTGCCGAGTTCTTGCTGCAGGATGGTTTGGCTCGATGCAACGACTTTCACTCCACCATGCTGGGCGAGAAAATGGCTGCGCTTCGGTCTGCCGAAAAGCAGGCCCAGTCGAAGAAGCTACGACTCCACAAGCACCACGTCGCAAAGGCGGTCGGCGACAACCAGGAGATGACGGTTAGCAAAATCGTTGGTGCTGATACAATTTTTGTGAAGAACAAGGCCGGAGCGGAGAAGAGAATTAGCTTCAGCAGCATTCGCGGTCCCCGAACCAACGAGGCTAGTGAGAGCCCATTCAGAGAAGAAGCCAAGGAATTTTTGCGACAGAAATTGATTGGAAAGCATGTAAAGATCAGCATTGACGGAAAGAAGCCCGCGTCTGAGGGCTTCGAGGCCAAGGAGGTGGCTACAGTCACTGAGAAGGGGAAAAATATTGCCCTGATGTTGGTCGAGGCAGGATGGGCATCAGTCATTCGCCACAGAAAGGACGATACCGACAGAGCCTCTAATTACGACGAGCTTCTCGCAGCTCAGGAGAAGGCCAAGGAAGAGCTGAAGGGTATGTGGTCTGGCAAGCCTCAGAAGGCAAAACAGTACACAGATCTATCAGAGAACGCTCAAAAGGCCAAGATTATGCTCGCCACGCTGCAAAGACAGAAGAAGGTTCCTGCGATTGTTGATTTCTGCAAGGCTGGCTCCCGATTCACGGTCCTTATTCCCCGGGAGAATGTGAAGCTTACGATGGTTCTTGGTGGCATCCGGGCTCCGCGGGCTCCTCGCGCTGATGGGGAAGGCGGCGAGCCGTTTGGCAAGGAGGCTCTGGATCTGGCAAACCGACGATGCAATCAACGAGACTGCGAGGTCGACATTCACGACATGGACAAGGTTGGTGGGTTCATTGGCGCTCTGTACATCAACCGCGAGAACTTCGCCAAGATATTGGTAGAGGAAGGCTTAGCTTCTGTTCATGCATACTCTGCTGAGAAGTCTGGAAACTCGACGGAGCTGTTTGCCGCCGAGAAGAAGGCCAAGGAGGCTCGAAAGGGACTGTGGCACGACTATGACCCTTCGCAAGAGGAGGCTGATGAGGAAGAGGAGACTACCGAGGAGACTCCTGCTGAGTCAGAGGTGTCACTAGACAAGAAGCCTACGGACTACCGCGATGTTATGATAACCAATATTGATGGAAACGGCAAGATCAAGATCCAGGAAATCGGCAAAGGTACTGCTGCTCTGGAGACGATGATGAACGAGTTCAGAAAGTTCCACCTCGACTCCAAGAACAATAAGCCCTTGGGCGATGCCCCCAAGACTGGAGACTTTGTTTCTGCCAAATTCTCCGCCGACGGACAGTGGTACCGAGCTCGAGTCCGGTCCAACGACCGCACTGCCAAGGTGGCTGAAGTCCAATATGTCGACTACGGAAACACTGAGAAGATTCCTTGGTCCGACCTTCGAGGCCTTGATCACGGCCAGTTTGGTATTCAGAAACTCAAGGCTCAGGCTATTGATGCCTCTTTATCCTTTGTCCAGCTCCCCACTGGTGCTGATTACTTTAATGAGGCTATCGGCGTCATTGCTGAGATGACGGAGGGCAAGCGACTGGTGGGCAGCTTCGACATTGTGGACAGCAAGGAGAATGTGAGCTACATTACGCTGTACGATCCCAAGTCGAACAATGAATTGCCTGGCTTGAATGATTCGATCAATAAGGAGGTTGTTGCCAGCGGTTACGGCATGGTTCCCAAGAAACTGAAGGCTTGGGAGCGGAGCAAGGCATTTGAATCGTACTTGAAGCACCTCAAAGAGGTTGAGAGCCAGGCCAAACAAGATCGTCTGGGCATGTGGGAGTATGGTGATATTACCGAGGATTAGACGGATGACTAGGTGGGTGGAACTATCTACGGATGGCGCGAGTGGACGATGAATTGGGAAGGCATGATATAACGAATACAAAAGTCATCAGGCATAGAGGGATATTTATTCCAAGATGTTAGTTAGCGTTCTTGAATCAAAAATGAAGACGTTGTTGGTTGTGGACGGCCATTGAGTTGCATTCACCAGTCTACAAGTGTATAAATGGTGATATGGCAGCGAGTACAATTATGATGTCCTTGTAGAAAAACTTTATACGGTCATGGTGTACTTGGTGTTAGAGGTACGTCGTTGGCAAGGAACAAAATAGCACGCAGGTGCGTTTGTTCAAAAATAGAAAGTAAAAGAAAATCATTCCACTCAAGTACCCAGCGGTTAGGAGTTGACAGCAGCCCGAATAACGTCGAGCCAAGTGAAGAGGTCCAGTTGTCTTGTGCATCACGTCTCGGCTGAATTCTCCGGGTGTGAGGCTGCAGTAGAGAGTGAGAGGCTCGGCTGAGTCGTGATGTGCGTCAGGACAACGTGTCATAACATGCCATGTAACTGCAATTGACCATCAAGAGATGGCATATGTATGCCCAAATGAAGTAAGTTGTGATTGGTTGTGCTCCGGCCGGTTGTCGATGATGCTACCCGGTCGTCGGTGGAGCCGAAAAAGGCGGGCCGGAGCACAGGAGTCCGGGACTGGAGACTGGCGGGCAGCTGGTGAAACTGGTCTGGTCTGGTGGGACATGGCTGGACATTGTGCTGGGGGGGCTGACAAAGAGATGACCTGATGGTTAAGAAGCACTTGAGCACGTTAGTCAACAGCCGCCTAGGAAACTAGAAGAGCTGTTGGCGCTGTTGGGGGGGCCGCCGGAGTTGCAGGAGCAGGAGCAGGACCCCGCCATTGCCGGATGGAGGGGTGCAAGCCGAACCAACTGAGTCCAGTCGGTCGGTCGGTCCATGTCGGCACCTGGAGGTCCATCAGGAGCGCACGCCAACAGAGCAACGCCTTCAATTCGCAGAGAGCCATCTCGTGCATCAATGGTCCAATGCCTGGATTGGCTGCAGAAACAACAGGGACAGGAAGGGAAAAAAAAAAAAAGAGGCGCACCCCCCATCGCAGGTTCGTCCAGATGGTCTCCATACTGCCATCCAACTTGGTGCCATGGTGTTGGCTGCTGCTAGCGGGTTGCACGCAGCGTCCGAACGGCGGCGACGGATGGCCCAGCATTATCCACCCATTATATCATCATTTCGAAACCTTCTGCTCCCGACTTTCGCCATCCTCTTGCTACAAAAAGTCACGGCGTCCCACTTTACACTTCGTCTTTGTTTTTGAGTTCCCCCTCGTCGTCTCTTGTCCCTGTTTTTTGTAAAGTGAAGACTCATTGCACACATTCCACGTTTTACGCCATAGCCCAACATGTCCAACTCTCTCGATCAGCTCAAGGCCACTGGCACCGTAAGTCTGGGAAAAACCACCCCCACCATTTTTGCCCCTCCTTCTGCGACGCAATGAGGAGCTCTCGACGGCGGCGGAAGCTCTGCCTGCGAGTGCTTGCTGAGAGGGAATGAAGGCGTGCTTTCCAAATAACGGTGGAGAGGGGAGCACGTCTTTGAAATCTTGTTCGAGACTCTGATCTGTCAAGGACTGACAAGGCTGACTTTTCTTTTTCGCTTTCGTTAGGTCGTTGTGTCTGATTCTGGTAAATTCCCGCACGAGCCGACACCCCGCGTGGTATTTTTTGAAATGTTCAAGCTAACGGTTTTCTTGTGCAGGCGACTTTGCCTGTTAGTATATTCCATTTCTCGACCGGCCGTGCGGTTATTCGATTCTTCTTCTTCTCCTTTTTGTTCAGCCGGAGAAGAAGGAGAAAAGCATACACCGGCCATCCCCGTTGCTCGAATTGCAAACAACTAACTCGTTTGGAAACAGCTATCGCCAAGTACAAGCCCCAGGATGCCACCACCAACCCTTCGCTCATCTTGGCTGCCTCCAAGAAGGCCGAGTACGCCAAGTTGATGGACGTGGCCGTCGAGTACGGCAAGAAGAAGGGTGGCGACATCGACTCGCAGGTCGACAACGCCCTAGACCGCCTCCTCGTCGAGTTTGGCAAGGAGATTCTCAAGATTGTCCCCGGCAAGGTCTCTACCGAGGTGGACGCCCGCCTCTCTTTTGACACCAAGGCCTCTGTCGACAAGGCCCTGCACATCATTGACGTATGTATAGTTATTGTTGTTATCTCTTCTCTTCTTTGCCTCCTTAATACTGCATGCATGCTAACGCTCTCACCCCTTGCAGCTCTACAAGGAGCAGGGCATCTCCAAGGACCGCGTCCTCATCAAGGTCGCCTCCACATGGGAGGGCATCAAGGCCGCCGAGATCCTCCAGCGAGACCACGGCATCAACTGCAACCTGACGCTCATGTTCTCGCTACCGCAGGCCATTGGCGCCGCCGAGGCCGGCGCCTACCTCATCTCCCCCTTCGTCGGCCGCATCCTCGACTGGTTCAAGGCCCACAACAAGAAGGAGTACGCCAAGGAGGAGGACCCTGGCGTCGCCTCCGTCAAGAGCATCTACCAGTACTACAAGAAGTTTGGCTACAAGACCATTGTCATGGGCGCCTCGTTCCGCAGCATCGGTGAGATTACTGAGCTCGCTGGCTGCGACTACCTCACCATCTCTGTACGTTTTGAGACCCCCACCCGGTTTCTGACACCGAAATACCCTTTGTCTTCTGTTCCGCTTTGCTAACCCCTTCTCACAGCCCAACCTCCTCGAGGAGCTCATCAACAGCTCCGAAGCCGTCCCCAAGAAGCTCGACGCCTCGCAGGCCGCCTCTGCCAACATTGCGCGCAAGTCGTACCTCAAGGACGAGGCTCTCTTCCGATTCGACTTCAACGAGGACCAGATGGCTGTTGAGAAGCTGCGCGAGGGCATTAGCAAGTTTGCCGCTGACGCCGTGACCCTCAAGGATATCCTCAAGCAGAAGCTTGCGTAGGCTTCTTTTTTGTAACGGTTGCAAGAAATTGCAGAAGAACAAATTAATGATGATGAATGCGTGCGGCGCATGCGCGTGCGCGTGAGAGGTGGGAAACAGATACTACAAATGGTAACCAAAAAAAAAATGACGTCATGGTTGAAGGCGTTTTGGTTTTGTGAGATTGTCGTCTTGCAGGCAGATTGAGGAATAATACACTGAATACTGTCATTTGTTGGTGGTACGAGGTGGTTTTGACCATCATTACCAAGGAGTGCTGTCGACTGTGTCGTGGGCGCGTGCATGTTGGCCATCGCCATGAGATGATGGGCATGCTGTGATTGTTGATGTAGAGTACATGGTTTCTTGCACTGTTTACATAAACCTCACGCTTAGACTTGTCGTGCAACGGGTCCAAAATGATGGTATTCGTATAATGACTTGCATTATACCGTGGTCTAACAGTGCTCTAATGTAATGAAATTGGTATCAAGTAGGGTATCAAACTCCAACAATATCGTCTCATCCTCGCCATCGCCACGCAAGGGTATAAAACCCGCCCCCCCATGTAGTGCTGCTTCAAGCAGCTTTACAGGGGACCTGGATCTTGTCGTAGGAAATTCCGCCGCGGCCCCTGGCCCTGACAATCAGGCCCGTCAAGTGGCCGCCCGCCGCGCACCCCGAGTCCAGACCAACGGTGTACCGGCCCTCGGTGAAGCCCCGTTTCGCATCGTGCCCGTACATGACGGTCCGGCGGTGGCTCTTCTTGACAAATTTCCGCTGGTACTTGTTCCACGCCTTGTCCCATCTCTGGCCGGAGTGGTCGTCGATGGGTATGGCGACGACTTTTTGCGCCGGCGTCACCTCGCTGCCCTCGTCGTCGTCGTCGTCGTCGTCGTATTCGTCTTCGTCTTCGGGCTCGGCCTGCGCGCTGGAATGGCCGTCACGCCGCCTAAGTTCGTCGTCTTGGGAGTATCTCAGCGTGCGCATGTTCATGACGGCCCAGGGGTCCTGCTTGTCCAGCTTGACGCCGGGCACGAGGCCGCCGTGGACAAAGTACAGGCGCAGAGCTGGGGATTTGAGAATGACGGGCAGGCCCGAGAGCCAGGTGATTTGCTCTGGGAGCAGGGTCTTGGCCACCTTGAGAATCTTCTTGTCGCGTTTGCGGGCGGCGAGCACGGCGTCTTCTTGTCCGGTCGGGGACGCCGCCTGGGCGCCGTCCTCCCGCAGCGCCAGCAGGAGACGGTCGTCGTGGTTGCCTCGCACGGCGCTCGCATTCAGGGACATGAGGCGCGACAAGACGCCCCGCGAGTCCGGGCCCTTGTTGACCATGTCTCCTAGGGTGATGACGTGGTCGGTTGCCGCGTCGTACTTGGCCAGGTCGAGGAGGTTCCCCAGCTCCGTGTTCATGCCGTGGATGTCGCCGATGACGAGGAGACGGCGGCCGTTTTCGACCGTGGGGACATAGTGCTTGGGCACGCTGGCCGTGAGCGTGAGGTTGGGGGGTTTGGGTCGGCGGTGTTTACTGCTGGAGACGGCTAGTCCTTCGAGTTCCCAGTGCTGCGTGGTGTAGAGAAACGCGAGCATGCATATCGCCACGTTGGCAATGACCACAGCCAGCAAGACGGCGCATTTGTGCCGGGGGACTATCATGGCTGCGGTGTTGTGCTGGGGGTAGACAGTCCGTTCCAAGTGTTTCAAATTGTCGGTCGAGATGGTAGCCAACGCGGCGTCACAACATCAAGTTGGCCGCGCTTGTATCCACCGGCCGCGGAGGCTGGCTGGCATAAATGGTAGAGGATAGATGGGGGGTTAAACGTGGCAGGATTTTCCAACGAGGGTTATACTGCTCTTTTGTGAATAGGAAAGAAATATGTTTTGTGGGAGAATAGGCATCAAGAGTGAAAATCAGGCGCCGAGACAGATGTCAGCTTGTTTCACAGCCTCCATCCATTCAAAGCCTACGGGGCAGCTCACCGAGTGCTGGTCACCCCACCCAGGCAAAGAGTCTAAGCCAATTGTAGCAGTACATCAGTTGCTGCTGTGCTTCGGCAGTGCTGTCGCAAAAAAAGGGCAAGCTTGACTAATCTGCATAATAATACCAGCCCGACATTCCGGGTCGAAAGCTTGTCTTGTGACGTTTAGCTTTTCATCATTTTCTCTGGGGAATCTGCAAATCGGTCATTCCGAATGGAGGCGGGCGGGTTGATGTGATTCGTCGAGCCCAGGACCCTTTACCATCCATTTTCTGCGGCAATACTACCCTACTTTTTGATGTTGCGACAACAGATACAGAGTGCGACGCGCAGCCCGCATTGTTCTGAAATATTCAGTCTTGAAAAGTATACATGCAAAAATAAGAGTTTAGAAATTAACGTTTTTGAATATCTGTTTACCACGGGGTAGTGGCTCGGGGGGAAAAGGTGCAAAAAAAACAACAACTCTCTGAAAGCATCGTGGAACGATTTTGCTCCCGGCAGGGCTTGAACCTGCGGCCTCCGCATCACTAACGTTTATTAGTACGAAGCTCTAACCAACTGAGCTACGGAAGCTTTCCGAGATGAATTGTTGGCAATCCGAGAAGCACAATCCATTCAAGAAGGTTTTGCACAATGACTTGCATGAAAATGAATTGATACCTGTGCTGTTGTGTGTATGTGTATGTATATTGCCGACTGAAAACGTGGAATCTGTTGTTGATGTATTGGCCGAGAAAATGTTTCAGAGACTGGTGCAACTCCCGAGGTAGTTTGTTCATATGGCATTTCTTTTGAATTGCAACGGGCTGAGAATTGGCATATTATACATCCTAATATACATGTTCTTGTAATTCTTGTAATCCATCCAGTTTGTCCCAGGCAGAGCGTGTCCAAGTCTCTGCACAAAATACCATCTGTACCTCCTTCTAAAAGTGACAAAAAAACTTGCATAAACGCCCTAAACGCCATCCCCATGCAATGTAAATGCCCACGCTTCCGCTCCCCTCTCATTTATTCTGCTGCTGCTGGAGAAGCTGTGCCTGCTCTGCCCGGTACTTCTCGTTCTCAACGTCCCTCCAGTCCTGAGGGATGGGCTCATTGCCACTCGTCTCCTTGACGCCGCCCGCAAACGCCGGCTTGCCAGCGTACAACTGGTACCCCTTGCCGGTCTCCGCGCCCTCCATGGTCTTGTACGTGACGGGCATGTTTCCGCGGAATCGCTTGCGCATGTCGACCATGCCGCGCTTGCAGTCGCCGTAGCCCTTTTTGAGCTGTTGGCATTTCGTGGGGAGTGTGCTGGCGAGCGGCTCGCGGAGACAGTCGGATGCCTTGTTGCGTTGGATCATGACGCATTCTGATTCTTGGAGGCACTGCGCGAGCGCGTCGCCTGGAGGTTGTCGGTTAGTTTGCCCATTGGGACATGCGATGCAGACGCAGGGGTGTGTGGCTTACGCAGCTCTTGACATGAACTCGGCATTTTGAATTTATTGTATGGGAGAATTACTGGATGGCAGTTGGGACGGAAGCTCTGGAGAGGATGGTTCGAATTTGGGGATGCAAAGAAGCTGATTGGACTAGAGGGTGGCAGGGTCCTGACAAAATGATTACTGCAACAAGACTTTGGCGGTCTACCATTTATGCAGTCTGCATCTGGTACTCTACCTCCATGATTTTGGCCACCTTGTTGCTCACTCACCACTTGCATTCCTCCAATATCGTTCGGCATAAGCAATGTGTTGCCATAGTTGCTTTGATTGATATTATAATCTGATAGCATAATGGCAGGGACCTTGTTGTTTATTTTTGTACTTGCCGCCCTAACCTTGGATGTTGCAGTTCAATATTCTTGATGATCGAGCCATTATGCTAATTTGAAGTCATGCACACACCCCTGTGCGCTCATCCAACACAACTACCAGACATATTGACAATTGACTGAAAAATTCAAGGAACCGCAGTGTAACCAACTACACCTACGGCAAGCACCCAATCAAGGCCCAATGAACTCGTCCTGGCCCGTCAAAGCACAGCATTCAGGGCCATCAAGGGGCATATAGGGTAGCCATTTGGTGGGGTTCTTTTGTTCCAGCTGGCCACTTGCAGATCGTTTCCGTCGCATGTGACATCACCATTGACTTTGCGCATCCAGGGCAATTTGCGGTCCACTTCCCCAGAATCTCTTTTGCTAACCTTGCCATGTCGGATCTCCTGAACCCTTCACGCGACATGGTAGCTGTGCCATTCCTTTGTGCTGCTTTCATACTCGGTAATTCTGTCTCTCAATAATGCCTGTCCCATTTCTGGGGAGGTTGCATCCGTGAGTGACCCCCAACGGCCTTGCTCATCTCGACGGGATCCGACATCAAATGCGCTAACCCGTGTCTGCTTTAGCTACGAATATATTGCCCTCGTTGGATCGTTCGTTTTTGTAGGCCTCGAGGCCGTCATTCGAGTGCTAACACTGGCCCTTCGTACATAAAGCCCGCCCTCCTGTAGTTGTGTTGCGACGCTTGCTGATGTGTCATAGCCTCCTTCGCGGTTTCGTTTTTCTACCTCGTTTCGCGACGTCTATTTAATAGATTTACGACCGAAGAACATAAAAAAGCAGAGAGAAAGAAGAAGAGTAGGTCTATACAAAAGACTCGTCTCGGTGACTCATGCTAAATCTTTCAGCGATATCCACGTCTGTCCGCGATGCCCCCGATTTTGTCGAACTTTGCCGTATCTGGGGATACGAGGCCGAAGAACATATAGTGCAAACGAAAGACGGCTACTTGCTGGGAATCCACAGATTACAGTGGCGTCGGGGAGAGGAGGGACTAAAGGTCAATTGCGGAGTTGGGAGCACAAGGAAGCGAGTAATCTATCTACACCACGGGCTTCTCATGAACTCGGAAGTTTGGGTGTGCCTGACAGACGAGCGGAGGTGTCTACCTTTCGAGCTGGTCGAGCGTGGATTTGATGTTTGGGTAAGTCTTCTACATCTCAATGTTACCAGTGTCTACCGTCTAACAGAATTAGCTTGGAAACAACCGTGGAAACAAGTATTCGAAGAAGTCAATCCATGCCTCACCGACGACGGTAAAATTCTGGGACTTTTCCATGGATGAGTTTGCATTTCACGACATCCCTGATACCATATCTTACATCCTGGAAACCACGGAACAGAAGAGCCTCTCGTATATTGGTTTTTCGCAAGGCACTGCCCAGGCATTCGCCACTCTGGCCATTCACCCCTTGCTGAATCACAAAGTCAACGTGTTTATTGCTCTGGCGCCTGCCATGGCACCCGCCGGCCTGTCCAATGGTATAGTAGATGCTTTAGTCAAGGCCTCGCCCTCGGTTCTCTACCTGATGTTTGGTAGACGGTCCATCTTGAGTTCTGCCACAATGTGGGAGACGTTGTTGTACCCACCCATATTCTGCCATCTCATTGACAGAGGGCTGGGGTTCCTGTTCAACTGGAAGACGAAGAACATCTCGGCCAGCCAGAAACTAGCGGCATACCCGCATCTCTACTCCTTCACCAGCACGAAGAGTGTGGTGCATTGGTTTCAGGTAATCCGCAACAAATGTTTCCAGATGTACGACGACGACGTCCACCAGCCGATGAATGTTGCCACGTCGAGAAAGTATTCCAAGGTAGCCAAGTATCCGACTCGAAATATTCGCACGCCCGTTGTGCTGGTCTATGGAGGCAGTGATTCCCTCGTGGACATCAAAACCATGCTGCGAGAACTCCCTCCGCAGACCGTAGCCACCGAGATCCCACACTACGAACATCTAGACTTCTTGTGGGCCAGAGATGTCGATTCTCAGGTATTCCAGCACGTATTTGACGCTTTAGACAGCTTTACAGACGCGGAACACAGGGCAGAGGAATACGATCGGTACTACACGGTGAGAAATGAAAGCTTGATGGGGTCGGCGTTTTCTTTCTTGCATCGGGGAAGTGAAAGCGAAGCATCGACAACGGCTGCCGGAAGCGAGGGGTCGAATGGACAGTCGCCTCAGCATGTCGCCCGAGAAGCCTCAGAACTGACAGAGAATACGTCAAGAAACCGTATTATTGGCCGCGCTGATGGTGTTTGCGACATGACTGACAAGCTAAAGGGGGTAGGTGTCAGGAGAGGGGGGACCAAGAGCGCCGCCAATCCTTGGCAAGACATCGGACTGCTAGACAAGACAAAATGAGCCGTATCCGATCAAGTACACGTGGGATCAAGAGAAGGACAGCGGAAGAAAGTAGATACACTCTGACGGTGTCTACATGCCCGTCAGCGACCATACATGTAAATAGCAAGAATGCCAAGTACATACATAGCATTGTTTGAAACTGGATTTGAAAACGGCGTATGCCTACAACCGGTGATGTAGCTTACGTCGTGCATGACGACGTGATTACTGTGGCTGTGCTCCACACCATTGATTACGAGGGTGGGAGATGAGAAAAAGAAACACGGCTAGACAGTCTTTCCAATAAAAAGATCCACTCTAATGGCAGCAATGCTTTTGATACTACATATTGGGCAACATCAGACCATTCTCGGTGAAGGCGTCTCGGTTGGGACCATGACTGAACGGGGAGGTGGGTCACCGGCCGGAGCTGGCAACTATCCCGGCCGGTGGTCGCCGTGATTTTTAAATGCGTGAGCTTAACCCGAACACCAAGGGAGACGGAGCGGTGTCGTAGGTGAAGGAATCGGCAGGCGTATACATGTCAAGCGAGCGTCGCAGAATGCCTCAGGTTTGTCACAAGTTGCCCCTTTATACCGAGCACAGCATACAGGCTTGCAGCTGGTCGACCATCTATCAACCCTAACCCTAACCCTAACCATTCTATAATAGTCATTTGTGTCTAGTCGTGGTACCAGTGGTAATTACTAAATTTGAGGAGCAGTGCTTCAAGTCTCCGGCCTACAGATGTAGGCCCTAGACAACGGCAATTCATCGATTTGGAAGCTTGGGACTCAGCCTCGACCGTAAGCGTCTACACTAACAACTCGCCGCATCAATCGATTAATGGGGATGTTATTGGACATGATGTATAACCATATCGGCACATGGGGTCCGGCCTGTGTTTTGTATAAAAAAGCTTTATAAACGCCATTTCCAGATTGTAGATGTATGTAACCACTGGTAGAGTATCCAAGTATTGCTATGTAGGCAAAACCATCCAAGCCCTCACTGCCTGTCAATTTGCGTTAGGGCACACAGTCACGTGTGAGGCACCATATCATTGTTGCTACACCGGCACCTTCTAGCTAGCTCTTTCCCTCTTTGATCATGATCAAGTTTTTCTCTTTTACTAACTCTCTTGCAATGCACACTTGCCAAGATGCATCACGAGCTCTTGTGCCTTTATCCCAGACGTCCTACGTGGTCCCTCACGATTTGTCTACTCTGTAACATGGGATTTTGTTAGACTCTAATCCTGTCCGAACCGCAACCCCGTCCCACGATAGTCGACCCACGTGTATTTGAAACCAGGATTACGCTCCTCTTCAGCCGCAAGCACCGAGTGGGAACTCGGCGCCGCAGGTGTGTTCCTGGATTGGATGGGTATGACTCCCGGCTTGCGGCTTGGACCAGGCCCCCAACCTTGTTTAATGGGGGTGGCCTCGTCAACAACTCGCGACGCTCCCCGTGGCAGTCTTGCCGGGGCATTTGCGAGCCGTGGGATCGGGAGAGCCCATCGGCTGCCTGTCCGTCCAACGTGTTCGCCTTCAAGGCTGCTGCCTGACATGTTGTTGCCTGGGCCCGCTGGGCTCGCCAAAACCAGATGTTACCAGAACATTGAACATGTTCAACCCGGCACGCGGCGATCCACTCCCTACATCCCATCCTGCATCCGAGACACCCGGTGCGGTGAACACGAACGTCACAACCCGGCCTTGACTAAAACCCACAATTAGGATAGGGTTAGAGAAGTTTCAGTGGCCGGACTCGGCTGTCGTTGGCGATTGTTCCGTCCCCGAGCGCTTGTATCTCAACGCTGACGGGCATAGCCTCGCTTGTTGTCACAGTGGAGCCGCGTCGACACGTTTTTGGGACGCAACAACCTTGTAATGAACAAAAAAAGGTGTCTTATCGGATGTCGTCAGCCCTGGTGTATTTCATCTTTACGCTTGGCCCTATTTATAAGGGGGTGGTGTTGTTCTCGCCCGACGTTCTTTGGAGCCCGTACCCGGTTCTGGTCGTAGATCGATCTATGTATTGGCACTCGGTACTGCTCAGCATTCTTTTTGTATTCTTCCCATTTTCCAAACTCGACCAGGGGAATTGAATTCTAGTGACCGCTTTGGAAACAAACACGTCTGGTGGTTCTCGGGCCCCTCGAGCAAAAGCAGCACCAACATGTCCAGCCGCAGCGCCCTCGAAAACGCCCAAATCTTCTGCCGGGACAATCCCAAGAGCCCGCTGTGCAATGACGTGCCCGGCTTCTACGAGTACCGGATCGATCTCGCGCCGAATGCCGCGTTCCTGGGCATATTCGGGGCGTCGCTGGTGGCCTACACGCTCATCCTGATAGTCACCCGGCGCGGCGTGGCCTTCAACGTGGCGCTGATTCTCGGCCTCATCTGCGAGGTGCTGGGGTATCTGGGCCGGATCCTCAGCTGGCACAATCCGTGGGACGAGAACGGCTTCATGATTCAGATATGCTGCCTGACGATTGGGCCGGCCTTCATGGCGGCCGGCTGCTACCTGTGCCTGAGGAGGATCGTGAGCGCCTTTGGGCCGGAGAACTCGAGGCTGCCGCCCGAGTACTACACGCGCATTGTGAGTGCATGTCACGATGGGCCTCAATGTCCTTTCGCTCTGCTAACACGGGTCAACCCGCCCAGTTCATCCCCTGCGACGTCGTCTCGCTCGTGCTGCAGGCCGTGGGCGGCGCCTTGGCCGCGACGGCCGCGCACAACCACGAGTCTGCCAGTCTCGGGTCCAACATCATGATTGCCGGGCTGGCCTTCCAGGTGGCGACGATGCTGGGCTTCATCACGGCCGCGTCCGACTTTGCCCTCCGCACATACCGTCGCTACCGGGCGCAGGGCGCGTCGGCGCTGTCCCAGGACGCCGCGCTGGTGCGGATGCGGCGCACGCTACGGTTCAAGCTCTTTCTCGGCGCGCTGTCGCTTGCCTCGGTGCTGATCCTGTGGCGGAGCGCCTTTCGCGTCGCCGAGCTGAGCGAGGGCTGGACGGGGCCCATCATGGCCGACCAGGGCATGTTTGTCGGCTTCGAGGGCGTCCTCATCGTCGTGGCCGTGCTGGCCTTGAACGTGTTCCACCCTGGCATCTGTGCCAAGGAGCTGTTTGCCGGCGGCGGCGGTCTGAAGGGATGCTGGTGCATGCGTAGGAAGAAGGGCGCTGCGGCAAAGGACGCGAGGAGTCTGAGTGATGGGGAGTCCAAGCCTGCGTATGCCTCTGCGTAGATGGGAGCGTCCGATGTTGTCGGCTACGATGGATGCCTTGTGGAGGCGGGGTTTACTTTGTTTGTTTGTTTCTTTCGAATGGCAAGCATGGCGTTTTGATAGACTAGATACAAGTCGCACATAGAGACTCGCACGTATAGACACGTAACCAACAATAATGTCGAGACGGAACTTTCTGCGTCAAAGTTCACGCTAGTACCGAGTATTCAACGCCCATATCTGCATAGATCCCGAGGGTTACGTGGTGGCTTTGAGCCTTGGGGTCCTCAGGAGCCTACCAGGAGAGCTGAAAGCCATAGTAGCCAGTTTTGCACTTTATTTACAGAACACGAGCCGCATGTAAGCCCTCGTGTTTATCGGCAAGTAGCCCGCCATGCAACGCCTCTTCAACCTGTGGTGGCGCACAATGGGCTTGCAGAACTCGGATAGCCGACTTGTCTTGCAATATCTAGACTGTCTCGCAGCGTCACAGGCGCAGTACTCACATTTTAGCCTGCATGTTAAGCCAACTCTGGTGATGACTGGTAGAAATATTCCTCCCCCTAGACGTGGCCGGTATGCTGGCCGTCTGATACCGGGGGCTTGACTTACACGACTAACTGTTGCACCGTCGACAGAAATATCTACAGGATCCAGAAGAGCAAGCCATCATCCCCTCGCACAGGCGCCAAGTGCCAGATGTCTCGGTCTTGCAACAGACCGATTGTGGCGGAACTTTGCTCCCGCGGCTCTGTCAAGATATCAAATGTCTCATCACGAGAAACCCAACTAAATCCAGTTGCAACAACACGCAATTGGCCGTCGTCAATATCACGCCACATACAACACGCACCAGTATTACGAGAAGCTGACGGGCTCATTGATTTCGCCATCATCCGCGAACATGTAGACGCACGAGGTCGTCTAGTCCCGACTCCTGTATGCAGACGCCAAGTATAAGTAAAACGCTCGGCGCCCGATGAAGCCGCGCATCTACAGGAACCAAACCGCGTCGTCCCTCAAGAATCCTTCTCTTGAAACTTGTTGCCTTCTACATAAGGCTCTTTGTTAAACAAATCCACACTCGCTTATACCCCAACCACGTTCATGTTGCTCAAAATGCGCGCCGCCAGCACCGCGCACGCCCTCCTGGCTGCTGCTGCCGCCATCACCGCCGCCCAGGCCGACACGGAGAGCATCCTGACGGGAGCCGTCCTCTCGACAGAGGCCATCCTGACCGGGGCCACGCTCTCCACCGAAACCGTCTTGACGGGCGTCACGCGCCAGACCTCCGAGGGCGTCCTGACGGGCGTCACGCGGGAAACCTCTGTCCCGACTTCCACCGGGAGCATCCTCACCGGCGTCACCCTCGAGACGTCCATGTCTGTTCCCGCCAACACCAGCGCCGCCGGGCCTACCGGCTCGCAGACGGGCGTGCCTGTCGCCGGCGCGGCCCTGGGCTCGCAAAACTCCCGGCTGGTTCTGGGCGCTGCTGTTCTCGTGGCTGCGCTGGCGGTCTCTTGATTTGATTCGGGGGCATGGCCCTTCACGCCGACTTCATCGCCCGACTGGCGCTTTTTTGTATCGGATATCGCTGGACATTTTGGAATATACGAGTCGTATTTTTGCAATCTGCTGGTTTATGAGTTGAGACGTGAATATATAGGTCATTGCTTTACCTGTATGTAAACGGACCAAGAACGTCATGGCTAATGTTGCCGCAGACGGGCCAGCCGTGCCTCTATGGAGTGCATTCGATTCATCATGAAGCAAGGCCTATGTAGTCCCACGGAAAGTGACATGGTGAAACACTTGGAAATTAAAGTATATTCTTGTTTACTGCCGACTCTCCCCGAAAGCCGCACAAATCTACGTATGCGGGAATCGGGGCCCAAATATAGCAAATACCAGCCGCCCAACAGGCGCGCAGTCAAACCATCTCCCCCAAGTGCTTCGCCCAAACAGATTTCGCCAACATGAGACCCGTTTAAGCTTACTGGGAAAATACGCTGGTTCGACCATCTCTTTGTGTGAATGCAGACAATAGCAAAGGTATGAGAGGGTATCGCGAAACTATTACGTCCCAGCACAACGCCAAGTAGTATGCATCATGCAAGGTTTTCGTCAAATAAAGCATCATGGTGGCTTCATCATCATAGGCCACAGTAAATGTTAATGCGCTCGTTTGCGCCGGCCAAATGCCCGCTGGAAGGATGATGGTTGGGGTGCGAACATGGGCAAATGCCCGGGTATGCTTACAGGATGTAACAGGGGGAGGCTATACAAATATGGCATGCGCCATCGTATCAATGGTTCGATCCGGCTTGGCTACAGGCTGATGCTACCCAATGGTAGAATCTTGGTCCCATCTCCAATAAATCTGGCCCGGAATTCGACGATACCTTGGCTAATCGTGTTGAAGTCTTTGACTTTACGGGCTCGGAAGTCGGTAAGGAGCTGTTTCAGACCAGCAATGTACTTCTGCTTCTGCTCCTCGTCGTAATGGTCCGCTGCTCCTAGCTGAAGCAGGATCTGGTCATCTGTCCAGTTTGGGCTGTCAGTGCCCAACTCGAGCCATGCTTCTGTTTTGCACGTTTTAGCACCTGTCCGGGGAATTCCACTCACCGGGAGCTTGCATCGTCTCAAAGTGTTGAAACTCGCATTGGCTTCCCCTGGGACATTGCTGTCCAGCCAACTCATCAGGGCAAAGTTCCTTCTTGACATCAATCTTGTTACTGTACGTTATCGACCGCAATCCACCGGCCACATCCTGATTAAACGAGGGGTGGAATCGATAAGCACGGAAGTACTGCAGAGGTGTTTCGTACGGAACGAAGCTCGTCTTTGGAGCGGTAAGCTTGCCGTCTTCATTTGCCGACCCTGGCTCTGGCAAGGCAGGGCCGCCCGGGAACGCAGCGGTGGCACCTAATGTCACCGGGCTAGCTTCCACAACTTCCTCAGTCTGGGATAGCATAGCACTGTCTTGCTCCAAGAAGCCATAGTTGCTCGCCACTGCAGACGAATTTGCCTCTGGAGGCTCATAATCTCCCTCAGAATTCTCTTCGACGTCTTCGTCCGCTGAGTAGCCCGCATCTTCCATATCGACATCCTCGGCGCTGTCAGAATGCAAGGAGGAGGATTGAGGAACGTTCGGGACCAGCTCATTGTTTGCTGGGAACGTCTCGGTATTCATTTTGTTTGATTCAGGCAGAATTGTTGTGCTCATAATGTCCTCATTGCTCAAGTTTGGTGCAGCCACGCCAGCGCTGGATTTACCCGCGGGAGGCAAGTCACGGGATGGGAAAGAAGCTTCGTCATCAACATCTGGTACATCATCAGGTTGTTCCGGAGCTTGATCTTGCTCGCTTGATCTGGCCGCTGGGTGTTCGCTTTCATCTATTGGATTTGAGCAGGTCGACTCCTGCAAAGATTCAAGTGTTTTTTCTTGTTCTTTGTCATTATGGTTAGTCCTATTTTCCATGATGCATTTTGGGCGTATCAACATACCGGAGTCAGATAGATCAACAGGAGCAGAGGTGTCCATCTCGTTGTCCGAGTCTGAGCTTAAAATTTCACCCTTTAGCCTTTCTTCTTCAAGCATATCCTCTTCTAACTCTTGTTCGATCCTCGCGATTTCGGACTGAAGAGCTTTTAGCTTCAGTCGTTGTTTTCTGCGTCGAGCTTCAATCAACGGCAAGCGTTCGCTGGCGGCACGAGAGCGCGAGCGCTGTTCTAAACTTGTCCCCAGAGCTGTCCTCGCCTCATGACCCAGCTCGCCGTAGAACCGTGGAGGTGCTACCGGTCGACCGGTCGTGTCGCACCCATCCTCAAAAGAACTGTCATTCAGCGGAGAGAGTACCGGAGAGCCTTGCCGTGAATTCTTGGCCTTCTTACGAGCCTCGGCCTCGGCAATCTTTCTCTTCATCTCTTCTATTTGCTTATTCATACTTTCCAAGTCGCTGCCATTATTCCTGCTGGCGCTCCTCAGTGGCGTTGAGGCCGATGCAGGGCTTCTCAATTGTCGCGGTATGGAGAAGTCAGGTATGGCTTGTACGTCTCGCAGCACAGCATCCTGTTGGTGTGGGGGGTTAGGCATACCCGAAGGAGTCTCTGGCCGACTTGGAGAATCAAGTTCCATTTCCTCATCCCCGTCCTCTTCCTCTTCCGCTTCACTGACGTTGATCAAAAATGGTCGAGATTCCGTGTTCTGATCAAATGCTGGGGCTGGTCGAGGCTGGCTCGGATCGACGGCCTGGAGAGTCGTGGTGGGTTGCTGCATAGTCTGAGGTGGCGAGGTGGCTTGCTTACTCGGTGACCATGACAGCCCTGGAATAACAGTCGCTGAAGCATCGTTCCGCGGAGCGTTAGATCCGTCGTGGCTCGTAGTCTTGAAGAATGCTTCAAGTGTCGAATCGCCCTTACTGAAACCATTCTTATCGTCTACCGGAGTGGGCTTTAGTTGCTTGAGGGCTTCTCGCGCCTTTTTGAGAGCCTCCATTTTCTGCTGTAGCAACTTAGACTTTTCTGACTGTGTCAGGGTTGGCTTGACGTCTGTAGCCACCGCCTTGGCGCTTTTTGGAGCAACTGCGTCGTCTGCCGGTAATGGCGCAGGTGCAGTGCCTTGTTTTGAGCCCTTTGCAGCGAGTAGACGGGCGATTCGATCTTTCCGTGACTCAGAGGCGTCAACGACAGCAGACTTGGGTTTTGCAAGCACGGGCTTCGTAGTTTCGACAGCCAGCGCTTTTGAAATACTCGTCCCATCTGAAGTTGCAGACTCCTTCTCTTCTGGCTCTGACGTCATCCTGGTGGCCTCGGTGAAATTGAGACCTAAGTCCTTGAAGAGCGATTTGAGAAGCGCTTCGTCAACACCTTCCGAAACGTAGTTGTTGAATCTTATATTTAGTGGCCATAATCGAAGAATAGCATCCTTTGCCTGCTTCTTAGACGCTTCCAAATCCGAATGATTCATGGACTTGGTTTGACTGGGCGTGGGAGGCAGAACATCCCGTACATCGATAGGCGCTGACGATGCCACCTCGCTCGCGATAAGTTTATCGCCTGTCGCATTAGTTAAGAGACGATACGACACAGCTTGCACAGCGTGATTACAATAAGTACCTGTAAAATAGTCCAATAGGCTGTCTCCGGGTTGTGAGATTTCATGGGGCGACAAATACGGCGAATACGAACCTGACCGTTCGCGGCCGTCGACTGGTTCGTACCCGACTTGTCTTTGCTGGTGTGTTTGACTTGTACCAGCCGCATCTTGTTTAGTTTCCATCGGTTCATAGACATCCTCGAGCTCCCCATCCTCGCTGACCCCGCCATCTTCTAACGGCTTTGCTGGTGTCCCGCTTAGTCCAGGTATGCTCGTCACGGGTTGGCTTTTCGGCAGGACTTGCGTATTTTCTTGAGAACTTTGATGAGATAGCGATTCTACCTGCCAGCTTGGTAGATGTTCATGTGACCAGGAGCCATGCTGTGTTGAACTGACAGCGTGCGTTCCTAACCCCAAGCCAGGGATCAAATTATGCCCGTAACCAGGGCCGGATGCGCTCTCTGGTATAGATGGTTGACCTTGTGAGGCAGCAATCAAAGTGTTCAGTGCAGGAGTATAGGCGGGCTGAGACGTGTGCGGAAATCCTTGATGGAGGTTATAACCATCAGGCGGAACGTACCCGTACCCATGCTGGCTCATCTTCTGGTAGACCTGTACATACCACTGTGCTGTGCGACTCTTCTGACCCGCTTAAGGGCTTAGAACGAACTCTGACGAAAATCACAGCTGTCTGTGCAAAGGCCGACTGGGTGAATGCGTCTGCGAGTTCTAGTAGCACTGGAACGATGTTGCGACCCGTGACGTACCGACGCGTGTCGCGTCAAAGGCTGCGAAATATGTCTTGACAAAAGGCGCGAACAAAGAGCCCCATCAAAGACTCCGAGCGCACTTTCCGCAGTCTTTCTGCGTTTGCGCAAACTCACTCTTTGTTGTCGGACGCGACGACTCTGGGTTGCAAGTATTTTTGGAGGTTGAGCTTTGCGGTTAGGTCTAAGCGCTGGCAAAGAAGCGCTAGTCTGAAGTTGGGTCTGGCTCCACAAGACACCACGCTAGCCGAGAAAGAAGAAAGTCACGTGTCACGGTTTGTTTACTTGGGAGGGGTCTCGCCCCAGCAACGGCAATTGTTGTAGTATATCATTCCCAGCTCTACTCTACACTAGCAAGCTGGAAAATGACGAGCCTGTTCACGCCATTCTAATTCCGTCTCTACTTGTTCACGGCGCGCTGGTGCTTTTAGTTGTTCTTCTGCCCTGCGATCCACGTGTTCTGCGGTGGACCTGTATTATCTACTCACTCTTTTTTTCTTGCGGCCAGGTTTGTTTACGCGCATATGATTGTATAGGTTGGGGCGGAGTATTGATGCATATCAATAAAGCCGGCGTTGATGTTTCTCGTTGACAATGGCTTTCAACCTGAATAACTCGGCACAACGCCGTAGCAATCCCTTTACTCGAACCGGATCTCCCTCTCCGTCATCACCAACCCCTCTCAACCGAAGCAGACCAAAATCTGCCCTGTTTTCTTCACCACCACCACCGCCGAGTGTGTCAACACCATCGCCTCATGGCCGGTCGCAGTCCAACAGCTCATATGGGACGTCGTTGGTCGCAACAGGAAACGCAGTCAGACACCATAGAAACGAGTCGAGAAATGGAACGCCCACTTCGAATACGTTTGCACCTTCGTTTATTAAGTTGGAGGAGATGAGACGAGAACATGACACGGTAAAGGGCATCGAAGGGGAGAATGACTTCTCTGGTAAACGCTATGTGTGGGTTAGGGATTCACAACATGCATTTATAAAGGGATGGGTTGTCGAAGAGCTGGGCAATAGCCGCATCCTGGTGCAAACAGATGATGGAACTGTCAGTTTATCAAACTTTGCGCCAACGAAGAAGGAAGTAGCTAACTGAATGACAGCAACGGGAACTCGACGCCGAAAGTGTCGACAAAGTTAATCCTGCCAAGTTCGATAAGGCAAACGATATGGCCGAGTTGACCCATTTGAACGAGGCTTCAGTCGTCCATAACCTTAAAATGAGGTATCAATCAGATTTGATTTATACATACTCGGGACTCTTCCTCGTTACGGTCAATCCGTATTGCCCATTACCTATTTATACCAATGAGTACATCAACATGTACAAAGGCAGAAGTCGGGAAGATACCAAGCCACATATTTTCGCCATGGCTGACGAAGCCTTCAGAAATTTGGTGGAAGAGGGTCGAAATCAGAGTATCCTAGTAACAGGTGAATCCGGCGCTGGCAAAACGGAAAATACCAAGAAAGTCATCCAGTACCTTGCGGCCGTGGCCCCATCCGAGACTTCTGCTCGAAGCAAATCGCAACACACCAATCTCTCACAACAAATTCTCCGAGCAAACCCTATTCTAGAGGCATTTGGAAACGCGCAAACGGTTCGAAATCATAACTCTTCGAGATTCGGAAAGTTCATCCGCATTGAATTCAACAGAAATGGAGCTATTGCCGGAGCATTTATTGATTGGTATCTCCTTGAAAAATCACGAGTTGTTCATATCAACCCTCATGAGCGGAACTACCACATCTTTTATCAGCTTCTGAAGGGCTCCAGCAATCGCGTCAAGAGTGATTTGCTTCTGAGCGGACTGGATACCCAAAATTTCGCGTATACAAGAAACGGACACGATACGATTGTTGGCGTGTCCGATAAAGCAGAATGGGACTTATTGATGGAAGCGTTCGATGTGATGGGTTTCTCTGACGATGAACAACTATCGATTCTTCGTACAGTTGCAGCAGTGTTGCATTTGGGCAACGTCGAGGTCGTCAAGGAAAGCCGCGCGGCTGATCAAGCACGATTGGCGCCAGAGTCGAAACAAGTGGTAACAACTGTGTGCAAACTTCTCGGTGTGCCAGTAGATCCTTTTATTCAAGGACTGCTGCACCCGAAGGTCAAAGCCGGACGAGAGTGGGTTGAGAAGGTCCAAACCCCGGAACAAGTACGACTTAGTCTAGATGCCTTGTCTAAGGGTATTTATGAACGAGGATTTGGCGATCTCGTCTCTCGAATCAACCGCCAGCTTGACAGAACAGGCATGGGACTTGATGATTCGCACTTTATCGGTGTCCTCGATATTGCTGGCTTCGAAATCTTCGAGGAGAATAGCTTCGAACAGCTGTGCATCAACTACACCAATGAGAAACTTCAGCAATTCTTCAATCATCACATGTTTGTCCTTGAACAAGAGGAATACGCACGCGAACAGATTGAATGGCAGTTTATTGACTTTGGCCGAGACTTGCAGCCAACAATTGATCTTATTGAGCTGCCAAATCCAATCGGTATCTTTTCTTGTCTCGATGAGGATTGTGTCATGCCAAAGGCTACGGATAAGACTTTCACAGAGAAGCTGCATTCACTTTGGGATAAGAAATCCACCAAATATCGACCTTCTCGCCTTGGACACGGCTTCATCCTCACACATTACGCTGCCGAAGTGGAATATTCCACCGAAGGCTGGCTGGAGAAGAACAAAGACCCACTGAATGATAACATCACACGTCTGCTTGCCTCTTCGTCCGACAAACACGTTGCTGGCCTATTTTCCGACTGTGCTGCAGCAGATGAGGATATTGGTGGCAGCCGAAGCCGAGTAAAGAAGGGACTGTTCCGCACTGTTGCCCAGAGACACAAGGAGCAACTTCACAGTCTAATGACTCAACTTCATTCAACACATCCTCACTTTGTGCGATGTATTCTACCCAACCACAAAAAACGGCCAAAGCAGTTCAATAATCTTCTCGTTCTCGATCAGCTACGCTGCAACGGTGTTTTGGAAGGTATCCGAATTGCTCGAACAGGGTTTCCCAACAGACTTCCTTTCACGGAGTTTCGCCAGCGATATGAAGTGCTCTGCTCAAATATGCCTACAGGTTACCTTGAAGGCCAAGCTGCTGCGACAATCATGCTGGAGAAGCTTGGCCTCGACAAAACACTATATCGTGTCGGTCTTACAAAGGTGTTCTTCCGGGCAGGCGTTCTAGCAGAATTGGAAGAGCAGCGCGATGCCCTGATCACGGAGATCATGGCCAGGTTTCAGTCCGTTGCCAGAGGCTTCATCCAACGACGTGTCGCATACAAGAGACTTTTCCGAACTGAAGCCACGAGAATTATTCAGAGAAACTTCAACATATACCTGCGCCTAGTTGAAAACCCGTGGTGGCAACTCATTGTGAAGATGAAACCCTTGCTGGGAGCTACTCGTACTGCAACCGAAGTTAAAAAGCGAGATGCCATGATCAAGCAACTCAACGAAAAGATGCGACTTGACGAAAAGGTGCGGCAGAAGTTGGAAGATGACCGTCGCAATACTCATACGGAGATGGTTCGAATCCAGCAGACACTGGAGAGCGAGCGTGCACTTGCATTGGACAAAGAGGAGATCTTTAAACGACTGCAAACTCGTGAGGCCGAGCTTGAGGAGAAGCTCTCTGGTGCCATTGATGACCAAGAGAGACTCGAGGACCAACTTGATGAACTCATGGAAGCCAAGAGTCGAGCAGAAGAGGACGTCGAAAAATTCCGACATCAACTCGAACAAGCTGCAGGGCTAATTGCTAAGCTGGAGGAGGAGAAGAGCAAGTTGTCAGCAAAGTCTGTAGAACTGGAGAACGCGGTCAAGGAAATCTCCCGGAAGCAGTCTGAGCGCAGCGAGCAAGAGGCCGCCCTTGCCGATGAGATTAAGGTCCTTCAAAGCCAATTAAGTGTCAAAGATCGCAAGGTACAAGATTTGGAAGGCAAGCTGCTTCAGCTGGACCAAGACACGGAAGTAAAGTTGCGTGCTGCTCAAAAGGAGTCGGAAGCCGCCAAATTGCGAGAAACCCGTCTTAGCCAAGAGAACAAGGATGTAAAGCACCAGCTCTCCCAACTCTCCAAGACTTCAACTGATTATGAAGATTTGGTAAGAAGCAAGGAGAGCGAGTTGGCTCTGCTCCGCAGCGACAAGAGGAAGTTTGAGACTGAGCGACGTACTCTGGAAGACCAGAAGAAGGCACTGACGGAGGAAAAGAACAGAATCTCAAGCAGGTCTCACGATGTTCAAGCCGAGTTGGATGCAATGAAGTCTAAGCACTCCCAACTCGAACGCGAGGCTGAGGAGGCCAAAACGCTGCTTGCTGCTAGGCTCTCAGAAGATGCCCAAGCGGATAAAAACAGGTCACTCCTAGAGGCTCAAATCAAGGATCTCAAAGAACAACTCTACACTACTCAAATGGACCTAAGCCGAGAACGACAATCGCGCGATGATGTTCTGCTTCTCGGAGAACACAAGTACCAAAGCCTCAAGGATGAGTATGACAGTTTGAATGAAGCAAAGATTGTCATTGAAAAGGAACTTTATGTTCAGCAGGACACTTTACGGAGAGCCATGGAAGCACGCACCGCAGTTGAGAAAGAGCGAGACGAGGCACGGGATGAAATCCGTCGACTGCGGGTGGCCAAAACGCAGGCTGAAGAAGCCCGTGTGCAAGCTGAAATCTCTGGCGAGCGTCAGGCTTCCAAAATGGCTCTAGAAAGAGAGGTCAGCCTGCGGAAGGACTTGGATGCTGCACATGATCGATTGCGGTGGTTTGAGGATGAGTGCGCCAAGCTCAACCACGAAATCGAAGATCTTAACAAACTGATTGCATCTTCGGGCGAGTTTGGACTGAAAAACGACCAAGCAAAGGAGCGGATGGAACGAGAGCTCAACACTGTCAAGAGCCGACTGGCTGCTTCTGAAAATGACAATAGGGCGCTTCTCAATAAGCTCCAGCAAAAGGGGCTCGAGATCGCCAGGTCCACCTCCCGTGCCAATGAAGCCTCTCGCGGTCATATCATCAGTCTGCAAAAGGAGAAGTCCAGGCTAGAAGAACAAAACGCTAATTTGAACAAGCAGCTTGGCGATGCCCAGGTGACAGTCGCAACTTTGGAGAAGAAGACGGAGAAGCTTCAACTCAATCTCGAAGATCTCAACCACGAGGTTGCGCGGGAAGTCCAGTCCAGCAGAAATGCAGAGAAAGCTTCGTCTAACTTCACGGTTCAGCTTGCAGAGGCCAACAGAACCATCGATTCTGAACGTCAGCTGCGCACACAGTCACAAGCAACTGTTCGTACGCTACAGGCTACCATAGATGCCAGAGACAAGGAGCTCCAAGAGCTACGTGGACAGATGCTCAATGCCCTGCGGTCTGTCGACCCGGAAATCCGGATCCCTCCACCGTCAGATGACAGCAATCAAAAGGCCCTCCTCAAAAACTTTGATCTGGCACGCAAGGTCGAGGAGCTTCAGCAGAATCTCCGTGTTCAGTCAGCTGCTAGGACCAACGCAGAAAGCCAACTCGCAGATCTTCGTGCGACACGACACGAGAGCCCCGGTCGACCCAAGTTGGAAGAGATTCACCTTAACGAGGCACCCTTCAACGGTTCTCCTACGCAGCGACGAGCTGCTAAGATCAACGCCCGGCGCTTCTCAAATACCTCGACACCCAGAAAGGCTAATCAGGACATCACCGAGCAACACGATACAGCCCGCTCAGACAAGACAGTCGACACACTGGCGGTCAACAATCGCATGGACCTAAAGGCCGAGGTTGAAGAGCTTCAAAATCAGCTTCAGATTACTCAGATGCAAAATCGCCACCTCCAAAGCCAGATTGATCGAGGCACTCCTGGTCCCGATTCCTACAATGACCAGAGCCCCTCTCTGCGTCGGATGCAGAAGCTGGAAAAGGTCAACAGTAGGTTGCACGACATGCTCGATGATTCAACAAAGAAGGTGTCTGCTCTCGAAAAGAACATCCGCACAGGCGAGTTGTCGCTGCGGGATGTACAGGCTAGATCGCACGAAGAAATTTTGGATGTGTTTAACAGTCAAGAAGAGTCACGACGTGCCCTTTTGCACAGCCACAAGGACGCTGTTGCTGAACTGACAGACGTGAAATCCCACTTTGACAAAATGCGTCACGAGAGAGCGAAACTCGAGGTTGAGCTGCGGGACACAAAGTCTGACCTGCAGGAGATGGCAATGGCTCGCGAACAGGAAGCACAGAGCCGCAGCCAGCTTCTGCAAGAGTACACCGAACTGCAGATACGGCTTGACGCCGAGACTTCCAAGCTGGCTGACGTGTCGGGAAGCCTTGAGGTGTACAAGAGCCGGGCAGATGAGTACTTTGGCAAGCTTGAACAGGCAGAAATCGCCGTGCTCAAGGCCAGCCGAGCTGAACAATTCGCCAAGTCACAGGCAAAGGAATCAGAAGACACATACAGTGAGGTGATGGCAGAGCGCCAAAAGATGGATGCCACGATTGAAGACCTCCAGCGTCAGAATCAGCGCCTCGAAGAGCGTATCGAGGACATTTCTACCGATCTCGAGTCCGTCACACAAGCCAAGAAGAGGCTTCAGCACGAGCTCGAGGACTACCGCAGCCAGCGCGCCATGGACATTGAGGACAAAGAGTCGAGCATGGAGCAGACACGAAAGAAGTATCAGGCCGAGTTTACCACCCTGACCAAGGAATTAGATCTCGCTCGCGAGGAGAAGCTGTACAAGCAGGCTGAGATTGCGCGACTTCGCGAAGAGCTGGACGAACTACGTTCAAAGTGGGATGATGAAGTCCTCAACAGCTCTACTTGGTCCAAAGAGAAGTCTCGTCTCGAGGCCACGCTTGCCGATGTTGCTTCGTCTCGTGATGAAGCCGTCAATGCCCACAACGAAGCCCAGGGCAAGGTTGTATCACTCCTATCTCAAGTACGAACATTGCGATCCTCGGTGGACGAGGTTACCTCTGAGCGCGATCTCTTGCTACGCGAGAAGCGAAGTGTGGAAGCTCGGCTTGCAGAGGCCAAGGCCGGCCTAGAGGAGCTTGTGAAGGGTGAAAGCCCATCTCTGCGCGATGCTGCGATATTGGACAAGGAAGTCCTGGACTTGAAGTCTAGCCTTGCTCATCAGGAGGATGTCGCCGCGGCGGCGGTCGAGAAAATGAGGCGCGCAGAGGCCCTCGTTTCTGATGTGCAAAAGGAGATTGCGGCCGAGCGCGAAGCCAGCACCGAGTTGCAGAAGCAGAAGGCTGCCCTCGAAAAGAGTTTGAGTGAAGCCCAGTTGAAACTGATTGACTTGGAGACAAAGGGCTTTTCTAGTGCCAGCCAAGACATTAAGTTTTTGCATAAACGAATTCAAGAGGTAAGCCGCTTCACGCAGATGCACCCACCCAAACTCATAAGACGTGCTAATTTAAGCTGTAGCTCGAATCTCAACTGGAGGACCACGAGACAGAGCGATCCAAGTCTCAGCGGTCGAACCGAAATATTGACCGCACTGTCAAGGACCTTCAGTCGCAAATCGACCGTAAGGAGAAGCAGAATACGCAGCTCTCGGAGGACGTGAACCGGATGCGCGACAAGGTGGATAAGCTTCTAAAGACGATTGACGAACTCCAAGCGTCCGAGTCGACAACGCAGCTTTCGGCTAGACGAGCGGAGCGAGAACTCCGAGAAGAAAAGGAGAAGGCTCTGCGTTTGGAGAAGGAACTCGAAGGGTGGAAAGGACTACGGTCAGAAAAGGCGTCTGCTGTTGGGAGCCTCCGCGGTCGTCTCGACGGACCCGATGTGCCCAACAGATCGAGTAGCATTAACAGAGCGCCTAGTCTTACGAAGGGATTTATTTGATGAGGGAGGGGAAAGGGAGGGGGAGGCATGTTTTTAACCGGCGTTTGTGCATTGGTTCTGGGTTCAGCGCGCTATTGGCGAATGGGAAGAATAGGGTTTTAATGACATGTATGTAAAAAGGTGTTTTTATGGTTACGCAGTACAGTGTCATATGATTGAAGGTACATAGGTTAATAAGGTTTCATTGTCTTAACGCCGAGTGCTCCTAATCTGAAGGGTGTAAAAGGGAAAATGCAGTTGATTGAATTGCAAGAGCGCATGCTCCAATATCTGGATAGAGGGATGCTTCGTACAACAAACAACCAGCACCTCAATGAAGCAAGCACGCCATACTTGCAGTAGCTGAAATACTAAACAAGCAGCAACGGCAGAAAAAAAAAGGCTGCCTTGCTGCTGACAACAGAAACAGCTCCCTCTTCCGCTAGCAAACCGCTGCATATTCAAAGGTAGATAGCCCGATGTCAAAATAGTGCCATGTACGCCGTACCGACATATCCAACCAACCACAACAACAAACACCCAGCGTGTATGTTCCGAAACCAGCGCCAGCCAGAACAGAAACCAAGACCCGGCCACGCGAATCCACGCTGCTAGCGTTGCAAAAATAACGATGTCGGAAACAAAAAAGATGACGTTGAAATGCAAAAAAGAACCGTGGCGGGTCTGGCCGGGGATTGAACCCGGGACCTCTCGCAACTTTGCTTCAGGGTTATCCCTAAGCGAGAATCATACCACTAGACCACCAGACCGTTGACCGGGAGTGCCCCGGCTTGCTGTGACGAGAGCAGCGTTATTTGGAATTATACGGGGCAAGGTTTTTCATTGGACGTCGTCGTGGCGTTTGAGTCGGCGTGAGGTCGGGAGTCGACTGGTTGCAATAATGTTCTTGATGTACTCCAGTCGTGCGGCTTGACTTGGCGTAGTGCGGTTTGTTGGCCACGGTCCACGGCTGGCTGCTCGTCTTTGGCGTTTGGCAGGTGCAACTGCCGTGGCTGCCGGGGCGGTCGATGCGTTTGCCACGGATTCATTTAGCGCCCTGGTGTACGGAGTACCGGTACGTTTGTGGGCACAGCATTGACGTGTTCGATCGCCCAACTGGCGTGGAATAAATAGTATCTCCAAAGGCGTCGAATTTATGAACCCCCCGCAGCAATACTGGTAGGTGGAAGAGACGGGTTCCCCTGGTTGGCATCTTGACAGCACGTACCACCTGTTTGATCTGTTGGCGTAGCACTGGGGGTCGTGAGTGCCACCCGATTGACGGTTTGTAAGCCGTAGCCGATTGGCTAACCTGTACATGACCTGCACCCGACGTCTTGATCCAAGCGTCGTGATGATTGCTCCAGCGCATGAGCAGTTCAAGATGAGTGTATTCTAGACGTTGTACCCGATTGACAATACGTGTTTCTCAAAGCCTGAATTTCAATTCGAGCCGACTACAATCTTGCTGCCGTACGATACAGATGTCACTTCACTTTGCAAAGCCGAACCGCCTCCCGTCCATGCGGCCTACGCGTGCCGTCCGCCCTGGCCAACTTCACCACCCGTCTTGAGCCCCTGGCTCTGACCGCCGCTCGCATTCGCGCCCTTTATCCCGGCGCCCTTCTCCCCCAGACCCTCCGGCAGGTCGGCCGTCTTCTCCGCCCTCGGCACCTTGGACGTCTGCCGCCACTTGTTAGCGGGGGGGAACTTTTTCGGCATCGCAAGGCATAAAGGAAAAAAAGAAAAAAAAAGACAAGAACTTACGTCAACGGATCCTACCCCGTGGGCGATATTGTGACCGGCTTCCTCGAAAGGGCCGTTGTGGCTTGAGCCGTCTCCGGGACGAGGCATTGTGCGTGATGTTAGAGAATGTGGTTGATTTCTGGTGTTGGACGTGAAGTAGAAATTCTTGGCTTTTGACTATGCCGCAGCTTAGTGTGCAATGCCAATTGTTGCAAAGAGACGGGGTCATCGCCATTCTGCACATTTATATATCCCACCACAGGCTTGCAACGCTGCCGGCGACGACGTCATCGTCCATGACACTCGTGGCGTCACCATCGTGGGGCGAGCTTCCTCACCAGGAAGCCGTGGCCATCATCGCTGGCCCGCGCTGGCAGCCAACATGTGGGGGATCGTTTTTCCTGTTTTCTGTGACGTGGTGGACGTGGTTTCTGCAGTAGTTTTTCTACTCTGGTTGCGGGGGACGTCAGGCCCAGGCTAGGTAATTCCTGCACATCGACAGCCCAACAGCCCGCCGCGGCACTAGTATTCATGTAGTTGAAGAGACCTGGCTGAGCTCCGTCTTCTTCATGCCATCCATCGTTTCCGCCCGTCAATCCAAAGACCCTGCCAAAGCCACAGCGCTAAACCTCAAATCACCGCCCTCCCGCTCCAAGAACCTCAAAATGCCCATACCCAATGCCCTCTCGCTCAGCATGTCCTCGTTCTCCTGCAGCTCTCCCCTGCGAATCGGCCCCTTTCGACGTCCGTCCAGCTCCCACAAGGCCCCGTCGCTGCCCTTGACGAAGCAGACGTAGTGCAGGTCCACGTTGTCCTGCGCATCCGGCGCAGCCGTGTCTCCCGCCGAGGCGGCTTCCTTGTGGGCAGCCGCGACGGCGGGTGTCTTTTCGAGGAGAGATGCGCGCTCGCGCGGAGGGAGCGGGGTGGATTTCTGGAGGAGCTCGTCCAGCGTTGTGCCCTGCTCTGAAAACACGCTGTTAGCAAGCTGCCTGGGGGGGTTTCCAGAGTAGCGCTTACCGATTAGCGTCCTGGCAGGACCGTTCGAGACAGCGTGCAGCAGACCCATCATGCCGCACGCATTGCGGATGGTTTGCTTCCACCAGATGACGGGCTCCTGCTCCCCGGCGCCCTTGTACTCGTCGACGGTGTTATCCTCTGCCATGCGGTGGCTCTCGTAGACTGCGGTTATAGGGAACACAAGGAGGAGAGCTAGTGCGGGACGGGGGATGAATGCGAGCATGTCTGGGTCGGTGAGGGAGTAGACGTCGTGGAGCTGGAGGGCTTGCGAGACGCCCAGCTTGTGGATGAGCTTGGTCATGAGCTCGGGGTTGGCTTCGAGGGGAATGAAGGCTGGAGCGCCTTGCTCCGGGTCTGGGTTTGTCGTGGCGGACATGGTATCGCTGTGTGGTTTAGGGGAGTCGTCGCCTTGTCGATTGGATGAGAAGGTTGCTGCATGTGAGGTCGTCAAGTACGCTTGATTCTGACGTGAAGAAGATGGAAGGTCCCGTCCGAGGATCTAGAAAGCTCCTGCTTGCGTGGCGGATAGTGGGGGCTCGGGAACATTGAACCTTGGCTGCATGTGCATTTATGACGTCGCCGCTTGTCGCCTGTTGCCGGCTCTGCCAGCTCCACGGCTCTAACTGCGCTCTGCGGCAAAATGTCAACGGTACTCCGTACAACCCTGAGAAACTACTGTACACTACTCTACTGACAAGCATCCCTGCTATTCGCTTACTGGCCCGGCTCTGCAGGACGGCGTCTATAAACTACAAACTTCACATACAGCAACTCACTCACATCGCCCCAGGGAGGCGTACCAAACCAACAAGAGCAACGCCTTGATCTCCTCACTGAACCAAGGTCACTCCTCTGTCCACAAGCACCAATCATTACATAGCGACTGCCGACTTTTGATACAATTACATAGCCACGACTCTGAACCACATCGCCTGAGCAAAACTCATAACAACCGCTAGCAACTTTGAAACCAACTCCGACACTATCCATCCGCTCTCAACAACAGGCTCTACCTACCTCACACCGTAAAAAAGGGCAATTTTCAGCCACATCAGGCGCTTTGACAAACAACCAAAGGCTTAAGCCTTGCTTGAGCGACTGGTTCGACGTCCCTTTGCCTTTGGCGCAGGCTTCTCATCAGCCGACTCATCAGCCGTCACCTTCGCCCCTGATTTACGACTCGACTTTCCTGTCGCCTTGGCGCCAGCGGTTTTGGTTGCCTTCGGTGCTGCCTTGGACTTCTTAGCCGACACAGGTGCCTCCTCCTCCTCCTCACTCTCATCCTTGACGGCAGCCTTCTTGCCTCGTGCAGTCTTGGTGGAAGCAGACTTGGACTTCTTTGTAGATACTGGCTCTTCTTCTTCCTCTTCCTCCTCCTCCTCCTCCTCCTCGTCTTCGTCGTTATCACTCTCATCCTTCACAACTGCTCTCCTGCCACGAGAAGCCTTTGCGGGAGTAGCTTTATCACCTTTTGCCGATTTGGCGGTCTTCGCTGACTTGGGCTTTTTGGCCTTGGGCTCATTGTTTTCGTCGTCGTCGGCGTCCTTCTTTCGACCGCGCTTGGCCGTTTTTTTCGCTGGTTTAGCATCTCCGGAGGCCTATCCATTATTAGATTTGAGACCATCCTCTATGGCAACACGGAGGCCTACCTCTTCATCTTCGGCAGCCTCGGCGGCGGCCTTCTCTTTGGCTGCCTTCTGCTTGGCAGTCAGGTGAATGCCCTTCTCGCCTAGCTTGTTCTTCTCAGGATCCTTCGTCGCGCCAGTCAGCAGGGTCCCTATCCGGTTTCTGACAGTTCGAGGAACATACGCCTTTGAAGTCTTCAGGATCGATAAAGCCTTGCTTCACGCATCGGCGGACCTTTTCTTGGACTTCTGGGTCGCTACAAAGGTCGAACATCAGTCTCTGGTGCCTCGCCAGGGAGATAGCCTAGGGACCAAGAATACTAACCCCAACTCATCGTATCCATCAATGGCATCAAAGTCATACTTGCCATCACCAGTATCACATGCCTCTTGGAGATGGAGAAGCTGCGCTCCAGAGACGCATCCCCTACGGTATGAAGGCTTTGTCAGTGATGCTGCAATAGGCGGCTGGATGTTTGCTACGCGATGGAGATGTGAGAACCACTTACCAGTGTTTCCAAGCCCAGCTCCCATGCTCATTAATTTCTACCCAGCTGCCGAAGCGAATCTCACCCTTGAGAATCTTTACCTTTTCCTCTTTGCAGACAGCGTCTTTGCAACCTGCCCGGTTGTTGGGTGAAATTTCTGCACCAATGTAAGCGTGTGTCATGGAACAGAGAGCTTTGAATAGCGGTGGTCCAGTCATACCAATGCGATATTGAGGCATGGTGTTGTAAACGTGATTCAATGGACGTGTCACGTTTTGCGCCGCGTTGCTTCAGATGTCAGATGTCAGGCTCCGCGGACGGCACGCTAGACAGTGTCTTGCTGGAAGCTTAGCTCCACCTGATGATGCTTGTAGAAACGGTTTGGCTCACATGCGACCGGGAGCAGATGGAGGATAAGCGGATGAGATGGATCGGGAGTGAGAGGTTGATGTGGGATGAAGAAGAAAAAAATCTAGAAACAAGGCTGTCGCAATGTACCCAAGGAGCGAGCGCGCAGAGGCAGCCGTTGCATGTCGACCGGTAGGCTGGCAAACTGGGCTGATAGGGAGGGTGCGGTCCCTCACTCCTTGGTTGCAGGCAGGAGCTGGGGGGAGCTTGGTGGCACCTGCCTGCTCGGCACTTGCCTTGCCCTGCCTGTCAGTCGCGTGTTGTCGCGCGTTGCCCAAACCGTTTGCAGAACCTTGCAGAATCTGCAGACCTGCGCAGCCGCCGTGCTTCAGATGCAACATTTTAATCTCCACCGTTGGTCGCTGAGCACACCGCATCACAAGTCACGGCTCGTGTGTTTGATGTCATCATTAATGTTTGCATCAATGCGCTTTGCAGAACTTACAGCCACCCCAATCGACAGGTCATTTCTCAAGTTCAAACATTGTCCCTTTTAACCTCGACGTAAAACGCCAATCTATGCCCACTTCGCCCCGAAATGATCCCGGTACAACTACAAAAATGGACACCATCCAATATACATGGCTGTCAGATTCCTTGGATCAACAGCCTGCTTGATGAGTTCTTCCACTTGACCTTCTACGCTCAACGGAATGTTCTCATTCGGCAATAGCCCTCTGACTTTCCTCTTGATGCTGTCCACCACGCTTTGAGGCTGCAGCCTCACACTCACATCCCCTCTCCTGGACGATTTCTTTTCCTTTTGTAAATCTAGTGTTGGATCGTATATGAACGCCTCCAGAATTGTCATCAGCGTTTCCTCCTGTTGCCGCAGAATGCTCAGTGTGAGCTCCGACGATTTTCTGAATGGCCCTTCGTATCCGTATATACCCATTGCTGCAACCATATTGTGCGTAAGGCGAAACGGGACCCGTTCAGGCTTGGCAAACGTCAAGCCTTTGTCGAACAAACAATTAAAGTCCACGTGGAATATCCCGCCGTTACCTTCCTCCAAGTTGACGTTTTCACCATGCCGGTCACCCAAACCTAGAATTGTGCCAACCATGGACATGACGGCACATGACCGGGTGTATCTGAGTCGAGCGGCAAACCACGCAGACGGATTGGGGAACTGCTGAATAAACCACAACGGCAGCAGGGGCGGGAATCGTCCCAATACATCGTCAGTGAAGATTCGGATTTTGCTCTCAGATGCTGATGCATCCTCCATCAGTTGTCTCAATGCCGCATAGTCGGGGTGAATTTTCTGCGACGCGTACAAGTTCAACAGAATATCTCTCATCGTCTTGATACCTGGAACCCACTCAATAATGCCACACTCCTCGTTTAACGGAACAACGGCATACGTTCGAATATACAGCTGTCGCCTGCTGGACTCCGCGTCTCGTTTCAGTGACCGATTGATGATGCCGTTAAACTCCATAAGACGCTGGTCAGTTCGAAGATCATCTTTAGGCTTGATCAACAACATGTAGCTCTTGCCATCGGACCCCCTGGCAGTCAGACGTCTCGGTTTTGCAAGGGAGCTCAGAACGAGGACATCATCCAGGAAGCAATCGATCGTGACGACATCCCGAGAAAAGGCATTGTGTTTCTTTACGTGTTCGGAAACCGCAGGCAGTGTGGCTGTCAGTGAGCTTTCTACAGGGACCACCAGAGGACAGGGTGTGCACTTGTGCTGGAAGCGAAGGTCTCGTGAAAGGCTAGCTTTAACCGTTTTGTTGCTGTTAAAGTCACCGTTCTGACAGGCTACGAGAAGTTGCTCTGCAAGCTTCTCACCAGTCCTGATGAGGTATTTCACATCGTGAGATGTGCCATCCACCTTTCTTTGAATTCCTCTCAGTGCTTGCAGGATTTGTGCACCTCGCACTTTCCTCTCGGAGGCCTGCTTTGTAGTCATGATGCCAATAAGACTCCACAGGGCTTGTCTTGGATGCGCCTCGACAACTTTGGTTATGATGTGACTGAGGCGTTCGAAAACTGCAGTGTTTGGGTGAGCGATTCGAGCCACGATTTGTGGCAGAGCCGTGTAGAAAATATACGCTGGCAAGCGATAGATATACTTGTCGAGAAAGGCATGCAGCATATTAAGCTGCTCGACTCGTCGCTTATGCAGCTCCCGGGAAAGCGAAACCTTGCCCTCTGGTGCCTTGTCGACCTGTGCACCAACATCCAACCACAATGTCAATATTCTTGGAAGAGTTTGGTAAATATATTTGGTTCCTGAATTGAGGGACCGGACGTAATTTTCAATGACAAGCCTTGCAATTTCCCCAGTAACATAGTTATCACTCTGGTCTTCGACTTTGAGAGTTTGTTCCGCCTCCAGAATCTTTTTGTAGTGTCGGCCTAGGTAGTAATGGCCCTTTTCCCAAGTCGAGTATGTCTTAGGGGGTTGTTGGTACTTTTCTCGTAATGCGACAGCATGAGATTGCCCAGCGGCATCCAGCCACTTGGCGAGGAGTAACTGTGCTCGAGCAGTCAGCAACTTTTGTTGAGGGTTGAGCTTCGAGGATCCAGCTGTTCCAGCGCTCGTTGATGGGCCAGTCTGAGTCATGAATTTGTTGCGTTCGATGGCGCCCTGGAGCATTTGAATGGCTTTGCGGTGATGATTGTCCCTCCATAATAGCTTCGCATTCTCGATCGTCGCCGAGTCATCACCTAGCCGGGAGGCATGCAGCACAGCATTGAATGACTGATGTAAAGAGTTTGTTTTTCGTGCCAGCCTAGCACTGGATAGCCAGAGACCGGAGATGTCCAGATCCGCAAAAGTTGGTCTGCCGAGTTTACTGTTAGAATAAAGTACATTGAAGCTCGCGCTGCGATCTTGCCCATACCTTGACAACTCCATAGCAGCGCGTCTAATACCAAGAAGGTATTGCTTATCGCTGAACCTTCCCCCAATGATTTCCAGTCGACCATCCAATAGCCCCAAAGTTCTCCGCCGTTCAGCTTCGTTGCCAGATTTGGTATTGGTAATTACGTCCAAATCTGTCAGAACGTGACACTTCAACAAAATCTCATGTGCGGCATTCAAAGAAGCTGTGGCTGACGCAGTCATTGATGAGGCTATCTTGTCCTGCATGCTCTGAATAGCCTTGCCAAATGCATCCGGACCCGAGCGGCGATATAAGGAATCAAACAAACAGGCGACAGACATGTTAAAATCTTGAGCGACATCTTCTTGAAATCGCCCTGTAAACTTGGCCAGGCTTTCCCATCGGCCGGTAACCCAGGCAGCTTCCACAGCAAATGGCAGGATTTTGTTCTCAGCTGAAGGGTCTGCTTGCATACCCTCAATGTGATTCAGGAGCACATCTAGAAAACAGTTAGTCAGTGTCTTGATAGCGCTGTGGGTAAGGCCAACAAACCATGTTGCCCGGCTTGCTTTAGGCAATTCAGAAGATCCAATTGAACCTCGGTGTTTTGAGGATTCTCAGCAAGCTGCATCTCATACCACGTTTGAGCCGAGGCCCATCGGCCAGCCTTTTTGTGGCTCAGGATTTGTTGATTTATGTCGAGTGCATGAAGCTGTGAGGAAATACCTTCTAAACCATCCGGCTCGTCAATATTAGCGTATATATTCTGGAGTTTTTCTAGCAATCTGCTTCGATCTCCTGGATCCTGTTTCTGCTGCTCCATGTTCTGGGCATGCTGCTCAAGATGAAATAGAGCACGAGAGTACTCGTTGCAATCAGTGGCTCGCTGAGAGATGAGTTCTGCCGGAATTTGATCAAGTACGCGTTGTATTCGTGCGACACTCTCTTTGCCTTCTGCAGAAAGTCTTCCAGCTGCACGTTTTTCTTGGATCCATCTCATGGCATAATCTAGGCAACGAAATACGGCCTTTGTCACAATTTAGCTAGAGAACCGAGCATTAAGCTTGGGACACACTTACATGACAGTATCGCTTCATTTCTTCCCGTTCCACATAGGATGCATCGTCAGCAGGCTGGTGTCTTAAAACCCCTAGAAGCTCATTTACTATTCGATTCTTTTCATTCTCACTACTCCGTGCACCAAGTAAAATGTGTATCACTAGGTAGGGTAGGAGAAATTCGGCAGTCGACAGATCCTTCACACGGATCACGCGCATAAGAGGTTCAAATAGCAAGTCAGCATGGGGATGCTGTCCCTCTCTCAACATGTCGATAACAAAGGACCGCAGCCAATTGCCGTAAGGTTTGCCTGGATGGAAGATTGGGTACTCCACGGTTACCGGGGGCATTGGAGCAACCATATACCTGGAGGATAAGAAAGGGGTCATGACCTCTCGAGCATGATCTGGAATGGCGATCCACTTCCTGTAAATGTCGTTGCCACCAAGCATGCCTGTTTCGTTCATGGCACAAGCTGCTTTGATCTCACATTTGTCGAGCAACTCCTGCATTGCATAGGAAAGGAACCCTTGGAGTTTGGTATCAGTCGCAGATAAAAATGAGGGCACTAAAACCTCCTCGAGCATGAACAACCCAAAGTCAGTCATCTCCTCCGGCGCCACGAAATTGTTCAATACAACAATAGATCGCTGCTCTCGAACAGTCTCAATCTGATTGGAATCCAAGCAACCAATGAGCCCAATGCATTGAACGCACAGTCGGGCGATGTCCATTTGTGCCCCGCTGTATTTGCAAGCACAGTCGAGAAGTGACCTCAATATAGTTGTAATTGCATTGTCTGGCCTTTGACTCACAGCAGAGGTGTACAAAGCACTCTGGTTATCCCTCAGGTATGGGGCAAGTTCAGTCAAAGCCTGATGAACTACACCCGCGTTGTCATGACTGACTCTCTGTGCAAACACACCGAGTGCTTCTTCCATAGCAAGAGTTGGGCGCATTGCCTTCAGAGTTTTCTCAACGCTTTCAAGGCCTTTGCAGTACGATAGCGAAGGGAGCTTGCTGATGTACATCTCGACCATGGCACCGTGCTTCTCCAGCAAGGATAGAAGCATATTTTTGCCAATAGTCGCAGTCGCATCGTCTAGCACGCCCCAGTATCGACGGATGATGAAAAAAGTAGTTTCAAGTAATGCTTCAACGTCTTCTTCGTCCAGATAAGCGAGCATTGCAGCCCAGCAAGAAAAGCAGGCTTCTCGTAAAGATTCCTGCGAAATGACTGCAAGAAGGCAGGCCGATATCTAATGGCACATTAGGAGACAGTATTCTGAGTATGGAATATGGACGTACCTGTGGCCTGGCAACCCGCACATGTTGCTTGCAGACTTTAAGCATCTCTTCCAATGTCGCTATGGCGCTTCTTTGTTCCATAATCAGAGGCTGCAACGTGATAGAATCGTTGATAACGTCGGTAAGACGAGCCATGAGACCCAGAACATGGGATTGCAAGAACCGACCAATAACATTCCCTTTCTTACTTTTAGGGTCCTTGTTCGTACTCAGAATAGTCGTTGCCATTAGTTGAAGGGCTTGGTGAACCTGTAATGCATTAGGACTGTTTCTCAGAAGACTTGGTTTTTTGTCCTTACAAGAGAACGTTTAGTTTCATCCGCTGTTGCAGCTGTCTTGAGAAGTTCCAGCGCAATCAAGACAGGCTCTGACTGAAACAAGACAAGAAGTGATAGTGAGTGGAAGTGCGGAGATATTTCATTCAAGCGGGATTTTGTAAACTCTTCAATATCACCAGTGTCCTGGACCAATAATAGAGCCAATGTTGCCGCAAGATTCGATCCATCCATTAGCTGTCTCCAAACCTCTTTTTCTTGTCGAGCTTCGGCAATCTTCTGAATCACGTCTTGACGTTTATCCAGGACCAACCAGGGCAGTGCGTGTGTCTGTATTAATAGTAGAAGATCATTGACGGATATTTGTAGCAGTTCCGCAATAGCTCGACTTCGTTGGGGTCGTTGAGTCATGTCCTTTGTCGTCATATAGGCGAGGCTTTTCCAGAATGGCTCAAGGAGGCGCCTTGGCGTTGTGTTGCGAGCCTCTGCAAGATTTAGAAGCTCATTGAACGTGAAGGCTGACACGATATTATTGCTATTTCCAAGGTAATCGACGAGTTTGATTAACACCAAATTCAACTCATCTTCCGAGACAACGCGACCGACCTGTCCCCACGCTAGAATTCGGGTTTCGACTAAATGCGCCGGGTCTTGATCAGATGCCGATTTGAGCAGAGCAATCGTGTTTTTACGATTCCTCGCAATCAGGTCTTCGTCAACATTACTGACAGGTCTTACTGGCATGAATGCCCCTAGAGTCCTTCCAGCGGCAACACGAAGTTCTCTGACAGAGCTATTCAATGACTGCAAACACCATTGCCCTGGCACTGATGTTTCAATATTCAAGAAAGCCGCGTCTTCACAATGAATAACTAGCCTTCGAAGCGCTATCATAGCAGCAACCCTAGGCTGTCTTGATTCTAAGAACGAAGGTTCCTGAATAAGCCTTGTAAATATTAATCGAGACGCAGTCTTGGAGACTTGTAAATCTATCAGGGGCTTTGACTGTTGGCCAAGTTCGCAGACTGGACACTGATTTTCAGTTAGAGAATGAGTAGTGACTTCTCCCAAGCCATCACAAACGCAGGAGACCCTAGAAAGGAGATCCAATGCAAGACATTGACTACTGTTGGGTACTTTGGTGAAGCTTTCACTGCGGGAGTTAGAAAACAGTAAAAAGAATGATACGAAAAGAATTCTTACAGAAATAGTTCTTCAGGCATGAATCCCGCCTCATTTTCTGTCCAAGCCATATTGAGTGTATCGTAAATGGCCCTAAAAAGGCTCAATAGTGGATTGGAATTCGCCGCAACAACTTTTCTTTTCTTGGCGACAGTTTCTGACGGAGAACTACGCCCATACTCCAGATTGAGACCCTCAACGGCCTTCTGGATATCTTTGTCGCGGAAATGGGATGGACTTGTATCCTCATCAAAAGTATGTTGTGGAGCGGCGTATATGATTTGACGTAACAAACGAGTACATCGCTTCGAATGTTAGTGTGACTCCAACATTTGTTGACGGGAAATTATGCTTCTTACCCAAATGTCTGTACCTTCTCCAATTAACGCATGCTGTGATGAGACCAAAGTCAATTCTTGGACTAGTTTCGAAGCTGCCATACGCCCAATAGAATATGACTCGAGTGTAGCACCAGATATGGCTAAGAGTGCCTGACAATACAGCTGCCGAGACGTATCACCCGTTTCGTCTTCTTGTAAAAGGGCCTCCGGACAGGATACCATTTCACTACACAACAGAACTAAAAGAACATGTGACTTATCCTTGAATGTAGCTGTCATCTCACTTCCAGATGCAAGTCCATGAGACATATTCAGCACCGTCTCTATAATCGGAATAGGAGAGCTCGAGCCAGCCACATCCCATCGCTTTTGGGCATTCCGCAGGTCGAGCCACGTATCCAAGAGCCAAGGGACAGTTTGAGAGAGTGAAGCCAAGGAAGAGAATGTTGAGTCAGGTTGTATGAGGGGATACGCAAGTATTTTTGCCAAGCTTGTTATCTGTCGTATCGCCTGAGATGATGAGGAGATTTGATATGTAGGTCCATGGCCCATGGATTGTTCCCCCAGAATCTGGCGCAGCGCAAACTGGGACGGGAGGTGTATGGGTATAAAAGAGTTCAGTTCCGAAGGGTCTAGTGATGGGTCTTGTAATTGATCTATCGTGCCTAGGAGCAGTTAGTGCTGAGGCCTTTCTTCTATTAGAAAAAAATGCATACTAGAAACACAAGCTCGCAAGTAGAGAACCAATTCCGGACCATGTGACCACAGTTCATTCGTTCGTGATACCAATAGTAGTAAATACTGCAAGAAGCCCTCTAGGGAGCCCTCCAATTCCTGGAACAAAGCGTGGCCAAGTAATCGCAAAAGATGCGGGAGCAGCCAAACCCAAAGTGGCTCAGTACCTCGGTACAACAGCGTTTTTGAGGCATGTGTATGCGCGAGAACAGATGGAGTTTCCTTGATTGTAAATCTCAGGAAGTTTATTGCTTTTAGGGCTTCGGCATGAGCATGTGCTCGGTTTACAAATGGATCGTCCAATTTTATGCCTTCCAAGGCCACACGGCAGTACACGTATATGAGCATGTGATTATGTTCAACTCGGTCGGCCTGGGATTTGAGCAGTTCCGGGTGATCCTTGACCAGCTGAATCGTTGCAAAGAGCTCCTTCAATTCATTGCTCTCATCCGATCGTGAGGACTTGGTAGAGGTCGATATGTTCTCGACAAGCTGAGCAGCCAATGTCGATGGCGGAGGACCCTCTCCCGCGGCGGCAGCGCCGCCATTCTGACCTAGCGGAGCTGTGTGCCCACGGGAGTGTTGTGCCATCTTCCTATTGGCATCGTGCGTTATTGGCAATCATTTCGAGCCCGTGAGGAAATTGACAAAGTGATTCGACGTCGACTGGGTGACGCGACAGGTGATCGTGGGGCGTGACGCGCCATCACGTGATGACACCAATTGACCCGCCGAGAACCTTCGATGTGGGAGCTGTGACTGTGAACAGGGCTCATTCAGAAGGAACAGTCACTCCACTTACCTCATACTACTGAACTAAAACATCCTGCATCGAGAGTCGAGACCTCTTGTTTCTTCTGCAATTGGGAGTATTGTCAACTCTTGCCCCTCTTTCTCTCATTTGAGTCAAAGCAATCATGGTCTAGAATCGAGCTGGAACCGTGCAACTTCAATTTCATTGCTTCAATTCCTGGACTGACGAGCTTGTGCACTGAGACCTCTTGCTCTTCATGGGTTCCTCAGTCTGATCATAATAAACATCTATCCTGTGTGCTAAGATATGAGGGGCTTCACCCCGATAATTGATCTGCAGTATTGTTCACCGTCTGACCTGACAGCGCCTATAGTAAGTGGAGTGAGAAACTATTCTCCAACGGTCTGGAGGGCGTAGGGAAAGCTATTCCACTCCGAGCCCTTGATTCTCATATCGCACCGTGAGAGCATCGTGTGTCACGCCTACGGCTCTTCAGCTTGTGTCAATTTAATCACGAAACTCTGCTGACTCACCTCCCAGCTTGACCTTATAAGTAATCATGGCTGAGCCGTAGCTAGCCTCTATGGCACCGGTCAGGCAAAAGTACCTATGATTGCCAATCCGAGTTACTCCTGCGGCGTTCTTGGTAGACACTGGGATTTTGTCTAGGTTCAGTGCTAGCGTTGCAATGCACGTCGTCCTTGAAGTGCAATGGATCGGCGGCTCAGGATCGTCGTTGCAGAAAATCTCGATTTCTGTTTGCGGAACAGGACCAGACGAAACAGGTATATCGCACTGATAATCAATGGCGGTAGGTATTCCTTCCGTATAAGACTCGCCCTTGGGAAAGTCAATACTTGATATATCGGATCGAGCGAACAGGGAATGTTTAAGACCTTTCTGATAAACCAGCACATTTCGGCAACCACCATCTCGCCTTCCTTTGGAGACCAAACCCTTGAAGTGAGTTAGCGTAATTTTCTGCCCAATATCATGAAACTAAACTCACGCCTCCTTAGGGTCATGCCGCAACATATCATACGCAGCAAGAAGACAGGTACCGTAGGAGCGCCTGGCTATTCTCGATACGATTTGCACTTGGGTCAAGCTGGGATGATAATATCCCAGGCCGTGTATGACTGCTCCCTTGACCACAGCTATCCAGCCGTTATCGGGTTGCAGCACTGGAGTGTTGCGTGCAAGGGCTGCTTTTACTTCCGACTTCAAGTATGAGCTTTCACCGAAGCCACCAACCAGTACCACTGCGGCAATCTCGTCAGCGACCAGTCCAATCTGTTCCTTGATCAGGCAAATAATATCTTTCATGATTGGTGTGAAAATTCTGGTTGTCATGTCGGTTTGCGATATGGTGAACCGATTGCGCTTGAGGCCGAGGCTCTCATCAACACGGATCGTGAGGGGTTCTCCCTTTGGAGAGAAGTCTTTCTTGAACTGTATACCTTTCAGCACAACTGCTGGTAGAAGAATACGGCGCAAATGATGTACCCACCGACTCAAATTCAGCAATTGCCAATATCAGACGCTCATTGGTCCAATATTTGTCGCCGTGTGTTTGTTTAAGATATCTTCTGAATCTCTTGTTCAGCATGGCGGAGCCGCATTTTCCGCCTGTGCCTTCAGTTATTTCTTTCACTGCCAAATTACCAGAATGCGATACCTCATATGATATCAGGTCGACTGTGCCGCCTCCGGCATCGCAAAGTACAAAATTCTTGCCCGGCTTCAGGACTGACGGGCCGAGGTGTTTTATTGTGTACAGAGCCGCAGCTTCCTAACATAGTTAGCTACGAAGGGATTCCCAAGGAGCGAGATGTAATTCATACTGGCTCTGAAATGAGGAGGATCCTTTTGTTGCCACAAAAACCGGCCATGGCGGCCGCTCGTTCGGTGGCTTGCTTTGCCGTGTTGGACCAAATTGCGGGCACCGTAACGACAAAGTCCATAGGTGTCATTTGAACAACTGCGCGCGAAAGCTTCTTTTCCAAGATACCGATGAAGTGGTCATGCAAACACGAGAGGTAGATTCTGGCCAGTTCTAATGGCGTATCTCCATCTCGGCTTGGCCTATCTGGCTCGTCCAGTTTCCTGCCGGGTGTTACATTTCAAATACCCCCTAGCTTGAATACAGCTTCCCGAGCCTTGCAGATGAACTTACAGCTTAAAGAAGCGATATCGTTTGGCATCTTCGGGAATTTGGAAACCCCACTGCCATCCTGTAGCTAACTTTCGTAGCTCTGTAGGTACTTTGAGACTACTTCTCAGGCCGTCAATGGCAGGCCAGCTCGATACGACATGTTGAACATCAGGCTAATGGAGATCAGCGTTCGAACTACTGGCAGTACACGATGCAGCTTACTCGGCTTGTCTCGGCCCAGGATACTCCAGAATACGTTGTTCCAAAGTCAATTGAGACGATTATTCTTCTTTTCTCCATTTTGGGTTATGAGGTTACAAAAGACGAGCGTACCGGAAATTGAAACCCAAGGCTTAATGCGAGTGGATTGCCATCAGCGCTTTGCTTACAAGCTGGTGTCTTGTTGCTGCGGCGGCCTCATCGAATGGCTACACCGAAATATCGCACGACACACTAATGAAAAGGGCGAGGATTCTAATTAGAGTCCTGCTTCTATTACTCAACCTCGGCCCCTGCTGCATTGCCGACTGCTTTGGGCATTGTCATGCCCTCTAATGTCCACTGACGGTCTCGAGAGTGGGCCAACTTGTGCAGCATTGCTGCCCAGCCGAAACCCAAGGCACAGTACCTTTTAATCTGCACGTTGTCACACGGCATTTGGTCAAAGCTGGGCGCCAGCAGGGTCTCAAATGGCAGGTAGACGGAGTAACTACATAACGACTTTATTGCCCAAGCATCCGCACCTACCAGCTGGCTTTGGTGCCCAGCTTCCTGCCGCTCTGTTGCCCATGGAGCAAGCCTCAGTGGGGGAGTGACGCATGCTGTGCAGAACGATGCCATTACACATACGCGCTTACCGTCTAGTCGGTCATGTTGTCTAAAGTCATGATTGGGAATTTAGTCGAGCCTTCAATGAATCACATTTGCGAGTTGATACTCAATTGTGTCCAAGACACGTCAAAAGCTTCGACACACAAACCGAACGCCCCAATGGCGGAAGACACCACGGCAACAGCTACGGAGGACCAGCAAGAAAGCCTGGAGAGATCACTCGCCGATGAACGAAATTTACGCAGCTTCACCGAACAAGTCCTAGATTGTCGGCAGATAGAACTCGAAGTTGCGGAAGTAGAAAACAAGAAACTCTTGAAGAAAATTGACCAGCTTACCAGGGAATTATCAGAATCCAAGGCGCAGCTGCTCGAGGCACAAGCTCAAGTCAAGTCGAAGGACCGAAACCTTCAAGAGGCTGGTGATCAAATATTTCGCCTGCAGTCACAGAGGGAAGACATTACTGAGTCGGAAGCGAGGGACGCGCACAAGGCACTCTGCGACAAAATTCAACGATGGGTCGAAAACAAATTGCCAATAACCTTGGAAGCGGTGTCGTCGGGCCAAGTCAAGAAGCCACCGCCGGCACAAGCGACAAAGTTTCTGTCATTGCTCCGTGAGCCAGCGAAACGATGTCTCTCTGTACACCTCAGCGATGAATACCACGTCGTGGCAACCATCATGTACTACTTATGGCTGGCCTTCTTTTCAAAGCCATTCTATTGCCCCCTTGATGATTCTACCGAGGATGCAACCCTCTTATGGCTTCTGGGGATTGAATCGGCCATGGCGAAATCTCGAAGTAGGACAAACCACAATATTTCAGGAGGGGGTTACTTGGTCTTGCTAACTGGCGAGTCACAGATGCCGAGCAATGTCGCGAATGGAGAAGCGAAACCCTGTTGGCGTTGAGCACCCAAAAGTCTTTCAAATCTAGACGAGAATCGTACATTTATCTAATTTCTAAGGACCTGTCATCATACTTGATACCGATATTCCCCAAGATATCGCCCCTGGAGCTCCAAAACTCGGTTCGAAAAGCCGTGGTCCAGCCCGCAGCCGATCTAGCCCACAGACTTCACACATCAGTAAACGTGTTTTGGCTGAAGTGGCCGTTGAAGACGGCCAGTACACGGCTTGAGGTGTATGAATGTTTCGACTTGGCCGATGGTGGCCGAGTAACCGACCTAAGTGGCACATCACCTGAGTCTCCTAGTCGACGCAACATCCGATACCTGTTTGACATCGCCCCTGGGTTGTTTGTGGAGAGGGTAGAGGGGGGGAGGAAGTTGCCTCTCAAGGCCATCTGTCGCCCAAAGGTCCTCATACACGGCAGTGAGAACCAGGCCACTCACAGAGCCACGCTTTTGACGTGGCTGTACAGCGCCACGAGAGACAGCTAATAATGTACAATGGTTTTTTTTTTCTTTTGTTTTTTGAGCGTGTAGGAGTTTGACGAAGGAGAGAAACTCAACCCCCATCAAACACAATGTACGAAGAGGAAACATGGGAAACTCGTTTTGTTATTTTGAGTCTTCATTTATACTCCAGCTTCACTTGCTCGCGGCGAATTTGATCTCGTAGGCGTGGGTGTTTCCTGGCTTGAGCCACCTGATTCTGGTACAAAGGGCCGAATGCAGTTGCGAATATAGTCATCATCCATGCCGAGAGACGCTGCGTCCTTGAGCCCACGGTTGATGCGATCGATGTACTCCTCTTTGGGGCTGCTATCGACCACGTGCACCAGGCTTATATACACCAGCACATTGTCGGTCTCTCTATCAATGGTGGCGGTCGTCTTCCGATGGCTGTGCTTGGCACTCTTGCGAACGCGACATGGCCCGCCGCGGGACACAATCCAGGGAACAGAGCGGCGATACAGCGAGCAGCAGGCCAGCTTGACCCTGACCTGCATATGCTGCTTCTCATAGGCGCCCTTGGAGACGCCCTCGCTGATGTCGAGCTTCTCCTCATCCGTCTCCTCAATCTCGTACACCAGACCATCGACCCAGTGCCCCTCTGCGTATACGACGTTGGCATACCCGCGCTCGTTGATTTGCCATCGGAAGTTGGGTAGCCGCCCAAAGCCGACGTACTTGCTCTTGGGACATCTGCGCTGCATCTGCTTCATGTGTAGGTTGCTGCCGTAAGCAAAATAATACTTGGCATGTCGAGGGTCACCCGACGGCGCGTGAGCTGCCTCTGCTTCGCCCATGGCTGGCTTGCTTCGTTTCGATCAAGTACTCCTCCTCCCTCCAATGCAGCAAAAAAGTGGTCAGGCGGCGGGCAAGCGACGGAGCGAAAGAGGGGAAATCCACTGGCCAGAAGCTGAGGAGGGAGAGAAAAGTGCCTCATTCTGCTCAATAGCAGGTCACTTTTAAACCTGGCACTGCTCCATGCTTGGGGTTGTCGAGCAAACCGGAGTCATGGCGGTGGATCTGTTGTGCATATGTTGGGCAGCAACATGCTGCTTGGCCGCGAGTTGCTGACCGTCTTTGGACACCGCCAATCGAAGCTTCACACGTTCGGGGGACTCGTCTGCTCATATTTCAACGGCGGCGAATCCAAAGACGTCGGACAAAAGAATTTGTGCCTCGCATAATGAGGCTGTGACGGGTCAAAGTTCCACACGTTTCTTGTCCAACCGAACGAACCTCTACCGCCCACGCCACATATAACCTCCAACCCTGCACGAGGAAGCCTCGCGTGACGCGAGCAATTGGGCAACTTCGTGTGGTGGTTGAGACATCGATGCTTGTTTTCATCGACACCGGGACAATACTCCGTTGGGGTGACACGAAGCAACGACATCAGTTCAGGTTTTTGTTCGATTTTCCTTTTTTTTTTTTTGCCCCTTCATCCTCTGGCTTTGTAATTGGGCCTCTTTTCCATCTGTGTTGGGTACTGTTGCCCGTATAAGGTACCGAGTTCAGAAACAATACGTGTGAGGCTTACCTGTGTCTGCTGTGTGTTCCTTTACCAGATACCAGACTGCGTGCCTATGTTTGAGCCTGTGGGCTTTGTCCCGTATTAACTGTTCGTCCAGAGAAGACAAGAGTAGGGCAGTTCGTCCCATTCAGAGACTGTGATACGCATGCTCAGGTGACCAATGTCGACTGTTCAACAGGCCTCAAATGTGCATGTTCTCTATATAATTCCAAGTCCGCATCTTCCAACAGTGTCAAACTCACTCTACTCCTGCACCGGAACGTACCCTATCCATTGCCACCTGCGTCACGTCTATCAGTCGCCATGAGACACTACAACTTCGGCGTCGAGATTGAATCCATAGGAAAGCCCTACGGCGGCGGCGAAAGCTTCACAAACGTCGACTGGTACCGACAGCTGGCCCAGAAACTACAAAATCGAGGCATCGAAGCCGTCCACGATGACTGTTCGAGATACAGCAAGCATCCCGAGTACTACGGCGGCAAATGGTTCGTCACCCGCGATGGATCACTCAAACGTCCTCGCCCATACGGTTCGTCTCGACGCACACCCAAACGCTGACTCCCCCATACAATATACTGACTCTCCAAGTAGTCTGCATGGAAGTCGTGTCGCCCCGTCTCGACACGACCCTTCACCTCACCCGTATCCTCAGCGACTTCTGGGAAGCCATGCGCGTGCACTTCAACCCGCAAAAGGACCAGTCCTGCGGCGGCCACGTCCACGTCACGCCCGTCAGCCGCAAGAACAAGTTTAAGCTGCGCACCCTCAAGCAGATCGCCTTTGCGACAATCGCCTACGAGGACTTCATGTGGTCCATGCTTCCCCCGGCTCGGCGCGAGAACCAGTACTGCAAGCTGAACAGCCAGAGCTCCGGATCGGGCGTGTGCGAGACGCTGGCCTGGGGCAAGTCTACCTCGAGCCTCAAACAGGTCGCCTCCGAGATCAAGGCATTGCGGAGCGAGACCGACATCTACATGTACATGCAGGGCAACCGATACGTCCTATGGAACTTCCAGAACATCTTCCCGCACCCCAAGACGGGGCGGTGTACGGGGACCGTGGAATTCAGAGGCGGGAACCAGTTTCTCGGCACAAAGGGAACTCTGGCATGGGTTGCCTTTGTCCTGGGCTTCATCACGTTGGCCACCAAGGAGGTTGGTGCACCCCCTTCATCCTCCTCCCTTTCATCTTTCATTCTTTGTGTATGTGCAGCTGCAGGGGGGGCTAACAAAGACGCAGAATCTCATCAAACGATTTACGGAATACATACCCCCGTCTGATCCGAGATACGTGAAACGCCTTGAGGAGTGGTGGGTTCGGATTAGAAAGGCAGCGAGGAAGAGCAAGTTGAGCAGGCATCTTCCCGACGACTACAAGAGGATGAGGACGAGGTAGTCACCCAGCAGACAACTCGACGCAACAACCACAGCGCTTTCCAGGGAGAAACAGCTACAGAAATTTGTGTACAATGCATCAGAACGGCCATCATCATCTAGCATGTGTCATCGTTTATATATATACTCAATACATTGCCGCCCAGCATCTTGATTCGTGTCCTGAAACGCCTCTTGTGAAATTTTGCCTATGCTTCCCCCTTGGCTGGATCCTCCTCAAATAATACCAAAATTGTGCCTGCTTTGCAAATATCCTATTGGAAAAAACAAAAACTTAGCCTGCCGTGTCTTGGAATCTTGATGGGGAATAACTTACACCCTCTTTATGGGCTAGCTTCTTGACTACGCCGTCCTGCGGCGATCGGATCACCGTCTCCATCTTCATTGACTCAATACTGTGAAAAAAAAAAAGAAATTAGTGAAAACTTGAACGTAGAAATAAGAGATGGTGCGCGGTGGACTCACACTACAAGAGGTGTTCCCTTCTTGACCTCTTGACCCTCGACGACTTCATTCTTCAAAATTTTGCAGGGCATCGGAGCAACCACCGAGGCGGCAATTTCCTTCAGCCCCAGCGCCTTCTCATACCACGAAGGCGGCAACAAAGAAAGATCAGTCTTGACACCATGCTGGAACACGGTAATTTTGGTGTCGTTGTCCTGCGTCTGCGGGACAACAGAGGACAGTATTCTCTCGGCAGGGAAATAAGTCTGCAGCTTCATGACGGCGCCCTCTGGAGTATGCTCGGAGGCAACGTTGTTAAAGACGGCGGGGGCCTCTTGTCCCTTTCGCGAGACGGTGACATTGTACAGGTTGTGCCCGGTCTGGGTGACGGCCGCCTCGACAATCTCGCCCTCCTTCTCGCTGTACCCGTCGAGGACCTTGAAAGCCAGCTTGCGCTCGCTGGATGCGCTGGCATCGCCGAAGCCGAGGGTCTGGCCGTGGGGCTCGGCGCCGTTCAGCTGCAGACTCAGGACGCCCAAGGCGGCCTGGGCAAAGAGCTCGTCGCCGATGTGCCTGGGCTTGAAGAGCTCGTCGCGCCACTTGTCGATGAAGCCGGTCTCGACATCGCCCTCGATGAAGGCGGGCGAGTAGCACAGGCGCTTGAGGAACTCGACGTTGGTGCTGACGCCGACGATTTCAAAGGCGCGCAGAGCGGCCGCCAGCTTGGCAATGGCCTGCTCGCGGTTCTCCCCGCGCACAATCAGCTTGGCAATCATGCCGTCGTAGGCCTCTGACACGGTGCTGCCGGAGCCGAAGCCCCAGTCTAGCCGGACGTCCGGGTCGGCCTGGACGGACTCGGGAAGCACGGCGTGGACGAGCTTGCCGGAGTCGGGCATGAACCCCTTCTCGGGGTTCTCGGCGTAGATGCGGGCTTCGATGGCCGCGCCGAGCTTCTTCATCTGCTCCTCCACCTGGGCCTGCTTCAGAGGCAGCTCCTCGCCGGCGGCGATGCGGAACTGCCACTCCACAAGGTCCAGGCCCGTGACCATTTCGGTGACGGGGTGCTCGACCTGCAACCTGGTGTTCATCTCCATGAAGTAGAACTTGCCGCTGTCCTTGTCGAGGATGAACTCGACCGTGCCGGCGCCCACGTAGCCCACGGCGGAAGCGGCCTTGCGAGCCTTGTCCCACAGGTCCTGTCTCGTAGCCTCGTCCAGATCAGGGGCGGGAGACTCCTCAAGGACCTTTTGGTGTCGTCGCTGAACACTGCAGTCTCGCTCGCCGAGGGCTGCCGTGTTGCCGTGCTTGTCGGCGAACACCTGGACCTCCACGTGGCGCGGCCGCACGATGTACTTCTCGACCAGCATCACCTCGCCGCCTTCGCCAAACGAGGCGCGAGCCTCAGCACGGGCGCTCTTCAGCTGGGTCATGAACTCGTCCTCTGTCATGACAATTCGCATGCCCTTGCCACCGCCGCCACGCACACTCTTCAACAAGACGGGGAACGTGATGTCCTTGGCATACTGAAGCAGCTCCTGCTCTCCCTGCTCCGGGCCGTGGTAGCCGGGAACGCAGGGCACGTTGGCAGCCGTCATGATCTCCTTGCTCCTTGCCTTGTTGCCCATGTCAGCCATGGCCGTCGCGGGCGGCCCGACAAAGACAATGCCTTCCCGTTCACACTTCTCGGCGAACTGAGAATTCTCCGACAGGAAACCATATCCGGGATGCAGCGCCTGGATCCCGTGCTTCTTGGCCAACGCAATGATCTTGTCTCCGTCGAGGTAGCCGCTGGCTGGGCCAAGCCCCAGGGACTGGTATCCGGTCGAGGCATGCCACGAACCCGCATCGACGTCCGTATAGACGGTGGTGGCGCGGATGCCCATCCGCTCCGCGGTGCGGTTTATCCGAATGGCAATCTCTCCGCGGTTGGCAATGAGCACCGAGCTGAGGGCGGTCGTCTTGGGGGCGCACGAAGACGCCGTGGACGTGTAGCGAGGCAGGGGCCTCAATGGGAGGCGATTGGCTCTGATGGAACGCATGGCTGCAGTGGTGCCGAGGACTGTCTCGAGAATTGGGCGCGCAGGATATCCTCAGAACCAAGAGCGACCATGAATAATTTTTCGAGGGAGATGGAGAGACTCGCGGGCAATGGACGTTTCGCCCAGTTATGTTCGGCTCAACGGGCTTGCCAGCTCTGGCAAAGACACACATCCGACCGTGGGGAGCCGAATGTAGCCGGCAAACCAAGCAACAAGCAGCCAGCAGCCAGCAGGCCGACGTCAGTCCAAGTCCGTCCTGCGGCTCAGGTGCCCACCTGCCGGGGCTGTAGAAAATCTGGGGTTCTCTCCGGGAGCAGCTTGACTCCATCGATGTCTTCTCGTTACTAAGCAGGCCTGTCAGTAGAGCTGCTACTTCCCAGACCGGTTCAGCTGCCCCACCAGACGTTTTGCAGCTCAACGCCCAGCCGGCAGACGCACGAAGCAAGTCGGATGACCTCGCGCATCTGACCACGCCGCACGAGCTGACTGTATACCAACATACCGCCCTCGTCCTCCCCAAGCCTTCACGCTCCGACAACCATGGACAAAATTCCACTCAACTACGAAGCCTCCGAAGGCGACACTCACAAGCAAACCACCAACTCGCTACCCCCAGAAGTAGTGCAATGCCTGGAAAATGCTCGTTTCGTGAGTGCCCGTCTAACCCCGCCAATCTGAGCCCGATCTTCATGCTTCCGTGACAACCACGACTAACACCCTCTTCACCACCAAAGCTCCATCTGGCAACATGCACAGATAACGTGCCTCATGTCTCGCTCATGAACTACACATACCTCCCCTCGTCGCCGTACTCCTCCGTGCCCGTCATCATCATGACCACCAACCCAGCCTCGCGCAAGACGACCAACATCATCGCCAACCCCAGCGTCTCTCTCCTCGTCCATGACTGTGAGTCGCCCCTCCCCCTCCCCCTCCCCCTCCCCCGGGACCATCATCGCCCACCCAACTCACTCCAAAACCAGGGGTTTCCCACCGGCCACCTACCCAGGGCCGCCGCATGTCTGGCGGTTCTCCAGGCCCCGAACACCGCTCCAGCCTCGCCTCCCTTCTCCTCAACCTCAACTCCTCGGCCATGTCCAGCATCAGCGCTACCATAGGAGGAGCCGCCCGCCTGGCCCCGTCCGGCTCAGACGAGGAGAAGTATTTTACGGAACAGCATCTCGCCAACAATACCTTTGAGGAAGGTGAGAGCATTTTCCGGCAGGACAGCAACACTGGTGCCGATGACCGTGGAAGTCACTTTGTGGCCGGGGAGGAGGTACGGGTCATCATTGTTGATATCAAGGACGTCAGAATCAGTGACTGGAAGGGTACGGTCCGGGACTGGGCTTTGGTATCAGATGCGTCTTTGGTCAACGGGGCCTAACTGCACTACTTGCGACTTGATTTCACAGATTTGCCTACTATTACTACTACTACTCTTGCTGCACTACTGGACCCTGTCGCCGTTTTCTTCTTGTTGCCAACTTTGCCGCTTCGGTTGACCTTTTTTTTTTTACCTCGGGATTTTCGCACATGGCCGATTACTAGGTGGCCCTTACAGCAGTATATATAATCAGCGAACTAGGGCACAAGAACCGTTCCTCCTCTCAATTTTGGTCATGGCTGTTCACTATATCATACAACCAGGTTCTTTTCCTGCGCTACCCAGTGTCAAATACAAAACGCCGATGCTTGCATCTACCATGTGCTCTGTGAAGAGTATGAGATGCCATGCTAACAATGTATCAATACCCATGATTATGGGCATTGATTCAAGCTCCTGCCCAAGCCTAGAATTTACCCAACCAATGCAACGTACCAAATGTCAAGGTACGAATCGGCAGAAACAATGCCGACCCGTCGAGAAAGGAAAGCAAAGGAAAGGAAGGGAAGGGAAAAAGCAAAGGAAAAAGGTGGAAATGATGCCAAACAGAGTGTATGCACGGCTTAAACTACTTCGCCCACTCCACGACTTCGAGCGCCATCATAACGAGAACCAAGGTAGACGGAAGAATCCTACAGTATGATTAGCTTCGGTACCATGGAAGTTTGAGCTCCAACGCAACTCACCAAATGACATAGCTCTGGAACAGGATACGGCCCATGGTCTTTTCGAAAACCATGTTGATTTGGCAAATTTGAGCCAGCTGCAGAGCGCTTGGCGCACCCGTGAGAAGAAAACAGACTATGATGAAGATTGGATCGTCCAAGATGCTGACGTTAAGATATTTGGCAGTGATGGCTAGGATCGGGGCCATGATGGCGGTAGGAAGGACCATGCGACTCAAAAGCGATGCAACAAGCAACTTGGTTCCAATCTGCTCCTCCTCAGGGTCGTGGCTGTCTTCGCAAGCTGTGGTGTTTCGCGCCAGATTCGCGCCCAAGACGACTAAAATTAATGGCACAGCAACTCCCCCGCTTGATACGACGGCATTAGTGACACTGTTATTGATAAAAGTGCCTTCTTCGAAGAACAGTTTCTGAAGCGACGGAATAGAGGCAACAAGAACAGCACAAAGCATGGCCCACAAAGGAGGGTTCATGAATTCCCAAACGAAAACCGCCGTTTTGACACCGACTTGCTTCAAGAACGACGCAGTAACTCGCAAGGGACGAGGCATGGCATTGTACGCTCGCAGCATAATACTGCCGATGGAGGCTTTGACACTAGTCCATAGGCAGTTTCCTTTAGCGGCATGACTTCGAATATGAGGAAACGCAAACATGGTGTTGTCGTTGCCGTTGACAGCCACATTCTGTCCATTGGGGAAAGTTGAATAGCCTGCCTTGGCCTTCTTGGGCGACAGCAGTTCCTCGTCATCACTAGACTCCGTCCCAGACGCATGCGACGCACCAGCAGTCGGAGTTCGACCCGCGGGAATGTAGTCATGGGAGTCAACACTTTGTGTCTCATCCTCCTCTATCGTATCACCGTCGAGGTTGTCAGAAAGATGGCCATTTTCGTTCTCCACAGGCTCGTCGCGATACCGTTGCTGACCAGCCTCAGAAATTTCGTCTTGGTACTCTGCATACTTGTTCTTGGGAGCCAGCAGAACGTGGTATCCCCAGCTCCAGCGCACCAACTGGCCGAGTTGCTGGAAAATCAAGAGATACAAGATGCCTCGGGCAGCAACCTCATCGTCATTGTCACCCGGTATTCTGTCCCAGTGGAGACCCTTGATCGTCTGTGAAAGTGACATGACAAGCGAGATAGGAAGTGAATTCGAGTTTCCAAAGACACCCATGGCAGTGACAAAGTTGGAAGCCCGCTTATTGAATCGGAAGACCCTGACGACAAGAGCGGAAACAATCCATGACACGGCGGTCTGGACAACAAAGATGGCGGGAATGATGGCGAGCTCGGATAGTTTTTCAGCGTTTAACTGCGACGCAAGCTTCGTGAAAACTATTAGAGTAGTGGGTTGTTAGATTCATGTCGTGAGAGGGCTAATGCAGTTTGGATACGCACTGAGACATGGCGTGAACAGCATAACATTCAAGTTCGCCAAGAATTTTTGCTTGTCAGCATCGAAATGGCCCAGCCGAGCGATAATGTAGCCCGGCAAGCTGACGCAGACGACTTCTAGGACAGCCTCGAAAACAAGAAGACAAAGGTAGGCAAGAGACGGATGCGGCTCTGGGCTGCCATTTTGGTTGAAAGCCTTCAACGGCAGGTCGTATGCATCTTGAGCCAGCTGGGCTAGTCGAAAGGACGTCGGCTTCGGGAGGACCCTGGCGAGATCCATCAAGCTCCCCTGACGGCGGATCTGATGGATGTGTAAATTTCGAGCGAGAGGTTGATCACGAAGTGAAGGAAAATATCGGCCCTTGACTCAGGTCCGTCGAGAAGGATGAAGCAGAGGGGTGTATAGGCCGCGCGGGTACCAGGATGCCTTTTATCGCCAGGCGAGAGCCACTAGGGCTTCTATCGGTGGCACGGTGGCAACGGCGTACGAACACGACGAGTGTCGATGGAATAACCTTAAAGCAATCAGGGTCGAGCGGCAAGCAGGAGCGGTACTCCGTATTGCCTACCAAGGCAAGAAAAGGACAGCGTCAAGAGGTGTCTCTGTGCGTGGGTAGGCTGCAGGATTGGGTTGCACTGGCGCGCAAACGCCAAGAAATGCAGTATCACGGCAGGCACGGTTGTTGAACGAGATGAGCGTTGAGTGGGCCAATGATTCGAAGGGCCCCGATGGGGACGATGTGGCAGAATGTCTGTCTGCGGCCGAGGCGGAATAGCAATGTACGGAGTATGCAGCCCTTGTTACGGCATGGAACTGCCAAGAGGGAAGATCATGGCAGAATGTTGGAGGAGAGGCAATGAAAGAAAAAGGAAATGCTTTGGCAGCTTGGAAGGATGCCGCAGCTTGGTTTCATAGCATTGCTAGTATCTGAAGCCGATGGGGCACGGGAGGCGTTAAGAACAGAAAAAGAAAAATGGGGAGCCAGGAATGGCTTAGCCGTCTGGTCTAGTAAGTGGGCTGGCCTGGCTGGGTGTGCTGGTAGCAAGAGCAAGAGCAAAGAGCAAGGCGATGCGCCGATAGGCAACAGCGAACCAGATACATGGACCGAACACGCCCCCACGGCGCCTTTGTCCGGGAGGCGTCAACATTGAAGTTTCATTGACAGCGGCTCGATGCGCTCGATGCGCTGGACGGTACTCCGTACCAGCTCAGCAGACAGTACTGAGTACACCAGACGCTGCCTACTTAAGTACCAGGTACGAGCACCGAGGGTACATGTACTGACACTTGACATCAATGATTGATGGCACACTCTGAATTGACAACAGCATTGAACATCTGGTGCAGTGCACTTAACGCTGCGCGTTCCATTCATAACGAAAAGAAGAAGAATAAAGCAACAAATTTCCCAGCTAGCCGCTTGGCTCACCATGACGGCCAATTGCCTGCCTCTCGCTGATAAATGATGTCTTTCTGCCCAATCTTGCAGCGTTTTGCAGCATTTCGCTCTTCTTCTGTATCCACCGCCGGTCACGCCATTCAACGCATCAATATCATTTGGCGATTCGGGACAGGTGTGAGACGGCCCAGCCCAGCCGTGAGAGGTCAGGTCTCACACGAGTTCAAGCAGCCAGATCAATCTGACGTGTGGTCGGGCTCCCCCACACTCAATTCAGAATAAACTTCCCTCCTAGCTACTAGTGTGGTGGCATCGCGGCCAAAGTTCATTCCATGGCTCGATCCCCTCGCGAACGCCATAACCGAAACTCAACTCTGGACCGACGTTTGAAGTCTCGTCGTCAACCTGGAATATGTACAATTTCAACCAGGCGCAACCGGGACAAATGCCCGGTGATGCAACTCCCAAACTCCCAGCCACATCGGCCCCATCGCATCGACTTTCCCTGTCGCGCGACCGGGGGGGCCTTGCTATCTCGCCCGTTCCCACATCTTTGAGCTTGCGGTGGCGCAACCTGGCGTCTTGTTTGGGAGTCCGTCGATCCTGTGGATGTGCAGAGGTCGACCACGTGTGGTGCGAGAGGAGGCCGCCGGTTCTCTCCACCGACGCCTCAATCTGCCGCCGAGGCGTCAGTTATTGCGTATGGCGCCTGGCTTCGCGAGAGAACTGGCGATGCTTGCCTTGAGCCGGCTGCGTTCACGCAATTGCAAGGCTGGATGGTGCGTGGTTGGCAGGATGCGTCCTAGAGATGATTCCGGATGGGCTTCCAATGCCAATTGATTCTGACTGCAGGGCACGCCGGCTCGCACAGGGCAGGATTCGACGAGGGCCATCACCTTGAACGCACCATGTTTCCTGCCGGTAGACGCAAATGAATAGTACCGTGGACGCCGTGCCATATGAATCTTGTCGACTTGGGCATCATTTCTCAAAGGAGTAAATTGGCCAAATCAAAGCGCCGCTGCGACAAAAATTACGAGCCGTGCCAACTTCTCTGTAGCGCGTGGCCGATATGCAGCGGCAGGGCGCTCCGAGATAAAGCCACAGACGGACGACACGGCAAGCCAAATGGAAAATTCCTATCAACACCTCGAACCGGAGGGGCGATCCGAACATGGTATGGGCTGGAGATGGATGGCCGCTGGGTTAGACTCTGGTTCTGTCATGGCCGCGTTCAACCCCAGATTGTTTGCCCCCAATGCGATGGCCTTGATGCAGACTTTGCCGAGTGTTCGAAACGCGGGGTTTGCAAGGCTAGCAAATCCAATCTGCAGAGGAAGAAATGCATCAACATCCGGTCGTTGATCGCACGTACATGTTCAGATGGCGGCTCTCGCCTCTCGGGACAAGCACGACAAGCACGACAAGCACCACTCGTGGCTACTCGTGACGCATTCAGTAACCTGCCGAATTGTTTCTAGCCTCAAGTGTGTACATGCGCTAGACCATAGGCAACAAAATGGAATCTGTGTAAACCAGTAGGAAGCGGTGAAGCTCAGCGGCCTCCGGCTCCTCAGTGGTCTGATTGATAAGCGCAAAGCAGATCTAGTTGCATGGACAGGATTAAAGACATCAAGCCACTCAAGGTAGATTTTGCGACTCTCAGATATGGCGCATCACGCCGGCCTCTCGCTCGCTAGGACCCCCAGATTCTTTGCACATCGGAAGAAATTGGACACGCGACATGCCTCCTCATTTCTCTCCAAACCCGTCGCATCACATATCATGTGGATCTTTGCCAAGTTTCTTCTCTTCTCAGTATGCCGTGGGTTCGCCTTGATGTTCTTGCAGACATTGGTTGCGTTCGAACCTCCCCGCACCACGGCGCTATGTGCTGTCCATGAACCTCCACGGCTTGGCACATAATGGTGTTACCCTGAGAGATATCACATGCATTGCTGGACAACGACAGGAGACAGGTTTCATATCCTGAGATGCCGCCCTGCGCCTGTATAGCGACGTCGAGTCAGACAGACTGTACTACCTAGTCCTGTCCTTCTCACAGACTTACACGAGCGGCTGATGACGCCTTCGCTTGTATCACAGCAGCACACAATTTTGTATCAACCTCTTATCTTGACATCTAGCTGCTGGCCAAAACAGGGGACACGACAGATGGAGACCATGATACATATGTGCAAGGGAAAGAGGAATATATCTTGGTTGCCAAGGTACTTGGCGATGCTTACGCCACTATCAAACCCCGATCTGGTGGGTTGCTGAAAACAGCCATGCAGCTGGTTCATATAGGATGAGCTCCGGGACATGCAAATTGCTCTCGATATGCTAGAGTTGTGTAGACGGAACATGTCGCCGTCTGTCAAGTAAACTAGCTGACGTGGGTAGTTCTCGCCGACCCTCGACAGTCCTTCAATGTGACAAGCGACGGCTGGACTGCCGTGTCTTCGATACGCGATGCTACCAAGCAACCGATGTTGCATGTAAACCTTGGGCCATTTCCATCTATCCCAGAATCCTGCTTGAAGCATGCGCACCCGTACTAACTTACCATGCCGCCATCTCTTGAACATGGAAAACTCCGCAGATCAGATCATGCATCATGCCGTCTTCGGTTGGAACTGTCGAACCATGGACAGTTGCAAGATTCTGCAATAGATTCTCACACGGGTAGGTGAGATATCTTGGCCGACGTACCAAGACGAACACTCCCTGTTTGTGTGAGCCGTAACGAACTTTCTGCCGAGCAGCTCGCTTACGCTTTTGCGTTTGGTGGTGACATGAGTAGAAATCTGGCCGCATGGACTAACATTACACACACAGGCCGAGACATCATCGATGCGTCATGCGTCCCCACGCCACGACGACCTCGGTGAGCAAGCTTGCCTACAACCTTATCTCGACTTTGGTTGTCGCCTAGTACGGAGCAGATGGACGGGACGTCGATTCGTTTTACTCGCTGCCATTGGGCTTTGGGTTCAATGCGATCTGGTGGCATCACAACGGCTTCAGAGACATTCTGCCCGATGGGGTACATGCCAGCCCCTTGCGCCGTGTTGGAAGACGAGAAAGCCATTGTTCAGCTAGGAACGGACAATTCCGCGGAGGACAAAGCAATGGCCCAAAGCCTTCATCACGGTGTATAGGCGAATGCGCGGCCCTGCGTTTCCGTTCTCTCATCTCAAAGGACCAGACTGTCGCCTCGGCGTCCAGAAAGAGCCTTGGGCAACCGCGTCAACGTAAAGCCACCCCATATCTTGACTGGTTGAAGGGGTGATGCATGGCTTGACAGTAGTTTGCTCACCTGGAAGAAGGAAAAGAAAGAAAAAAAGAGGATAAGAAAGAAAAAAATTCCGGCCATCCATGTCCGTTGGGAAGCAATGCCGAGAATCCTGGCCACCGTCGAGACGATGACATTTTTTTTCCCACCCAAAGCACAGCCATGATTGAAGTCAGGACCAACATGTCGGCGTCCAACAGACACGGTGAGTCACTTAGCAACGCCAGCTATTGAAACAACGACGAGCATGACGCGGCTTGTTGTCTTGTCTCGACGCCTTTTTGCTAGTTCAAGAGGGCACGGAAAATATTTGATTGGATGCCGTGCCTTTTCGCAGCCTCACTTCCAGCTCTGGCATGCTGGTGGAACATGTGAAGTTGCACAGGTGAGGCGTCTGGTTGACGCTGGCGTCCCGGTTGCGGCAGCGCCCCACTGTGGCCCACTGTCGACGTCGGTGAGGCCCTGAGCCATGAGCGCCGCAAAGCCACTGGGACGGAGTTGTCACAAAATTGCCTGCCCAAGACGTCTATACTTGGAGGCATCAGGCATAAAGTTCCACCAGAAAAGAGTTTTTTCTTTCTTGTCTGGTTGTTGATGTCGTTGTCGTTGTCGTTGTCGTTGCTTGTAGTGCCTTGTTGAGAACAGGCATGCATGGGGGCCCTTTTTGCCAGAGCGTTGTGGCAAGTGATTTGTTGGGCAATAGGGGCCGTGTTTTCGCGACATGGAACATTTGAACCACATAACCAGACTATTGCCGGCCTCGGTTCCCCAGTCGTCGTTGAAGTTTGTCTCCAATCAGCCAGTCGACATTTGCAAACCCAAACTACCGAGTACTGTTAGTATTCGACCACCCAAATTTTTTTTTTACAAGACCTTTTCCCAGCTTGCAACCGTCAATTCCTTGTTACAATCCGGTTTCTATCTAGTCTATGGCTTTTTTTTTTTTTTACTTTGATGTCCTGCTCCGCCAATTGTTAGCTTGAGCCCACATTACGCCCCGCTACTCAACACTGCCTAGGGTAGTCACTCCGTACCAAAGTGCAGATTATGCACTGATTCAATTCCAAAACCTCCCCCGCGACAATCCCGTCTCTCTCTTCCCCCCGCTCACAATTCAATATCACCATCCCGGACTTCACGACGGATCGAGTAGATCTGCCATCTCTCCTACAGCGCGACGACGTATGCCCGAGAAAATTGCATGGTGTACACCGAAGCTCTTTTGCGGAAGCGGCTGCGCCATCCGCCCAGGACCGTTGCTTCATTGCTTCGTCCACTTCCGCTGCGGCGATGAGCGGCTCCGATTCGATCCCGGTGACGCCGGGCGACATGGACCCATCCAAAGACGTAGAGTCGTCGACATCTCCTGCATGTGATGGTGATGCAGCTTCTGAACCCGGCTGTGCCAACGAGTCGGTGCCTGAAGAACCATGTGCCGCGGACAAGCCCAAGCGAATGCCGTCGCTGCGGTCCGTATCCGACCCGCGGAACATGAACTCGAATTCAACATCCATGGGATTGTTGGGGAGAGCGCGAAACCCGTCAAACACCCCGCCGACTCTTGCTACTGGCGCAGGTGGCGTCATGAACAACGATGTCATGGCGAGAGCACGGGCTCTTCATCAATCACGCATGGGCAGGTCGCCCATAGCCAGTTCCCCAAACTCGCCGTCGCCCTCCTTCCCAGGCCCCGGTCGAAACGGGTTTGCCTTGGCAATGCCAGCAGCTGCAATGCACCGGCCAAGCCCTGTGCCGCATCCGAATTCGGATCCCGTGGTGCCGAAACCGTCCCTGAGCCAGAGAAGATTCGGCATGAAGCTGTCCGATATGGGCGCCGGGACCTCGACGCAGCCCCCCTCCGGCCTCAGGAGGGCCGGTGCTCCCAAACTTGCTGACATGGAGGTCGGTGCGCCAGGCGGCCAACAAAAGCCCAACGGATCCGGTCTCGGGTCGAAACTGGACGACTTTAAGAAATACATTGATGCTGAGAAGGGCTGGATCACGTTTGACGGAGCCGCCACCATTACCAAAACTGGCGTCAATTTTGCCAGCGGGCAAACATTCACCATTTCTCTCGACGAGGTGCAAATACTCGACGAGTTGGGCAAGGGCAACTACGGCACCGTCTACAAAGTCAAGCATGCCAAACCGTCAGCTCCACGATTTGGACATGGCCTATCGGGCGTGCGGCTACCACACTCGCTTTCAGATACGGTTGTGGACACTCAGGAGACAAAGGCAGCCGCAACCGCCGGCGAGGCCTCGTCTCCAGACAGCGGTAATGGCAGTGACAGCACGACCGGTAAGCTGATGGCAATGAAGGAGATTCGACTGGAGCTTGACGACGCCAAGTTCTCTACCATCCTGAAGGAGCTGGTGATTTTACACGAGTGCGTTTCTCCGTACATTATCGATTTTTACGGTGCGTTTTTCCAGGAGGGAGCAGTCTACATCTGTATCGAGTACATGGACGGGGGGTCCATCGACAAACTGTACGCCGGCGGCATCCCCGAAAACGTGCTGCGCAAAATCACCTATTCCACCGTCATGGGGCTCAAGTCCCTCAAGGACGAGCACAACATCATCCACCGCGATGTCAAGCCTACGAATATTCTGGTCAACACCAGAGGGCAGGTCAAGATTTGCGACTTTGGCGTCAGCGGTAACCTGGTTGCCAGCATAGCCAAGACGAACATTGGTTGTCAGAGCTACATGGCCCCCGAACGAATCTCTGGCGGAGCAATGGCCCCAACCGGCAGCTCTGACGGAACGTATAGCGTGCAAAGTGATATCTGGAGTTTGGGCCTGACCATTATTGAATGCGCAATGGGGCGATATCCATACCCCCCTGAAGTGTCGTCCACCATCTTCAGTCAGTTGAACGTGAGTATCCGCCTCCCCCCACGGGCGGCAAAAAAAAAAAGCTTATGACGGTGAAAACACAACACGACAACTAACGCGCGCATCTAGGCCATTGTAGAAGGTGACCCGCCCGATCTTCCCAAAGAAGGATACTCGGAAACTGCACAAAACTTTGTGGCCAGCTGCCTGCACAAGATGCCAAAAATGCGCGCCACGTACGCCATGCTACTCAACCACCCCTGGCTGCAGCCCTTCTCCAAGCCCAAGACGATCACGGAAGAGGTCGAGGAAGGTGAGGAAGCTGAAAAGGCAGCGGAAGCCGTGGGCAACCTCCAGCTCGGCGGGGGCGACACCGAAGACGCCGACGTCGCAGCATGGGTCAAGGGCGTCCTTGAAGGCGGCAAGGACAAGTCCGGCGACGGTTCTCGTCCTGCGCTGCATGCAGTGCCCCTGGATTCCGTGAGTCCCAGCAGCAGTCCGCCGTTGAACAGGAAGCCTTGAGCCCAAGCGTGAAAAAGAAAAAAACCTCTTATGATCGCAGTCGCACATTCCCCCCCCCCCCCTTTTGCTTTGCGGGGTGGGGGGCTCGCATCCCCCTGGCAAAGTCTGCCCGAATACTTGTTGCTGAAAATGAAAAGGGTGAGGCATAATACCCGACGTTGTCGCCCACCGACACAGAGCTGGTATCTCGTTTCGGCTGTGCATGGGGAGCGCTTCCAGTGGACTGGCGAATACCAGCCAGGTGTGTTTGCTGCTTTGTGAAGAGTTTGTGTCTGGGGCCGTTGGCTTTTTTCTCTTGTTCCTCTTTTCTTTTTTTTTATTTTGGTTTGTCTGCTGTTTATTATAGGTTTTATCTAGGGACTGTATACGCATGGGGTAAGAGTAGACGCTGCATGATACACGGGCAACGCGGGTGGGTTGGTTTTTTGATTTCAGGTTGGCGGGGGTGAGTTTGCATCGCGGGAAAAAAAAGGGTGGGGAGGCCATGTACATAGAGTGAATGATGAACAATCATGGACTGCTTCACATGTTGGTCCCGTCATCTTTGTGAAGTTGTGCCTCAGGCGTGCTGCGCTTGGTACGCTTTCTACTGAATTCGGCATGGCAAGAGTAAGTTTACACATCTCACGTAGACGTTCGCCGTGCGCAAATAGCATCTCCCGTCATGGCATTCAAATCAAAATTATTTATTACCAATTCCACAACACCCCAACCGCATGGGTATCCATCTCCTTTGCTAAACGAGTGAGTATGTATGCTATTATGTACACCAGGGCGCTGCGTGCGTGTCCGTAGCCACGGACGCCTCCCGCCTCCGTTTCGTATACGCGGCCGTTGGTATCGTTGAAATGAGCGTCGATGTTGTCTCCAAAAAAGAAAAAAAAATGAATAAATAAATAAGAAACAAACAATAAATGCCAAAGCATCTTTATCCCAAGATACGCAACGCCGGAAATATGAAAGGAGCGTGGATTCGACTTGCAACACGCGGCAGAAACCAAGCCACTCACGACCCAGCATCAACAACCGCAGACGGCAACGCAAAACTATATAGTCTCTTTTTTCTTTTCACTATCCAGCGCCTTCCTCACGAATACTCATCCTTGACACGACGACCCTCGTACGAGCGGGTGCTCCTCTTGCGGCGGAAGAGGCCGCCGCCGCCGGCACCACCGCCAGACTTGTCCCCGCGGATACCCAGGCCAAACAGCACGAGGGCGATGAGCGCAGCGACAAACGAGCCCCAGATCCAGCCGAAGCCGTAGGCGCCCAGGTCGGCGCTGCGGCCGGCGTCGTTGAAGGCGTTGCGGGCGCCGACAAAGGTCGCGGTGAACAGGCTCGTGGCGACGGCGTGGAAGAGCAGCGCGACGCCGGTGACGATGAAGGCGATGGCGGCGCCGAGGCGGCCGCAGCAGGCGAGGAAGCCCGAGAAGAAGGCGAGCACCTCGAAGAAGAGGGCAATCAGGATAAACACCCAGCTGAAGCGCCACATGTAGAAGTAGTGGTACGAGGTGGTGCCGCCGCCGTAGCTACCGCCCAGGTCGTCGGGGACGTTGCGGGCGTTGGCGGCCCAGGCCCAGCCCAGGGGGAGGCCGGCCTTGGCGCTCGTGCAGTCCTGGTTGTTGTCGCCGCAGATGTAGAAGTAGGTCCATTGCGAGTAGGCGCGCGCGCCGGTGATGCCGTCGGTGTGGGCGCGCAGGAAGTACGTCTTGTTGAGGGGCGTCGAGTCGGTCACGCCCGCGAGGATGATGAAGAAGAGGAAGAGGATGGAGGTGGCGAGCATGACGAGGCCGCCGAGGCCGAGGGGGAGGTCTGCGGGAGGAGGGGAGATGTGGTTAGTTGGTGATGGCTGGTTTTGTTGTTTTGGGGGTATATGAGAGGCGGGCAGGTCAGGCAACGGCCACGTTTGTAGCGTCGACAGGCTTGGCTGTTGTATCCGGGCGCGACACACAGCAACCGATTGTCGTTTGGCAAGTGTGGGAACACTGGTTGAATTGGCACTGGTGCGTTTTAGCTCACCAGACAGGCCGGGGATCGAGGCAGATGAGAGCCGTGATGGAAAGCTTGCTCGAGGGAAGAGCCGGCGGGCAGCTTTGGTCGCAAGCTAGCGCAGCTCTGTGTCTCAGTCGGGCCAGGTTGTGTTGTTATTTCTTGGGCACAAGAAATGCGCACGAGCAGGGATAAGCGTCGACCGGCTGGTTGGCTCGTGTGGTCCCACCGACGGTGATGGTGATGGTGATGGTGAGGCAGGGGAGCGGAAATACCAAGTTTTTGCAACACAGGGCGCGAGGGGGAATAGAGGCAGCAATTGAGAGGTGGTTTGCGAGGCGAAACAGGCTGGCGGCCGGTAGAAATAAAAACGTACGTTTGACGTCGTCTGGTCTTCTGCGCCGGGCTGGATCGGGTCGCACGGCGCCATAGAGCCGGTGCGTGTCCTCGTCTACCAAGTACCTCATGAGCCATTGCCAGGCCTGGGCCTCAATATTTTGTTTTGGTTACGTCTGCCGTGGCGCCGGTGCCCATGGGTGTGGACCTCGCAGACTGGCCATGACGACACTGGCGGGCGCCGGCATTGCCATCCATTGGCCCAGCTGCCCAGTGCAGATGGGGGAGGGAGGATTGGAGATGGAGATGCGGATGGAGACGTCGGCGGGCGATGCTGGCTGATGATGCCGCAGACCATGGCTGAGAACAGCGACACTCTTGCACCTGGGCCCAGTTTCATGACGGTTATTACTTCTACGACTATGATTATTTTTTTTATAGAGCATACACCTGACGGGAGAGGCGATAGTCTTGCGGATATGGCCATGTACGAGTACAATGACCAACGACTAGTTGCTTCTTGATGATTGGTCGAATAATTGGCGGTTCACGGTCATGTTTAATAGTGCCCCTGCACCTCAAGGTGGCAGCTCCCTGTCCAGCTGTGAATTATGTACTTAAGTACGTAGTATGTATATATGTAATTTGTACAAATAAATAAATAAAACCCAGTTCGCATATGCTCAATCAACTTAATCCCCTGGGCATCGTGGCAGTCACCCGCCGGCTGCACCGCCAATTCCACCACCTTGTGCTCCCCGTGTTCCCTCAGCCCGCCAGACCAAGCGCTTGAGCTCTCGCAACAGCCCTCAACCCGGCCCAAGAACATTCATGAGCTACTTGACTTGTTGTTGTAGTATCCTCCAGTGCCGCGGGTGTGCCGACCAACCCGACCAGTTGGTGGGCTCAATTCTCCACTAGCGGGAAACCTTCGCAGAGCTCCAGGGAGCTTCCCCGGCCCCCCATTGGCCCCACCGCCGAGCTGTGATGTCATCGAATCACAAACCCGGCGAGAGCTGTTTCGCCCCAGTAATTCACAGCTGGCCTGTTGCTCCGGCCATCGAGTGCCGGGCAGCCCAGCACATGCACGGAGAGTATCCATGGCTCACGCCGTGCTCGTGCTGCAGCGACATCTGGAGGTTTCAGCCGGGTTTCCAATCCTCTGTGCTTCACCAGTGTCACCACTGCGTTGCGGGACCCCGTTGACCCCATTGCGCCAGGCTTTGCGCCGGACTTGACCGCTTCAATGTTGGCTGGGTTTGCATGACGTCGCTAGACATGCTGGACGATTCGTTGTCGTTCCCTCGAGTCTAGCGGCATTGCCCTAGCTTGTGCGACACAGGCCTGGTGCTGTGCGAACCACGTTGACACTCTCATTGCGCATCTCGACTCTTGTGACTTTCTATTTTGGCGTGCTCAGATGAAACAAACGGTGAACCATCGACACCACATGGAATCGAGTTTCTAAACGTAAACATTTTCTTCTTTATTTCTACAAACGATAAAATTACAACTATTTTCACTTGCTCTCCGTCTTGCTCATTTGCAGCGATTAAACGCATCGATTCCCACCGCCAAGACGGGCAACATCATGCCATGGGTATGCACATACAGCTTTGCTGCAGTGGCGGTGTACAGCCCCAGAGTACACGTAAGTTGCCGTGAGGTCTGGCGTGTTTCCGGCCGTCACCATCTACGGGATGGGATGGATGGAAAATGTGAGTTTTGACCGGCAACGCTTTGCAGTTGAGTAATGGGTGCGTTGTCGTTTTTGTAGTGTATTGCACAGGGGACTGCATAGTAAAGACACGTCCTATTATAAAACACGGTCACCAAGTCGCAAACGAGGGAAACCGCCTTGACATGCGACAATCTGACGACAATGTACCGGCTAAAGGTTTCCAGCAAAGCTCTTGTGCGATGCTGCTTCGTGGTTTCCCCTAGAGTCTGCGAATCCCGTGCCGGCAGTGTGCTAGGAGGGATGTAGGGAGCCACAAGTCCATATTCAAGTGTCTGGTTGGATATTGCTTTATACTGTCCGGTGCTTGTTGGGCAGCGAGTCAGCGACATGGACGAGCTCATTCGCCAGCAAACGCATTCGACATGTCTCGCTCATCACATAGAGACATCACCCTCTCATCCCGCGAGTCTTGGCGGAAGACAGGCACATACGTAGACCTCACAGCCACACGCGAGCGTCTTGGTCGAGTGTGCATGTGATGCCAGCAACGTGCCCGCCTTGGCAATGGCGTGCATGAATATACGCGCCTTCGTCTGAACTCAGCTCTTCTCCCTGAATGAGCCCATATTCAAGCCACGCGTAGCCTGGAACAAGGGCGTGGTGGCCGCCTTTGTCAGATGGCCAACGTAATTTATGCACAAGCTTATTTCTGGATGATCAGACTGACGTGTTGGCACATGCTGCATGTTCCAGTGCAACATGGCGTCTTCTGTTGCGCGAGAGCCCTTTCTCTTCTCTGCTTTTCATCATGATTACTTTGTAGCAGGAACGACTCATATCACGCCCAGAGGACCAATCTAGCACGGTTGAAGCAGCCCTCCGTAGCCCTGTCTATACTTTCGTTTGCCGAGTGTACACGCTGGGCGTTTGTCTGCGTGGCAGTTCCAGAGGGCCTTGATTCCAGAGCGCCGGGATTATTGGCTATGAGTTGGGCGGAAAGTGCTTGTGTCAAGTGGCTATATTTGATAATACAGCGTCCTGCTTGATATCGCCCCCTTGCTCGAGAAGCAGTTTGCGTCGAGTTTGAATAAGTAGAGCTCGTGTACTACCGTACGTCTCTTGAAGCGAGCAACAAAAGCCCTCAAATACTAGAGTTCCAACTCAAACTCAGACGCGGTGATGGCGGCACAGTGTAATCCAATTCCTGATGTAACCCATGCTAAGATTGAACGTACTTGGGCACATTGTGTTTCGCTGGTAGCTCAACATCCATGGCGGTTGGATGGCCAAAAGACAGCAAGGCAGCCAAAGCTTCTTGACAGTCGAAAGACGAGCTTCACTCATTGCAACCACTGAGGCCGTAAGCAGCGACACCACTTCCAACGCTTGTCATGTGGTGCTTTGTTCTTCTTTGGTGATTTCATAGCAACTGCGTTGCCATGAATCTGATGCACATCCCTCAGCCTCATTCCCCCCCGCTCGGGCAACAGCCCATGCTATTTCTGCAGTGCCATCTGACGTTATAACTTGGGATGTAATGGCTCTAGCGCGGTCAAGTTGCCTCTAGCCCTAGAGTTGGATCATTTTCTGCTTCCTTTCAACTCAAGTCCGGGGGCATCATTCAAGTCGATGGCTTTTTATCAGCAACAGGGAAGATGCCGTCTTGAAAATGGCCTGCAGCTTCCACACCATGACTGAAAACCTCTGCTCATCATAGTCTGCACGCGAATACCACGACGTGACATGAGCCAACTTCATTTCTGAACGGCTTTGATAGCACCATGGTCGGAAATCAGCTCCCTCGCACCTCTCCAACTCCAACTCCACCGTGCACAATGCCTTGATCGCGTCAACCTTGGAGTTCCGAGCCGCAGTTTGAAATGTCCGCGTTGAATTTCTTCTGCGCGCACCCCGGCCCGCAGGGTAGCAGCAGTGCCTTTGTCACCCGCGTCGTCACCGGCATATCATTCCATGCGTGGCAGATACTTGAGGCAGCAAGGGTTGGCCTTCCGGGCCACAGAATATTCGCCGAGAAGCGGATAGATTCCTCGTGGTAGGGGTTTGGTGTATCCGCGGGCACGTAGTCTTGGGCTGGCACAGATTGTCCTTTGCGCCCGTCCATGGGATTCGGTTGGTCCTTGTCAAACGGGCCAGAGCTCAAGTCGATAGTGGCTGCTGGAGGAGCTCAACGGCCCGGGTGATGAACAGTAGAGCCGTCATTTGCCTATGGAGGCTGCGGTGACTTGGTTGTCGAGGACGACATTGGATCGAGTCGATTGGTTGAGGAGCCAGGTTTTGGCTGGTACGGTTAAAGCACAATCTCAACCCATTGTCCCCCAGTCTTGCCCGTAGCATCTGCCAACTACAACTACCACCAGGCTTGGCACACTTGACAGTGCTGCGGTTAAAGATTGAGGGTGATTGGTAATGGCCGGTTGTTGCTTGCTGGATCACCTTGAAGAGTTTATGTTTGGTTTATCGCTGGCAACTCATAGGTCTAGACACTATCGCAGAGGCACCGCCCAATGGGATTGCCGCAAATGCCGACAGCTGAAGCTGAAGCGGGTCGCGCCGCTGCCAGAAACCAGCGAATTGGCGAAACCGTGCCAAATCTGCCAGGCAGACCTCGAATCTCCAGTCTTCACCCGACATCGCTCTGTACAATGTGAAGCATCTCACCAACCACCTCACACCGTCTATCAAGCCCCTCATGAACCTATGCACTATCCGCACGAGCTAGAAAACCACATGCCAGCCTCATGATGCGGTGCGCCGCC